CTTTTCCCAATCTCATTCTTTTGTTTTGGATTACCTCGGCGCCTGGCAGTTTGATTTTTATTCGTGGAAGAAGTCTTCTCGCTTGATTTAGGCGCGGTTTTCTGGATTTTCGGGTTGCCTGGGTTGCTCTTCTGGCTGGCCATTGGGTCGGGACTGTTTTTGGGCATTACATCGTTCCGGCCGCTGGATCCCAAGCTGGAATCGCTGAGGGGCTTTAGATTGTCTCTGTTGGGTCCTGTCAGTATCACCGGTAGGCGGTGGCTTGCGGGTTCAACCCCTCGCCTAGAAAACCAGTTTCCAGTGACATTGTTCCGTTGCAGTAACACAGTCTCATGAGACGGGGATAGATTGTTGCTAGAAGCTTCAGATTCCTCATCTTGCGTGTCTCGCACCTCTAAAGCTCTGTTAAGATATCCCTGGGGCTGTTCAACAACGGTTCTTAGGTGTGCAGCTCCTGCAAACGTCTCCTTTTCCTCTAAATGTCGTATCCTCCTCGCAGGTGAGGGAAATTCTTGCTGTTCAACTTCATGTTCGGGGCGGTTTTGCATACGGGGTTTTCTTAACTGCCTTTTTGGGAAAGCCACATCGTCGGGATCGACGGACCAGTCACTCGGAACCCACTCATCCCGTTTTTGCGTTGAGTTGGACTTTTGGGCGCTTGTTGGTGACTGAGGACATAACACGTTCTTTGCACAATCAGGCTTTTTTGCCGTATTTGAGTCCGGCTGAGGAGCTGGAAGCCGATTTCGCCTTTGCAGGGTCTTTGGTTTACTGAAGTCTTCCTTTGGAGGCGAAGATTTGTTGCCATTATCACCACTGCCCTCCGAGGCCTCGGACGTTGAGTGAAAATCGAAGCATGGAGTTTCTCGGAAGGGAAGAAGTGTCTGAGTGTCATCGGTTGCTTTCCGTGCTGATCCACCTGACTCTGAGTCTTGAGTTGGTGATATGACGGCTCCGGTACCTGTTATCCTGGGGTGTTCCAAACTCGGAGCAAGGCTAAAGTCTTGGGTAAGCTGGCTGCGAACTTGGGTTAGGTCGATAACCTCGACTTTAGATTGGGCGCTCGTCCCATTTTGACCTGTGGTGGAGGATGCACGCTGCTTTTTGGAATTGGCGGCCCTCTTGGGCAAGGACGTATATTCTGCTCTTGTCGGTGGAGGATCAATGACCGTTACATCGTCGTCAGTTTGAGCTTCCCCCGATGCTTCCGGCTGCCGATGCGAATCAGATTTATCACTCTTTTCTTTCATCCTCCCCTTCTTCCTCGCTTCTTGTTGACGGTCTAGAGGTAGCTCATTCTCCGTATTTGAGTACAATTCGTTCGGAGGTGCAGCACCTTCTTTTACGGTCTGACGCCGTTGTCTCTTTGTGTTTACTATCTGAAATCTGGCTCTGTCAACGATCCTACTATCGGCGAAGCTTAGTCCAGGTCGCTTGCCTCGAGGAGGGAACTGCGATGCTTCGACGGGGTGAACTTCGGGCGAAGAATCTTTTTGTGTGTTTTCCGATAATTTACTCCCTGTTGAGATTTGACCAATTTAGGAATCCTAGTGAAACGTCCTTGAAGGGGAAGACATACTCGAAGGATTAGAATTCCTGATTTCAACCACAACCCTTGGGAAGCGTGGGATTTGTTTGTTTGGCGGAGGTCTGTTAGGACTGCTCGTCTGGTCGAGCACCGCTGGTGATCCCCCATGGCATTCAGCTGGACGGCTGGTGATATCTAAGACTGAAATACAGAACGACGAGTCAACAATAAGCGCCCGGGTTCAAATAAGCGAAAGAATGGCATACCTTCACTATTCTGCAGTACCTGGACTGACTCACTGTCATCCTCGTCATGGACGTTACCAGGTTCGTCTGTTTCAATGGAAACCCGCAAGGTATCCGGGTCCCTGTATTCAAGATTTTGTGCTGGCGGGTCCAAGTTTGGATTATTTGGGGCTGTTTCATGAAACAGAGGGACTGGAGGTGCGGTGTTTGCCGTAGCGACTTGTTTGCAGCCCATCGGATCGTTCCAATCTTGCGCAATGGACTCTAACCTCGTATAGAGGAGGGAAGGTATTTGGATAACGCGGACAGTCCCGCGCTGATCGAGCCCATCGGCACGAGCCTTGCCGGTGTCAACAAAGACGTCAGCAACGGAGAGATCCATGTCAACATCGACTGAGGGGTTATTATCATCAAGAAGCTTTTTGATGTGAAGGGGCCTATAAATGGACGTATCGTTAAAAGGGGCAAAGTGGATTTAATAGATTCATTCGGCCCAAAACACTGTGGCACTTACCCGGCTTCAGATCGGAGCTTGGCCCACTTTTCACGAATTTGGCATGCCAACTCACGCATAGATAACCCCTCAGGCTTGGTTATCGGTATCATAAACACTGTAGCCCTAGTGTGAGGAAGATTGCAGTCACCTGGTAACAGCGGCACAGGGAGGATTTTTATGTTGAGTCTGAGTAGCACCATAGCGGGCAACTTGTCGCCGGGGGGCTGATGGCAAAATTCAATTAGCAGTACGAGAGAGATTGCAAGGGATAGAATGATAACGGCAAGGGGAGGAAGGGAGCAAGAGTGGCGTGGATATCGGTAGACAGCTATTGCTCTCTCTCCAGACAGCAGAGTATGTGTTGCTCGAGGAAGAGAAGGGAGAAGAAGAGGAGGATGTCCTGAGACGCGAGGCCGGGAGGAGGGACGTTGGCGATGGCGGGGGAACCAAGCTGATTACCGCTTTGGGACAGCTCGCGGTAGCTGCCGCTGGCGCTAGCCCTATCACGGCTAGATCAAGACATGAGGCCCTGCGCTAAGCCTGATCGGCGCTAGTCGGTTGCCAGGCTGCGCTAAGCCCCATGCGGACACAGCCCCGGGCTGCTGACATAAGCCGTGGCAGAACTGCGACATGGCCCCAAAGTCGGTGAGACACAACATGGGCAGGGATGCATCGCCGACTTCACACAAGAAAACGCTTTTCCGTCTCTGCTCGTGCTGGTGCCTCGAAGTCTCTCTTTCGATTGTCTTCTCCCGCTTTCTGCTCTGTTTTGTCTTTTCTGCTCCATCGTTTGGTGCCGTCCCCTCGCCTTCTCTTCCTCGCTCCCTCCGCTCGATGGATGCGCCCCGAAACCCGCTCATCCAGCTCCACGCCACGTAACCCGCTCTGCTCCCCATCGCCCTCTGTTGAGAGTCCCCACGCACTGCTCACGTCGCTGATGCTGTGGACGTCTCTTCTCTTTTGCTCGGAGTGCATTTAGGCCTGCCGTCTGCCCGCATTGTAGGCCTCTCACGATGGTGTGGCGCCTTCGGGGAGCCCGCGCCTCACTCCCAGCTGGAATCATCGTCTTCCTCCCTCTCCTTGCAGCTCAGCAGCAGTTGCCGTTATCCTCCCGTCACCATGGCGATATTCACGCTCCCCCCATCAATTTGAACCTCCCCAGTGCCGCTCCCTCCCGCGTAACTTCACCCTCCGATGCGAGCGCCCTCGCGACTTTGGCTCTGGCCGGCTCCAACCCGGCCGTTCGAGCACCGCCTGTCCAGATCAGTAGTCGGAATAACCTGGCTCTGCAGCTCCAAGCGCGGTCTTTGCAGGATTGGGAAGTCGAGGACTTTGTCCTTTTGGCGACCGTCGATGGAACCATCCACGCGAGAGATAGAAAGACTGGTGCTCCGCGCTGGGCGCTAGAGGTGCCCAGCAGCCCAATGGTTGAAACCATCCACCACAGGGTCAACCGAACAGATCTTTCCGACACACAGCGAGATGACGATTTTATTTGGATCGTCGAACCCAGCCGCGATGGGAATCTGTTCATCTACACTCCCGGCCCTAAAGGCGGCCTACATCGCTTAGGCTTGACCGTCAAAATGCTCGCTGACGAAACCCCGTATTCCGGGACCGATCCACCAGTCACTTATACCGCCCGGAAGGAGACTACCCTTTATACAGTTGACGCCCGTACGGGTTCCATTCTTCGAGTTTTCAGCTCACGTGGCTCTATGCCACCAGATCAAACCTGCCGCAGACTAAATGAGTTTGGATCTGTGGATGAAGGTGAATGCGAATCCATGGGTACCCTCACCCTCGGTCGAATCGAATATACCGTTACAATCCAAAACACGGAAACTGGATTGCCAATCTGCACCATCAAATACGCTGAATGGGCCCCCAACAACCGTGATGCTGACCTTCAGAGTCAATATTCTAGAACTATGGATGAGCGCCATATTTACAGTATGCATGACGGTGTCATTTTTGGATTTGATCATTCAAAAGTCGACGGGCGGCGATATACACAGAAGTTCTCCTCTCCAGTTGCCAGGGTCTTTGACATAGCAAGACCTTTGACAATGGACACTCCCGATACTCCGCTAGTATTACTCGCTCAGCCTCCACCAGACGATGATTACAGTGCAACCGGAATCGAAGGGCGAGAAGCACGTGTCTTCGTCAATTGCACCGAGTCTGGCGGCTGGTACGCCATGTCGGAACTCACTTACCCTCTTGTGACTGGTCGTGCTAGACGTGCTGAATGCTATGAAAAGCCTTTTTTACCCAGCGAGAAGCCTCTCATGAGCCTCAGCCTGAACGAGAAGAGAACTGCACTTGTAGGAGTCCATTCTCTCTCCGAGCCGTCTAACCACTTTCACCGAACTGTTCCCAGTATCTCAGGCCCCCCGGCGGACTTTGCCAATGATACGCCACGTGATATTATTGAAGAGCCCGATAAACTACCGACACCGGCGCCAGCACGAATCAACAGCGTTATCATTCAAAAGGGTTGGGATAACGCTGTCGATATTTTCGTCACCGTCATCCTTTTACTCATCGGAGCTTTTGTCTACTTCAACAGTCGCAATATCCAGGAACTTGCTAAACAAAAACTAGACCTCAAAAACATAATATCTCTAGAGACTGCACCACCCGCTACCCCTACCTCCTTGCCAAAACAGGACCTCAATTCCGAAGTTGTCAACGGCTTACGAGCCGATCCCTCTGAGACCGCCGTTATCGAAGTTGAGGGCGGAAATCTAGTGCCCGAAAGCCTACCTACTGAGCGCCCAACTACCCCAGCTCCAGACAATCCACCCAATGAACCTAACCCCGTTTACATCGCTGGTTCCAATTCCCACCTTTCTCCCGAGAGACAGGAAACTCCTCGTGTTAGAATACAAGAGCCTCCAGATGAGGATCTCGAAGAGAACGGTGATCTAGCCACAAAGACTCCAGAGAAGAAAAAGAAGGCTAGACGTGGTCGCCGCGGGGGTCAAGCCCATAAACGTGCAAAAAAGCCGTCGCCCGACAACGAAGACTATGAAAAGCTGAGTGACGAGGCGACCCCGCGTAGGAGCCAGCCATCGCCCCATTCATTGTTGCGTCCAGAACTATCCAGAGCAAGGGCACCATCCACTGAAATGCTTGAAGCGGATGGATCAATTCGGATCGGACAATTGAAGGTCTATACAGACACTGTCCTTGGTCACGGAAGTCACGGTACAATTGTGTATAAAGGCTCCTTTGATGGGAGACACGTCGCGGTTAAGCGAATGCTTGTGGAATTCTACGACGTAGCTGCCCATGAAGTGGGATTGCTCCAGGAAAGCGATGATCATAATAACGTTATCCGATATTTTTGTCGCGAACAAACTGCTGGTTTCCTTTACATCGCATTGGAACTTTGTCCTGCTTCTTTGCAAGACATTGTGGAAAGGCCCTGGGATTATCCTACCCTTATCACGGGTGATTTGGCGCTACCGGATATCTTGCGTCAAATCACGACCGGTGTCCGTTACCTCCATTCGCTGAAGATTGTACATCGCGATTTGAAACCACAAAATATTCTTGTTGCCGCACCCAAAGCGCGAAGAGGCTCTGGGTCCCTACGGTTGCTCATCTCAGACTTCGGCCTCTGCAAAAAGCTGGAAGACAATCAGAGCTCCTTCAGAGCTACAACAGCTCATGCTGCTGGTACGTCTGGCTGGCGTGCTCCTGAACTTCTTGTCGACGATGAGAGCCCGGCCAACCCAGCAATGTGGTCCAACAATAGCATGGATTCTTCCGAGCCCGCCGTGGTAGATCCGCAAACCAACCGGAGAGCTACACGTGCGATTGATATCTTTTCTCTCGGCTGCGTTTTCTATTACGTCCTAACCCGTGGGGGCCACCCTTTCGACAAGGATGGAAAGTTTATGCGTGAAGCGAATATTGTTAAAGGTTACCACAATCTCGATGAACTGAAACGCCTTGGGGATTATGCTTTCGAAGCAGAAGATTTAATTAGAAGTATGCTGTCTTTAGATCCCCGCAGTCGGTAAGTTTCGAAGCAAAAATTCGTCTACCCCTAGAATCTCACACTTCATCTAGGCCGGACGCTACGACGGTCATGATCCACCCATTTTTCTGGTCCCCTGCCGAGCGCCTGGGCTTCCTTTGTGATGTTTCTGACCATTTTGAATTTGAAACCCGGGACCCGCCTTCCCTGGCCTTGCAATGCCTAGAGTCTGTCGGTCCCAATGTTATGTATCCAGACATGGACTTTCTCAAATGTCTCCCGAAAGATTTCAAAGACAGCCTTGGAAAACAACGGAAATACACAGGCACTAAAATGCTTGATCTCCTCCGCGCTCTCCGCAACAAACGGAATCACTATAACGACATGCCAGAACATCTTAAAACGCATATTGGTGGCTTGCCCGATGGATACCTACAGTTTTGGACCGTGCGATTTCCCAGCTTGTTAATCAATTGCCACTGGGTAATTACAGAGTTGGGGTTGACGCATATTGAGAGATTCAAGAGGTATTTCACACCCCCAGAATAAATAAGATAGGATTTGTCGCGATGTATGATCCCCCTGAAGCATGGTTTACATGATTCCGTATCCTGGATCTACTCAGACCTCTGATCTTTCCTATTTATATACGCTCAAGTACATTATTTGACCTTTGATCTTTATTTTTGTTCAATTATTTCAGAAATAGCAATCCAACTATTGCTTAGTAGTTGTGCACATTAAACCACAACCTAAGTTCGATAACATAATAATTGACGGTGAATGTTGACGCTCCATCCTCACCATCCAGATCCCGCCCAGTCCGCTGCCAAATTTCTTTACACGCCTGAGTGCTAAGTAACACTGATGCTAACAATCTTCACATCCACCTCTGGCTTCTCCTTGTACGTTTTCACATTTTCGATGCGATGCACCACATCCAATCCTTTGACCGCCCTCCCGAATATCGTATGATGGCCATCCAGCCACGGTGTCTTTTCTGTGGTAATGAAAAACTGGCTCCCATTTGTATTGGGCCCAGCGTTTGCCATGGACAAGGTGTACGGTTTATCATGCTTCAGCGTCGAAAACTCGTCTTCAAACTCCCCTCCCCATATGGACTCTCCGCCTGTCCCATCGCCAAGAGGGTCGCCGCCCTGAATCATGAACTTACGGATCACCCGATGGAAAATGGTATTGTTATAGTATCCGTTGCGCGCGTGGGTAACGAAATTCTCCACCGCTTTGGGCGCAACGGACGGGAAGAGACGAAGGTGGATGTCGCCCATCGTGGTGTGAATGATGGCAGAAGTCCCAGTCTCTGCTTGTTTATTAGCCCAAGCATCTTGGGCAGCGTCACGGTCGCGTAAAGGTTTCTCGTTCTGCACATCTCGGGATGATTTTGAGATTTCGGTTTCATTGGTGAAGAGATAAAAACGGACTTTGGCAAAGCCTGTGCAGGCGAGGATTGGGTCACGTTCTTCGGCTTCTTGAAGAAGGGGGTTTGCACTAGCAGCCATAGAGACCGTTACCACACCTTTCTTTTGTGGCTGCCCTTGGTAGATTGCAAGGTTCAGGGCGCGGAACGGTTCATCCTTTCCGAACACTTTAGCAACTCGGTTGGTGAACGTGTTAATGCATTTAATCCCCTAATATGGATCCGTATATCACAAAGTGGCCCGATTCGTCAAAAATCACATTAACTTTGGAAGCTACTACAGGGTTCTCAAGATCCCGTTCGACAGCCATTCTGCGTCCAAATTCAACTTCTTCTAGCTTCTTTAAAGCAGTGCCTGCTTGCTGCATCTCCGAAAGAGTTGGCAGGGACTCGTCGTAGCATCGGTAAAGTTTTCCAGTCGGAAAGTCAAAGATTCGAACCTGTCGATCAGGAAATGAAAATGTTGCAAACTGGTGACCGGACGGAGAGAATGTGATAGAGACAGGGAAAGATTTTGACTTTTTGAATGTAAATAAATCGGTTGATGATTTGAGGTCAAACAATCCATCCGGTTTGTCGAAGTTGTTCCTTGGGCGCCAATACTCGATCATGCCTTTGTTATCTGCTGAAACGACACAATCGTAAGCATTATTAAATGCCATGGCAACAACGGGGGCCCGATGGATGGATGTTAAAGTATAAAGAGGTGTGCAATTCTCCGCTCGGCCGTCATAGATGAGAATATCGTTGGAGGATTCATTGCTCACAGCGACAAGCGGCAATGATGCTCCCCGCGGATGGACCCAGCAGACGCAACCAGGGACAAAATCAAGGTTAAGAACAGCGAGTAGATCTACCGCTTGTTAGAATGCTTTTGCTCAACCTTGGCAGTGAGTAGTGAGAACGATGCTGGAACATACCAAAGGTGACAACATCGAATATCTTCACAGTTTTATCTGTGCCTGCCGTGGCGAAGCTGCGACCATCCGCACTAGCGTTGATGCTCTTGATGGTACCCGTGTGAGCACGAAACTCCTTGACAAACTCTACACCAACCGCCATTTTCTTCCAGAATTTGACTACGCCATCAATCGAGCTCGTTATCAAAAAGTCTGTATGAGGCGTGATCGTGATGAAGGAGAGTTGTTCTTTATGCATCAGTGACTTCGAGTACCGCAAGGATGCAGGCAACGCATCAATATAGAGCTTCTCATATGGAAGCTTCCTGCGCTTCTTCTTCGGTTGCGCTGTAGGAAGAGCAGGGCCATAGTCGTCTTCAGAGGAGGAACCTTCGTCTAAACACATGGGTCAGTATGTATGGTATCAATGCGCCTGTAGACCATGAGTCGGGTCACTTCGTTTTCTAGCTCCTACGCACCATTTTCATGCGCCTTCTCCTCCTCCAACTGAGCCCGTGGTCTCTTGTTTGAGGCACCCTCCACCGCGGTCTCCATTTCAGCCATAGTTTAAAGCGATGTCCCGACAAGCGCGAAATGCTACATAGCCCAATTAGCAATCCTGCAGGACTGGAGCGTAGAAATCACGACAGGTTCCGGAGAGGACTCCGGCTGCTCGTCTTGTCCTTCAGTTCAAGTTGGAAAGGCAGCAAGCTCCGGCATCACGTGACGCGACCGCGAGCTTCAAAAAGCATCACAACATTCGCAGCAGAAGTCGAGAACGAGCACCGCCATCGACCTTTGAAGTGCGGCATAGTCGGGCTGCAGTACGGATATTGCTTTGGACTCCCCTCGATTGCCTGATATGGTGTGTCTCTACCTCTCTGCTGACGGTTTCCGGCCGATGCTGACCCTTGACAGTCGTTCAACAACCCCACCCAAATCTTCGCCGAAGATGTGACCGAGGAGAAGGGTGAAAATGCTCGCCTGTCTGCTTTTGTCGGTGCCATCGCAGTGGGCGATCTAGTCAAGAGTACCTTGGGACCCAAGGGAATGGATAAAATCCTTCAGTCGGCGTAAGTGTGGACTTGGGGCTGCGCGGGCGTCACAGTGAAATACTAATGGCCTGGACTAGCTCGACAGGAGAGATCATGGTCACAAACGATGGAGCCACGATATTAAAAGCCATTGCTTTGGACAATGCCGCAGCGAAAGTGCTCGTCAACATCTCCAAGGTGCAAGACGACGAAGTTGGCGATGGCACGACGTCTGTGACCGTCCTCGCCGCAGAGCTGCTACGCGAAGCGGAGAAACTTGTTGAGAGGAAAATTCACCCTCAGGTTATAATTGATGGATACAGAATAGCTAGCAAAGCCGCTCTCGAGGCACTAGAGCACGCCGCAGTTGATAATAGCTCCGACCCAGCCGCATTTCGGAAAGACCTGCACTCAATTGCCCGAACCACCCTCAGTTCCAAGGTCCTTGCTCAAGATCGCGAACAGTTTGCAAACCTGGCGTGCGATGCGGTGTTAAGGCTCAAGGGCTCAACCGATTTAAGCCATATTCAAATCATTAAAAAGGCTGGCGGCAAGCTCTCAGACTCCTATCTTGATGAGGGATTCATCCTCGACAAAAAGATCGGTGTCAATCAGCCCAAGAGACTTGAAAATGCAAAGATCTTGGTTGCGAATACTGCCATGGATACAGACAAGGTCAAGATTTTCGGCGCGAGAGTCAAGGTGGACTCGACTGGAAAACTCGCCGAGCTGGAAAAGGCAGAAAAAGAGAAGATGAAAGCCAAAGTTGACAGAATCAAGTCTCATGGCATCAATTGCTTTGTTAACAGACAGCTCATCTATAACTGGCCTGAGCAGTTATTTACGGATGCCGGGATTGTCTCCATCGAGCACGCTGATTTTGACGGTATCGAAAGGCTAGCCCTTGTAACCGGTGGAGAGATTGCGTCTACTTTCGACCATCCTGACCAAGTGAAGCTGGGCCATTGTGACCTTATCGAGGAAGTCATCATTGGTGAAGACACCCTCATTAAATTCTCCGGCGTCGCCGCGGGGCAAGCTTGCACTATTGTCCTTCGAGGCGCAACTGAACAGCTACTGGACGAAGCAGAGCGGTCTCTGCACGATGCGCTTGCCGTCCTTTCGCAGACCGTTAAAGAACCCAAGGTGACTCTCGGAGGAGGATGTGCAGAAATGATCATGTCCAGGGCCGTTGAGCAAACCGCGCAAAACACCACCGGGAAGAAACAGCTTGCGGTGGACGCGTTTGCACTGGCTCTGAGACAATTGCCGACGATTCTTGCGGATAATGCGGGTCTAGACTCGAGCGACCTGGTTACGCGGTTAAGGCAAGCGATTAACAAAGGTCTTTCGAGCTCTGGGCTGGATCTTTTGAAACCGGGTGGTGGGATCGCAAACATGCGTGATCTAGGCGTGGTTGAGAGTTATAAACTGAAGAAAGCTGTGGTATCATCGGCTTCGGAGGCTGCCGAGGTAACCCATTCTGATTAGAATCTTGAGTGCGTGCCGAACTGATGCTAATCTGCTTTCTAGCTACTTCTTCGTGTCGATAACATTATCCGCAGCGCCCCGCGGAAAAGAGAGCGCGTGTAAGTTTGAGGAGCGTTAAGATCATGGTTGAAAGCTTCGGCGTGGGACTCTGCAGCCATTGCTCAACCAGACAGATGATGAAAACCAAACACAGAACCGGCTTCAGTGGACTGAAGTTTAGATCTGAATGTTTAAGCAGAATCTCATGAGCCAAAAATTGCGTAATATAGATATGACCAAATGGAGTATTATCCATCAAAATTCCCGCCCCAGGCTGTTTGATATCCTCTTTTGACTTCAAGGAGTTTGAACTGCTTGTTACGAAACCATCCCATGCTCCCACTGATTCCGCTGATGCAGAATAGCCTCAATCCTGCGCCATCGTGTCCCATGAACCGCCCAGGAAGACCGGACTGCGTGGAAAGTAGCCCATCCAGCGCAGGGGAGCCTTTGGGCTCTCGCTAACCGCCGGCCTGAACTGCTTCCAGCCCATTGGAGATCCCTCATGAAACAGAGAGCATATCCAGTGCCCAAAATGACATGAACCTGACAGCAAGTAAGTCCCCTCAGCCTCAGTTTCTCAGGCAGCGAACATCACGGCTAGTTCCGTGGCGATACCCATGACTGGGGATCTGCCTCAGTTGTGTCTCTACCTTGTGCAATCTCCCTCCAGTAAATCTCATTGCCACTTCACCTCCAAAGCACTGTGACAGAGTGAGTCTGAACTCATCCGCATGCTCACAGCCTATATTGACTCCTTTGCTCGTTGGGAACAAACAACTGACGCGCTGCATTGTTATTGTTAAAGAGACATTCCATCTCTTCAACCTCACCTCTTCTCTTTCTCTCCTATACTTTTTCTCACCTTTCCACATCTCTTGCTCTCAGCGCCGCGGCACATTGCTTCCAGTCATGTCTCTCCCGGTGGACTATACACTGTCTCCATTCGACTGTCCCGCCAGCCAGGAATTGGCGTATGCACCTTCGTCAGACAGTACGGGCTCAGTGGGCTATCCACTTTGTCAGCCTGTTGCGCCAGTGAGTCTTCTCCCTCTGCCGCTCCTCGGTCACTTTATAGAGTTGCGTTCTTTCTACTATTTCCACTGTTTGTCAATCGTCTCACACTTCCAATCGTGCCGACAGGAAACCCGCACAATGACCCCTGCCCACGCAGACCACCATAGAAGCAGCCCCTCGGGCTTCAGGCTCTCGTCCCTCTCTCCGTTTCAGCTGGAAAGGGCATGCTTCACTCCGCATGGGGTGGGGCTCCCACTAGCAAATCCGAATTTCGCAACCGGCGCTGGTGCTCCTCTATCACAATCTGGACATTCAAATCAGACGACAGATCCCTCTACTACTTTAGAAAAGGCTCTATCAACGTTGTCTGCCCTCGAGCTTCGGTTTGCAGAACAGGAGTCGCGTATTCAAGAGCTGGAAGCAAAGGTTTCACGGCAACAAACATTGCCTCGTCCTTCACCCGAAGCGGTCCACGCTCCGAAAAGTGTTCCAATCCTTGATCTCCTTGAGATCGGTAACGACCCCGAACCTGATCATATCCCTGGTGCGAAGAGCCGAGGAGACGAAATGCACGCCCATATTCTGGAATCTAGTGCGGCCTCAACTAAATACTCCTCTTCGACTGGCCTCGCGAGTGAGCTAGTCGGGTTTGAAGAGATCTTTGAGCGCAAGTCGGCGCAGGCGCCTCAGAATTCTTACGAGCGATCAGCCCATGACCAGCCACAGACATTATTGGAGGGGATAGGATCTGCCATGGAACTCACCCATCACCGAAGAATCGATAGCCGGTCGAACCCCGGCAGCAGCTTGCTCCTTGATATGGGCGACAGTCCCCCCCGTAACAACTCCTCCTCAGAATTCAGCGTGTCTTCTGGCAACCAAGACCGTGCATCAGACTGCTCTGTACTACCGGGCCCGATTCCATGGGATGGGAAAATTTCATGGAAAACAGTATCAGTTTTTGAAAATGTTAAAGACATAGCCAACACGCTTTGCAACCAGCCGCCGGAGATGGCCTCTCGTGGGCTGTTTCAAGACGATCTAGTCTTCAAGCCTCGGCAAGGAGACTTGAACGTTTATCGTACTGTTGCAGTCCTGAACCTTCCGGATAATATCGATATGAAAACGTTTCTTAAGGGCATACGTGGAGGCTGCATTTACTCTGCCCATCTACACAATACGTTGTATATCTCCGGGTCACATATGGGCGTCGTCACTTTCATTTTTCAAACCGATGCTATCGCATACGCCGAATTCGCAGCGAAGAATGGTGTTTATTTCAATGGTAAGCGCGCAGAAGTTGTCTTGTTCAAGACGCCTACATACCCGATATCGGAAGTCATGGAAAGGTATATCTTTGATCTCGGCCACACCCGTTGCCTGTCCATCCGAGGAGAGAGCGACCCAGAGCGATTTACCATGATTGCTAAATTCATGAAAGATAATTCTCGCATGTACTTTGATCTTGGAGACCAGATGGTTGAAAATGAAACGAAAACAGAGATCATTGTTAGGTTTAATTCAGTTCAAGCAGCTGCTGGAGTGATGGCAAAACTGGAAAAGTTCCCTCTCCTTTACGGGTGTGATATCGACTTTGACATCGACCCTTGCTCTGAACCGCTGCCTGGCCCAAGAATATTTTGAAGCTCCAGAGTAACCAGCAGCCCAACAGGTTACTCCCGACTATAGAGGCACGACATCCAGGAGTCACGACCGGTGTCCAGTAGCTTTAGCTCTTCTTCGATCCATGGATAACTACTGCATCAAAGTATTTTTTGACGCAGAGACGATTGGCGATGGAGTATGGAAGACAAACGCTGCATATCATCAGTTTGAGGCTATAATTGGCGTTGGCGCGCAGATTTAAATCGGGGATGTGACTTAGTTTTACTTCGTTTTCCCTCTTTGTGCAATAATTAATAGGTTCCATAGCGCGAGATCAGCATGAATCGATAACGTTCCATACATAGTCATGGGTCCTTTGTAATTTCTTCCAATATTCCTCAATGGCCTATCTGGTCCAACAGATCTGACAATCAATACTAGTGTACATAACTACTAAGGAAAATATAGCCTCAAAAGAACATCAGCATACACTGGCAGAGTGTGTGACGATTTGATAATTGAGGAAACATCTAAAGGACAAAGCAGATATTGCAACATCCAGGAACCTATCAAAAGTCAAGTTATGAATATTGACAACTGGAATAGCCACCATGCAAATGAATGATACTGGGCTCTACAATGAGTAGGACTAAACAGATAGTAACAGCAATCCCCGTGCCATCAAATAAAAGCCTACTCCTTGAATAAAAACGGGATACAATCGACAAACGGGCCTAGCCAAACAGAAGATGAGTGGATCAGACAAAATTTCGTTTCTTTCGATTATACGCTCTCTGGTCCTTTAGCCATTGGCGATAACCTTGGACACTGCCAATCTTTTCGCCGTAGTAATCCGGGACTGGGTTTGCAAAAGAGTTCGCTGAGGGGTCGACACGAAAGCGTTTTATCCTATCATAGAACTCCTTTTCTTTCTGCAGGGTTCAATGTCAGCGACTGTTATGCGTCCGTTATCAAGCGAGGAAGAGCGAAAAAGGGGGGAAAAAAGAAAATATGGAGAAAATTCGGGGCATACCACAACCACGGCACCCTTATATTTCCGATATACAAGTCCCCAAACTGAATTCCCCAGCACTGGCCCCGCCAGCCAGCCAACCGCACCGCACGCAATGGTCGTCAAGCCCAGAACAATAAAAGGATCAAAACCCATAATCTGTGCGCCTAGGGCCTCAAAGTTCTGCGAGGCGATGACCTGCGCTCCCGCTGCGGTGGTGGTGAGGGAGGCAAGGATGGAAGAGACGAGAGAGTATTTTCGGCGAGAGGCGCGGAGCGTAAAGAAGGAGTTCCAGTCTAGCCGAACCGGTGTTTGCGAAGAAGACACGGAGCTGGAATCATGTGTCTGCGCGGCAGATGAAGAAGCGCGGCGGAGGGAGGTGGCTTGAGCAACGATTGAAGTGGGCGCGGCGGGGACCATTGCCGGGGGCTGGTAGAGATAGCAGGAGATAGGACGGCCAAAAGCGGCTCTTGTGCTGGAGCTTGCAGCTCGTCGTTGCTCGGGGTAGCGGCCGAATCTGTTTTCCTGGTACTGGCGCCGGGTGGTGGTCTGTGACGCGGAAGGGCATGAAACGGCGGCGAGGGTCGGCCAGACGACCCGGCCGCCGAGAGCAGCGGTACGGACGGGGCAGCTCATGACAGTGAGATTCATCTTGAGGGCGACGGGGCGGGATATGATCGAGCTGCGTCTTGTCGGGTCTCAACCGCAATCGAGGTTTGCTTCAGGAATCAGCAGCTCGTTTGCCGCCCAGAGGATGATATAAGCAGCGCTGATGACTAAGAGGGCCTGATATTCGAGAATTCAACAAAGTCGATTCAAAGCCTCTATCTAACACTTCTACGGTCTATGTATGCAGTCCGTGGCCCTGTGCATCCTGTGACAAAGGTCCAGCACGTCACTCCCTTTGCTTCCGGGCCTTGGGCACTTTGGGTTCTCCGTTCAGCCTTGCGTAGAGCCATTGAAGCAGAATTGTGCTGGCGGTCATCAAGGCGGCGCTGACGAGGAAGAGTATCACCCGCCACGGCGTTGTTAGTTTCTCGAACAGTGGGTATGGGTACCTTTTTGCCAACGCGGGCACAGTTATTACCCAAAACATCCGCCTAGTCGGTCAAATTCAGACGTACCACCCGTTATACTTGTAGCACTGCTCCACCCAAAACCAGTATGCAAATGCGATGGAGGTGGCCAGTCCAAACGACGGCATCGCAGTGATCGTCCATGGCGGAGAGAAAAGTAGGAGATCGATGACCAGGGCGATGCCTGGAACAGCATGGAACCCTAGATCTGTGGAGCTTTAGCATCTTGTCTTTCGAAGCATAACAAGTCAATGCCTCTCATACCCGGTAACAGCGCCGTCTCCGACCACTCTGGCACAACCAGCCTCTCGTCGACCTATTCTCGTCCTGCAGCGTCAGTGTGTATCGCCAGTACGATAATGGCATTGATTGTATATATGTACGCATTTCAACCCCCCAGTAAAGAACAGCGACCAGCACTTCCAATGGTGCACTACACACAGAGAGCATGTTCTTAACAAGAAAAAGCCGCTGGGAACGTAGTAAATCGGCAGCCAGGCCAGCCGCAAAGGTCATGGTGGCCAGGGTGAGGCCAATGATCGTGAGATACTGAAAATGCCAGCCATAGGCTTCATTTCTGCAGCGACGAGCACCGGTCAGGAGAGGGTTGAGCCTTGGAGCCAAACCACTCACGCGAAATTCGGATGATCGATCATGCTATTCGGGCATCAGAGCCAATAAGCCAGGATATCAAGCGACGAAGAGTACTCTCAAGGGGGCTGGGGTCCTGGGGACCACAGATCGACTCACAACTTAAACGACGCCAGAAAGCTCGAGAGGCCGGCAAACTACAGGTATGAGAAGAAAGAGGATCCAAGTCAACCAGCGTCCTTCTCCATGATGAGAAACAGGCACAGCAGCTCGCTAGCAGCGCTGGCCCGCCATGGAGCCGTCGGGCCCGTAGACAGCTTCCTAGAGACAAAAGATGCTCCGATTTGCCGTCATAAACACAAAATACTAACATGGACCATTGCGGAAGCACCAAGCGATGGCGACGACAACTTCTGAAGCGGATGTCTGGCTTCTTCGACAAGGTATTTCGCGGCGGAAGCCATGCCGCAACGCAACAGCTGGGCGTCCGTGAGAATCTATGAGCAGTCAGGTAGAAACGAAGGAGAAAACGAGAGAATAGCGCAAAGATAAAAGCGCAGGCCAGGAGGATAGAGGATGGAGGAGAGTGAGAAACGACCTCAGCGATGGCGACTGAACGGCACTTGATGTCATCTCCAGCCTTGCGGATTCCAGCCGAACAGCTTCACCATTCAACCAGTCAGTCAGTTATCAACACAATCAGCAGTTCTTTGTCCTCGCACTTTTGTCATTCTCTCGAGGTTATCACGCGCACACTCCTAGCGGTCTGGCGCAATCTTCCATCTTAGCAAAGGGAGCGCCACCCTGATCCCGTCTCTTCCCAGCTCTCCTCTCCTTGCAGACGAGACAATTTCTTTACCATGACAGATTTCCGACAAATCTCCCACGGTCGCGGCGGCGCAGGTATATCGAATTCAGGCACCTTGAAGCAGACACACTGACCCTTTCCGTCTAGGCAACATGTCCAGAATACGCTCCCCCGCCGAAAACCCTGAAGAACTAATATTATCATGCCCAACAATCAAAGCAGACGTCTATACCACCGGCCGTGGCGGCTCCGGAAACATGGTCTCCAATGACGACCCGGAAGCTACAAGAGCGAGACAGGATGTTGATGTCCCCCCGTCTGTCACCGCTGGGACGGCCGATGAAGGCCGCTTTCACACTGGACGAGGTAGTTATACTGCTGGGGCGGCGGTTTCGTACATACACATGCATGCTACAAGAATGCCTCCGGCTAATTGAAATCCTTTGAAACAGGCGGCGCAGCCAATGTTTACACCCGCTCTCCTGGCGATATCGTCAACTCCGAAGACGATCCCGACACACACGCTCTCGTTGAAAAAACCAAGAGCCATGCCGGCAGCTTCCAGCACAATAATACAGGCAGCAGCCCCGAGCGCAAAGAAACGAATAGCCAAGATGATATGCCACAAAAACCCGGAATTGCCCACTACTTCATGCCCGGGAACCTCCAACAACGCCGTTCTCGTTCGGGGAGTAAACAGCATGACCCGAGCTGAACTTCGAACTTAAACGACGTGATCTGCTTCCCTTCCATCCCTACCGCGATAGTTTTGTTATCAAACCGCAACTCGCCTGGCATGGACTTGTTGAAACGCTGCCCAATAACCATATGTATATATCTTCCCCATCGCTTCTTCCCTTTCCGACATCGGCGCGTTTTGGTATTGGAGTCTCCGAGTGTCTTCTTTCCGTTTGGTATGGAGCATTTGCTTTTAATTCTCCTTAGCATGACTATCCTGAGGGATAGTCTGTCTGCTTCTCTACTGTTGTTCACCCCTCTCTCGTGTTTATATAGTTACCGCTAACCTTTGGATTTCACTGACCCGTCTAAAGTGAAACTTTGTTGAACAATAAGCGTATTCTTTACCCAAGCAGTCAGTTCTCTCTGCGGCCACGGGAATATTTCATTCGAATACACTTGTCATATCCACAAGATGATAGGTACTCACCTATCATATTCGCCATCATGCTAGCTCTTATACCCGAATTTTCAAACACTGCTACAACTCCCTTCAGCCGAGGAATTCCCCGTTAGCAAGCACAGTCCAAGGCAAATTCTCTTGCCATGATCGCTGCATCAACTTGCGCGCTCGTCGAATCTATGGAATCCACGCATAAGTCTACAGTACACTCAAATAGATCTTTCACAGAACATACCTGCTTCATCCCTACCCCTTCAAACCCCTTAAATCGGGCCCGGATCGCCTGTCTCTGCGCCGGATCCTGCGTCTCACACCCAACTGTGAATAACGGTAACAGCGCACACACTTCTGTGGCACCGCCGCGTGGCACATGGTCCAGTGACTCGATCAGCAAATTGACCGACTCTACCACCTTAGGGTCAGAATGACTGAGGGAAAAGACCCGTCTGTATAGCTGAACGATTCCCGCGAGGCGGTATGAATCATCCAACGCCGCCATATCGCTATGCTCTAACACTCCGTGGTGCGTGCGTCGATCGCGACTGTTTGAACCCGCAGCAGTCATGTCACGAAGTAGCCCCTCAGCTGCAGCGAGGATGGATGGTGGTAGTGTCAACACTGAAAGGAAACGATCCGTGCCAGGATCCACCCGGTAAGCGTCACATCGATGAATCAACTCTGCTAGACGAACAAGGAGCGAGCGGCATTCCAAAGTGAATCCCGTAAAGCAGTCAATCTCAAGGTCGCTCCCAGGATTCCGGGCATCATCAAGAGCGACCGTGGACCAGTAGTTTCCACCAAGCAGCGGAGGCTCTGTTTGCCGTGAAGATAAGCTGCCTAGGATATCCAGATACCCGAGCCAGCGACATAGGAAAAACTCTACTTGATCCGACGAGTATTTTATCTGCATCTGTTTCCTGGCCAGGAATAGTCCGCGAGCGAGGTTTAAATAACTTTCCCAAGGGATTGGGACCTCAAATGTGCTGGGAGATATTATTTTGAGCGAGGCGAGCATTATCGCACTTGCAAGGTTTGTATCTGAAATCTTCTCATTGGAGTCATCTAGCGCATGACGAAGTTGCGGAAATACATGACGAGTCCAATGCGCGATACGATTATATGGTTCCGCATGCCCAAGAAGACGAGCTCGATGGCTGGCGGAGTACGCGAGCAAGAGCTTTAAGAGGTTGGTATCTTGTATAGCCACTTGGATCTAGTTAGCAACCATCCCATAACGGTCGTATTTCAAACGAAAAAAAAAAGGGGGGGAAGGGCTTACTAGCTGGTAAGACGTTGGAGAATGGATTATTCGAGCAGTCATGCGGGACCAAGATCTTCGAAGTGTGGTTTAAGAAATGATAAAAGTATAATAGATTGATGGGGTTTTCCAATAATGCCGATGGCAGCGGGATCAGATAACGTGGGATATTAATGGGAACCGGTCTCGCGTAGTATCCTCCCTTTGTGAAAACGGCTGTTACCCGTTTTTGAGTATCGCGCCCCGAATTCGCCCATCCCGATATCGCGGGAAGGCTCCAGGGGGCAGAGGGCTGTTCCGTGATATCGTATTCAATTGCCGTGGAGTCGTCATTTCGATTGATGTCGAGGTCAAAGCGGCCACAATCAAAGCCGTAACCAACGGTGGTTTCATTCAATGCCGTAACCCTGACGGTTGATAGAGTAGTGCTGGTCTGCGGGTGGATGTCAACGTCCGCCAACCGCACATCACCGATCGAGTGAGATAACAGTGACTGGACTGAAACGCGGTGGAGGCTTGCGCGTGTGTCTGAAATATGAGGGCTCAGCGGCTGCAATGGCTGGTAGGCCTCTTCAGAAGTGGTATCTGATAAATCGGAGGTAGGGGAGCAGATAATTCGCCCTGGACTATGGCTCGTTCCGTGTGCACTCGAGGCCAGCCGAAGCCGATATCTTGCCGTAAGCGCGCCCGGCTCGTGAGGTCCATGGGTAGTGATTTTCACCCGTTTAGCATCATGACGGGCCTCCGTATCCAGAGCCCTTCCTGCATAGATAGGAGACGGGCTAAACGAGTTCTGGAAATGGGAAAACGGCGCAGGACCGCTTGTCGGCTGGAATGGGGCGATCCCAGGGCTTGCCATCGCCGAGTCAGATGGGGAGGGATATGGGGAGAGCCGGGTTTGCGACCAGGTTGCATCATCTCTAGGGAAATTTCCGGTGGAAGGGGACGGGTTGCTCTGCGCAGAGGAGGGATTCGAATATGGCTGGGAAAGAACCGGTGTCGTCGTCGTAGAGATCGATCCAGCAGGCTGTGCATTAAAACCAGAGGCAAAACTCGGGTTCTTCTCTGCGAGCGAGCCATGTTGCGTGTGACTTCCAGCGCATGATCGGGCATCGCTGTGACGCCGGGTCGACTCCGCCAGTTGGATATTGGATGTCGAAGAGGCATCATTCCCCGGAGCGATTTGCACCAGTGATCCCGCCTGCGACGCACTGACAGGCTTCCTTTTCACTCTTCCTTCCCAGTTCAAGCGAATGCTGTAGTCGCACGTCTCGCCCTGTCGTCGACAATTGGCGCACGTCGGTTTCTCTTCACCACTAGTTACGAGAGCACAGCATTAGCACCGTCGCACAGGGCCCAGGCAGCATTCGGTCATCACATACCATTTCACCTTTCTAGCCTTACACGGCCTCCAGCGAGCACAAAATCAGCATAAGCGTCGGAGAAGATCAGAAAACGAGCAGGTCTCCGCTGCCAGGAACCACGGCAAATATTGACAAGGGAAAGGAGGTAACACCAACCAGCAGCCATTTCTACTTCGTCTCTTCGGCTCAGGCGCACCGGGTTTCCTGGGTCGCGGCATTCTCCCGCAAACAGACGGCCGGCCGCTGTCGAAACCGCACGGCGGGGGAAAAGACAGAGATCGCGGCCGGGGGAATCGAGGGTGACGGGCTTCATCGGGCAGATGGGATCAGGTCACTCGACGAAGCACCCTCGATACATCAAACAAGAGCGCAAGTCTCGTCTCTAAAGGACAGTTGAGTCGAGCCGTGATGGAACGACATCGACTGGGCAGGTTGGGCTCGACAGGTGAACTATTAATAGTCTATCGGCGAGGATTCCACGCTGGACCATCACAACGGCACATGGCCTTTTCACCCGATTTGATATTGTCACAGAAGACCCGGGCTCGCTAATTAACTACCATTTCCAATTCGAATTCATATTTGTTTCCATTGATAGCCATACAAAACTAACTGTATATATCTCCCTGTAAGCGGCTCCGTCGGCTAGGATATGATATGACGAAGACCCGCTCAGGAAGCCCATCCCACGGAGACGAACAGGCCAAGCACAAGATAACCGACACGAAACAGCGCGAAGAAACAGCCACGCACAGCGGAGACGCAGAGGGAATGACAACAAACCAGGCATCTTCCGCACAGTATCACGCCCAAGGCCAAATGCTTTTCAAACCATTCACAAACGCCACGCCCTCCGGATAGCCCCAAAACTCACGTATAAAAGGTCCGATCAAAACGAAAGTGCATGACAACACAGGTGTGAAACAAGATGACGGTGAAACATGCAATACACTGTCGATATTCTACTCCTCCCATTCCTCACCTTCGCCATCACGCTCCTTTGCAGCTGCAAGGGCAGCAGCGGCACCTCTTGCGCCCTTGACTCCGTCTTTACGAATGGGAATTTTGATCCCTTGGATGGCGAAACACTTGCTCAGCGGAGTGCTCTCGATGACACCGGGGAATTTCTTTGCGGAGAAAACGTGGAACACATCCGAGAAGACGCTTGCGAGGACGGGTGCGGATCCATGGCTCAGAACGGGACCTGATTCACTGGCAGAATCCGACGGATCCGTGCCAACATTGACGAAATTCATCTTCAGTCTAAAAGTAAAAATGGTGAGTACAATGCTGTGCGAGTTTACCGAAGAAGCAAAGCAAAGGCGAGAGGATACGGACCTAAAAGCACCTTCAGTCCGGACGCTCAAGTCCTGCAAGATAAACCAAATCCCAAGCTTGTTCTCTGGATCCGTCAACTTAAAGGCACTGGCGCTGAGGCTGCCAATCAAATTCCGCGTGAACATGCCGGTTGGCTGGGCCGCGGCCATGGCTGCGGGCATCACGGATTGAGCGGCCATCGGCGCCGAGCCCTGAGAATAGTAACTCGGGGTCATGGAATAATACGGCTGGGCCGGAGCCGGCTGATAGGGCATGCCTGGCTGGGCGTATGGTGCTTGGGCGGGGTAGTACTGCGGGTACCCGGCGGGCTGGCCGTACATCGAAGACGGATGGCCATAGGAAGGGTATTGGGGTAGCTGCGGTGGGGGCGGGAAGGACGAGGCACTGGCGGTTGAGATCGATGGAGAGGTCGCGGAGTGTCGCACCAGGTTGACCTCACGGTCGCCATCGGCATTCCAGAGGTCGACGGTCAGGACGAAGAAGGAGGTGTCAATCTCTCTGCTCGAGTCCGGGTTAGCGGTGAGGGGAAAAGCTCCGGGAACAGAAAGTCCGCATGGACCTCTTGGACGTACGTGACATCGATCTCTTTGCGAGACTGCGCATCCAAGACCCTTAGGCGAACACACGGTGGCGGCGTGATGGGACGACGATCCTGAACCTGTCAGCGCACGGGCGCAGAACCACGGAATTGGAAGGGTGGGGGAGAGCTCTGTTGGAGTGAGGCAAGGGGACCCAGGGAGCGAACCTTGTCGCCGAAACCACACATCCGGGCGCGGACGGGCTGCTGCAGGACCTCGAGGATGTAGACACGGCCATGCCAGATGGTGGAGACGGGCGGCGGCGGGAGACGAGCAGGCACGGCGGCGGGGGGCATATGGGCGCGATTCGGAGGCGGATACACCGAAGCAGGAGGCTGCTGCGGCGGAGGCGGACCGACCTGCTCGTACGACAGCGGTGGAGGGGGCATCGGATGGGGTCTGTCCTGGTCGAGCGAGTACATGGCTGGGACACGGGCGGTAGCAAGCAGAACAGGGGACAAGAGCAGAGCAGAGCAGAGCAGAGCAGACACAGAGGTACTTATCGACAAGACACAGCGGACAGCGCAGCAGCGTTGAGCATGGGCGAGAGCCACGGGGACGCTCTTCTGCAGTTCTTGGGCGTCAACAGCGAGATTCCGGCGATCAGCAGGCGAGCGCAGCTTATGTCAGCACACCGGCTCCCTCCGCATCCGGCTAGGCTGCACCTCCCGAGAACTGGGGGCCCGGCTGGGGCTGCCCGCCAATCACCGCCGCCGGCAACCCTCCCAAACCGCCAGGTCGGGTCCGCGTCCAGCTCCCCGAGCCCTGGGAACGGACCGCCATTGGTGCAGCCCGTCCCACTGGTCTGCAGCATCCCGACTCATGACCGTGCAGAGTGGGGCTTCCCGTTTCGCTTAGGCAGGATCCTTGCATGAGTCGAGCCACGGATCGAGTCAGCCCAGCATGACAAAGCACTCCGTTTGCGGTCGCTGGGAGCAGAGTAGGAGTTATATGTATGTTATCATTCTTCTTCTTCGTCACATAACTAATAAACTAAGCCCCTCACCGCTTCGCATAATTCTGATGCCAGGTGTATCCTCCCTCCCTCGCCCCGTCCTGCACCAACCGTGCAACATGCTGCATGGCATCTCTGGGCTCCCGGCCCAAGAGCTCTTGCATCAGCGGATCCACCGTCCGGGCCTCTCCCTGCTCCATCGCCTCGATCAAGCTCCTCCAGGACGTGAAGAACTGCTCGGACTTTTTCCCTCTGCCATCCTTGGCGTCCTCTGCCGCCAGGATGCGCGGGAAGTCGTCCCGCGACACCTGTTCAACGGGGATATCGGTGCCGGTGGCTTGGGAGATCGCGGCCACCACGTCGGCGAGCGTGTAGGTGCGTGACGCCGTCAGCAGTGCGATGTTGTTGTGGAACGACAGTGTTCCCGGATCGCGCAGCATCAGGTTTGCCGTGGCCTCGCCCAGCTCTTCCCTGGACGTGAACGCCACCGGCCCGTCGCCCGGGAGATGGACTTTCTTGCTATCGGGATACCAGGAGAGGAAGACGGGGAAGGCATTCGTGTAGATACCCATGCGGATAGACGTATAGCGAAGTCCCGATCTAGCCACGCAGAAACAACCCAGTCAGCCCACGGCCATTCAACAACCTCTGCCTTTGCATCCGGGGAGCTCATACTGCTGGAGCAAACGCTCCGTCACCAAGTGCGCCTGCTGTACGCCAACATTGCTATGCGATCCGTATCCACCAAATGCTAGACTGGCGTAGTAGACCTATAAGTATTTCGTCAGCCATCCACGCTCCGTCGTCATCGTCATGCGTCTAGAGCATACATAATGCACCCCGGCCTCCCTCGCAGCCTTCACGACATTCGCATGTTGCTTCTCTCGCTTCACACTCTCAATCTCTGGGCTGGAGACGAAGAAAAGCCGCTCGACCCCATGCAACGACTTCACCATCTGCTCCCGGTTCCCGAAATCTAGATGCCGAAACTGAATGCCGGGGTAGTCGTTCTGCAGGCTGTCGGCTGCATCGGCGCGGGAAGACGCGGCTGCAATGCACGCCTTGCTGCCTGCAGAGACGTGCTCGTACAGCGTTGCCAGCACTGAGCCGCCGAGACCGGATGTTGCGCCGGTGATGAGGAACTTGATCGCAGACATGGTCAATCTAATAATTATCGCTTTGGGGCTCGATTTGGTTCTTCTGAATCCGACAGATGAGAAGACTCTGAAGCCCTGGAGGGCCACAGTCGCGGGCTTTTATCCCCCCTTCCCCTTCTGCGACAGACAGGGCTGCAATCCATGAGGTCAACAAAAATGTCCGCGATGCTGACAAAAGTCGGATGAACAATGGGATGCGAAAGGCGGGTTGCCGCGGTTTGTCTCCGATCGCCTTTCTTGTTCCCCGGCCTCAGGCAGCATCAACTGACGCATCTGCTGTGCTCGGTCGCGTTGGCGCCTTGTCGTTACTAATTGTTGCGTTTTTCATGCCGACGCGGGGTGATATTCCGCCGAAATGACGATTATAACTAAGTAGTTAGTTCTCTCCCATCTGCGCTTCTACAACGCGACCATCTTCATTGCGCCCAACAACCAAGACTTTGAGAAGAAACAATGGCCTCGAACCCTCCTGGAGAATGCTGCACCCGCGGCGTCCAGCATGACGGCACGCCCGCCGGAGAGATCAAGGATCTTCACGGCAGTCAGTTGCTCGCTCCCAGCTCCAGACAAACCAATATGCTAAGCACTCTCCACCAGCCCAGACGTATTTCGCCTATCCCCAGGGTGACAGCAAGCCCGAGCATGCCGTCCTCTTCCTGTCCGATGTCATTGGCATCTATCCCAACAGCCAGCTCCTCGCCGACGGGTTTGCGTCCAATGGGTACCTCACCATGGTTCCCGACCTCTTCCGCGGCAATGCATGGCAGCTCAACGCCGGCTCTGCGGGCCTCATGGACTGGCTGAGAAACCACCAGCCCGAATCCGTCGACCCCATCGTTGAGGCGGCGATTAGACACCTGCGGGAGGAGAGGGGCATCAAGAAAATCGCTGCCGTGGGATATTGTTTCGGCGCCAAGGTGCACTCTCTTCCCTCCGCAGCTCATGAACCAACGCCGACGTGGGCTCCGCTAACCCAGTGAGTCCAGTACGTATGCCGGTTCTTGAAACAGGGCAAAATCGACGTCGGCTATGTCGCTCACCCGTCGTTTGTGACCCCTGAAGAGCTAGCCGCCATCGCCGGCCCTCTCTCCATCGCTGCTGCAGGCAAGCCCTCTTCCGGCCCAAATCCCCCTCCACTTACACAATTACCATTCGCTAACCTGCATTCCCACAGAAACTGACTCCATCTTCCCCGCCAATCTCCGCCATCAATCCGAAGAGATCCTCCGGAAGACAGGCCTACCCTACCAGATCAATTTATATAGCGGTGTTGAGCACTCGTTTGCTGTGCGCGGAGACTTGAGCAAGAAACAGATCGCCTTTGCAAGAGAACAGGCGTTTATCCAAGCCGTTACTTGGTTCAAGTGGCATCTATCATCCATGAACCTTGATTCATTCTCAAGTCATTCAGATTGGGCTCGTATCTAGAGAAATACCAAAGAATTGGAGCTCGCGTTGCTTTGAAGTTTGCATCTCGGATATGCGGTTGCGATGTCGATATCTCATCGCTGAAGCAGGCGTCAACACGGAGGCGGATCTTCTGCGCAACAATTGTCTCGTGATATGCGCGTACTGTACATCCAATCGAGCGATGATGGCGGCGACCAAGTGAATACGATGGTCGTGCATCTAGTTACCGTTCTATTATAGTAAATTGCTTTATTTTTGTATGCACAAGCGCTCAAGAAAAATGACGGTAAAATGAGATAAAAACGTAAAAAAAACCAGTTACCACATATCTCCGGGTGTTCCCGTAGCCTGCCAACTCCTGGAGCTAAATGGACCCAAAATAGAGCGCTATGCAGAATGCTATCATCTGGCGCGGATCAAAGCTTCGGTGAAATTGGGGAATACATCAACTGCGTATCGCTGTAACCAATGTGCCTGTTATCTGCTTGCTGAAATGGCAAGAAACCATCAATCAAAGGACGAAATAGTACATGCAAACAAGAATGTAAAAGGAAAGCGAGGATAGGCCATGCGTGTGTCTGTTCCAAAAATACGTTCATCTTCAAAATGTCAACGTACGACGAACGCACAGCGGCGATAGGAAGGGAACAAGCCTGGTGCCTCCGTGGAGGTGACATTGGGTGTTCTGAGCATTGGTGAGAAAACTAGGGCTTGAATATTAGTGGCGTGGTCGCGCCGCATTACTCGTCAGGGTTGTAGAGATTTTGGTTGAGGATCTTCGTCATAGTAAACATGTGGACGCGGTCCTGTTTGAAAACGGCGCGCATGCGGTCATCACACCTGATTTGACGTCGATCGGCTGGATCCTGGAGTTTATTCTCACGGATATATTGCCATATTCTTTTCACCGTCTGCGGCCGAGAGAGCTGTAAAAACGACTCAGTTTGCAGAAGCAAATTGAAAAAGGACAGCCGACGATTTACTTACGGATACTTCACCATCAAAAAGGGCCGAAAGCGCAGGCGACAGGTTGAGCGGTTTCTAGGGGAGTTAAGAAAGCTGTCCAGGACCGCAAAACCGGGCAACTCACATGGAAACCCCCAGTTCTGTTCACTTCCCTCTTATTCTCATTGGCCGAACCCTCCATCTCAGAGTCGTCTGAGGCTTTCACTCTTCTCGGCATTTTGGACTTTGTGGTCTTTTTCTTTTTCACTGGCGCAGCTTTTCTTGCCGCTCTTGTTGGCCTTGCGAGAGAGTCCTCTTCGGCTTGTAATCTCGCCGCATACGCTGCATCGGAATCAATCAGATCTGACTTGCGTTTCTTTTTAGGAAAAGGCGCGTCGGCTTCCTCGGAGGCACTCTCTGCCTCCGCACTTCGCTTCTGTGACGTTGCTGACGGGTCGGGGGAAACCTGGTTTGCACCAACGCCATCGTCCGCTGCAGAGTTGGCCTGTTCAGCAAAAATATCGAATCTCACCATGATCAATTCCTTTATTTCAGCCTGGGTAGAAGCTGTTAGCACAAAGCGTCCACGCACAACAATCCGTTAATCACGATAGACCCCACCTTGTAAGGCGTAAGGTCATGTCCAGTCGCATCCTGTAAGCCTCTGCGGATGCGCTTCTCCGAAATGGTGTTCAAGTCACTGTCGGCTAGGATCTTGTCGATGATCCCAATATAGGAGAATTTGACGTCCGGAGACACTGTAAAAAGACAGTCCAGTCAGCCTGGGGGAAGCATCTCCAGGGCGGTGCTCAAGAGGATCTTACAAGCCATCATGAGGACCTGGAAGCTCTGACAGGAGCAAGAAATGGATGAGTCTCTCTGCTGGCACGATGTAGGCGGTGCAATTTGGGAAACAGATGCTCTTTGATTGGCAACAGGGCTATGGCTGTGTGTCATAAATGGAATATCGCATCTATGCGCATGTAGGAACGCTGGGCGAGGCCTTATGGGTGTTCATATGAGAGGATGCAGCAAGCTTGGATGGGAGCGGCTGATTGCGGTGTTGACAAGGGAACAAAAGACCCGCGCCAGTGAAAGACGAGACACTGAGGCAGAGACAAGTTAAAAGAAAGTCAATGGCACGGTCGACAGAAGAAATGCCATTTGTCAAGAGAGCAAGCTCACCCTTGCAGCCGAAAAGCGATCCACGGCTCGTCCCGGCCAGCAGCATCGAGCATCATCATGAGATCAATCTGCCAGTTCACTCGGTTCAACGTTGCGACCTGCCATGGCCCGCGCTGGCCAATCACAGGCCGCGAATCAGGGTTAGTAAGCACTGCTGGATGACTCAGCGCGGAAAGCCCCGAGTGTGGCTGGGCAGGGGCTAGCCAGAACAGGACTAGACGCTGCGCCACACGCTAGGCCCAGTCGGGCAAGCCCTAAGCCCTAACAGGGGCAACGAGGCTAACCGTGTTGGGACGGGCGATTTTTTGCCGTTGAAGAAAGACAGCAAAACGGACGACGAACTTGTTGCCAGCACCGACTCACCCAGCCTGCATTCCGTCTCTGTCTGTCGGCATTCCAGCCAAGATGGCACCCAGCTTCGATACGCTCTCAGAGCAGGACCTCCACGAAGAGGAAGTAGAAATCGACTTTTCAGGTACGGATCGCGTTTCCCCCAGCTCGACTTGGGACCCCTCGCTAACGGCCTGTCGTGCCGCCATTCTAGATCTCAAAGCGCAATATGAAGTTAGGCTGGAGGAAGGCCTTGATGCATTCGTTGTGATCGATGGGCTCCCAATCGTCCCCGAGGACAGCAAACCGAAACTCATCAAGTTCTTGTTGAAGAAATTGAACACCGTCGGGAGAACGAGGGAAGATGCCATCTTCATGCCCCTAAACGAAAAGGGAATGTCTGAAGGGTGAGGTCGCGTGAAATGGAACTTTGATAATCGTCCTCTTACTCAGTGATTTAGGTTTGCTTTTGTCGAATACGATACCCCAGAGCAGGCAATCGCAGCGACAAAGCACTTGCACGGCACGCCCTTGGATAAGAAACATACGCTAGCAGTCAACAAGCTGACGGATATCGATCGCTATGGGCGGGAGGGCCGCATTGATGAGGAGTACACCCCGCCCAAGATCGAACCGTTCCAGGAGAAGGAGCATTTGCGATCGTGGCTCGGAGACCCCAATGCTCGAGACCAATTTGCAATGTACCGCGGTGACAAGGTGGGCGTCTTCTGGAATATGAAGAACAACCCGCCGGAGAACGTGGTCGACCGTGATCATTGGACCCAACTATTCGTACAATGGTCCCCTCTAGGCACTTACCTCGCCTCCGTGCACCCTCAGGGCGTGCAGCTTTGGGGCGGACCGCAGTTCAATAAACAAAAACAATTTCCCCATCCTTTTGTTTCACTGATGGAGTTTTCGCCCGGCGAGAACTATCTCACCACCTGGTCCAGCCGCCCAATTCAGCTAGATGGCCCTCCGGGTATACTCTCGTATGAGGAGGAAGGGAAAAATATCATCATTTGGGACATCACTACGGGAAAGCCACTCAGATCATTCGTTTCTCATGAACTTGCCGCTCCGGCGGCGGATGGTGACGCGGCGCAGGCTAAGAAAAAAGTTCAATGGCCAGCGTTTAAATGGTCCGCCGATGAGAAATATGTCGCCCGCATGCTCCCAGGCCAATCAATCTCCATCTATGAGCTACCTCGGATGAATCTCCTAGATAGGACGTCGGTTAAAATTGAAGGTGTTATGGATTTCGAATGGTCGCCGGCAACTGTTCAACGTGAAGGTGTCAAACAATACGAACAACTGCTCTCGTTTTGGACTCCGGAAGTCGGAAACAACCCGGCAAAGGTTGGATTGATGAGCGTGCCATCCAAAGAAATTGTTAGGACCAGGAATCTTTTCAACGTCTCCGACGTCAAATTGCATTGGCAGTCCCAAGGAGTGTATGTGTGCGTTAAAGTCGACAGACATTCCAAATCCAAAAAGTCTTTGGCCACGAACCTCGAAATTTTCCGTGTCCGCGAGAAGGGTGTGCCCGTCGAGGTTGTCGATTCACTCAAGGACACTGTCATTAATTTTGCCTGGGAACCAAAGGGCGACCGGTTTGTTCTGATCACCACTGGTGAAGTCCCTTCAGGCACCGCGGTCCCACCCAAGACCGCGGTATCGTTTTTCGCTCCAGAAAAGACCAAGAGCGGTACGGCCGGTAACTTCAAGCTTGTACGAACAATTGAAAAGAAGACAAGCAACGGTATCTACTGGTCACCAAAGGGTAGATTCGTTGTTGTTGCCACCGTACATTCCCAGCAACATTTCGACATCGATTTCTGGGACCTTGATTTCGAAGGTGAAAAGCCGGAAGGCGAGAAAGATTTAAGCGCGAACCTGCAATTGATGAAATCCGCAGAACATTTTGGTGTCACCGACATTGACTGGGATCCTACTGGCCGCTATGTCGTCTCCAGCGCAAGCGCTTGGACTCACTCGGTTAGTACTGTCCTCGGAAGCATAGTTCTCCCTGCCTTTCGTGATCGTCTGCTGATTACTATATAGCTCGAAAACGGTTATCATATTCATACCTTCTCCGGCACCACCCTTGCCGAACACGCCGTCGAAAAGTTCAAACAACTCATTTGGCGCCCCCGCCCCCCAACCTTCCTTTCCAAGGAAGAACAGAAGAAGATCCGTCGCAACCTTCGCGAATATTCCCGCGAGTTCGACGAGGAAGACAAATATGCGGTTGATATCGCCAACACCGCAATTGTGGAAATGCGTAAGAGACTTCTCAGTGAATGGACTGCGTGGCTCAAGAAGGAGAAGGAGATTGTAGAGGAAGAGCGTGAAGCTTTAGGCCTACCCAAAGTGGAGGAAGAGCCTGCTGCCAAACCTGCTCCTGGTGCAGAAGATGATACGGTTGTGGAGGAAATTGTTGAAGAAATCATTGAGGAATCCGAGGAGATCATGGCATGATGTTATGGCTTTAAGAGGAATAACGAATTTCTTACTGATAGTCCGATGAGTTGATGCGAAAAGTCACAAGAGGCTGAGCTAAAATAGGTGGTGAAGACGGATATCTAGAGAGAAGAAATTGGACATTAATATCAAGCACTCAAGAATTGCTCCTCAGTCCACTCTCGGGGAATCTGTGAACTTGTCTTGATGAAACGATGCATTTAATCCAATTCAGAACAGAAGGACAACTCATTCAAACCCTCCTTGAACAGCACATCATCATACCATATATTTTCGCTGACAAAGTGGGTATATACACTGATATCGTCATATATCCCATCCTGATCAACCAATGCCTACTAGGTGCTAATCGGCTATAGAGCAATCATTGATCCAACCTAGCCTTTGTACATTTCATCGGAACAGCAGTTTATTTCAGGCCTTTCTATCCCAGGGGATAATGTGCCCAAATTCCCCTTGACCCAATTTCTCCAACATGCCCATCAAGATCCTGAAAGTACACACTTTTCCCCCCCGATGGCCAATCCATTCTCGCCATAATCTTCACTCCAAGCTTTTGCAACCTCTCCTCCCAAAGTCCCACATCATCGGGAAGAGCAACCGCAAAACAAAAGTGCTGTCTGAGATTGGGGATGGAGTCATCGTTGGTGCTGGGCCGGGATGACATGAGGGATGAGGAAACCGGCTTTGTCGGACCGTGTTTGGGAATCATGCCTCTCGGGCTGATGCGGTCCTTGTCCGTCCCCCCGAGTTCGAAAAGGAGAAGAGTCGTTGCGCCGATTGCGAAACCGACGGCTTTGTCCTGCGAGCCGCGGAGGGCCAGGTTAGACAACGGGTACCAGCGTGAGCAGGAGGTTCAAGGGTTTGCACATCCTCCTACCATGAAAACAAAGGGCTCCGTCTGGAGGACGTCTGTGTAGAATTTGGCCGCCGCATCTACGTCACGGACATAAAGGACGGTCTCCAATATGTGAGAAAGCGGCGGAGCAACCGGAAGTACTGTAGAAGTCATTCTATGTAGCCTTCTAGCGATGAGAGAAGCTGGTAAGAACACCGTGAGTATTAGATGTAAGTCAATATTGTTCATTCAACTGGATCTCGGGGACCTTTTTGAGCTTCGTATCAGCAGCTATGCCTTTGTAATATTCCAAGTTCCAGACCTCATTGCGGCCATAGTTTGTACCAGACCCGGGCCCAATTTGTTGTATGGCCATTATAAATCATCAAGTTCTCCAGCCTCACAAAGGATGTCACTAGGGTGACTAGCGACGGATTGTGTTACTTAGATATCGACTTGTTAAATGGCCGCTATTAACATCCTACCGCGAGCATACATAATAAGCATCGAACATACAGCCATAAAGCAAAGGTAGTCAGTTATAGAAGAAATCCGATTAACTAGCTACCGCAAAACGTCATTTATTCTTTCAAGTCACCAGCGAGCCACTTGTTGAGGAACACTAGGGCACCCTCTGGCTGATCATACGGTACGAGGTGGCCGGCCTTCAATACACGCAAGAACGCAAAGTTCTTGTGGGATTTCAATTGGCCATATGCCGTACCATTGGTGAGCATAACATCTTTCAGCGGCTTGCTCGCAAACTCAGATTTGCCCGGCCACTCAAGAGCATCCGCCCACATTTTATTGCCAACCCAGTTGCAAATATAATCGGCATCCCCCGCGTAGATGAGCACAGGAATCTTCTCGAGCAGGCCGGGGACCTTGCGGTGGTACGGAAGAGACCAGTCGCCGTTGTTGAAAAATGCGCGGTTGACAGCGCTGTTGCAAGATTGGAAATTGTCGACTTCGGCTCCAAGAGCTTGGATAACTGCTCGCTGATTCAACCAGCGACTGATCCATCCAACGATAGAGTAACAAAGGTTGGCTCGGTCTTCACATGGATATCGGACATCATATATATTGCGGCTAGATGGGTAAACGTTGAGAAAGTATGAATTACATGAACTAGCGGAGTTCACGCAAGTACGGGTATTTTGAGTGTCATAGCAGGATTGAACGGCTCGTTGGCACCCGGGAAGAGCGCGTGCCATTTGAGCACAAGTGTTTCTATTGAGGACAGCCTTGTATCCACCCTCGCCACAACCCATGGGACGATAGCCAGCATATTGTGTCTTTGGATCAGTCAGACCGTTACCAATTAGCACAGATTTGAGATTGAGGCCTCCCTGGGCGAGAATGTCCGAAGCAAATTGAGGGATGTAGTGGCCCGCATAAGATTCACCAGCAAGATGGAAAGGAAGCTCGGAGTACTCGGGAAACTGCTGGAACCACATCCTCAAAAACGCATACACGTCCTTGGAAGCCGAGACTGTATTGCTGACTGGGCTGGTGCTGTAAGAAAAACCTGTGTTGGCCGGTTGATCGAGAAAGATGACGGAGGCATTGCTGTTCCAAGCGTGAGGGTTGTAAACAAGGTCAATATTCCGATTGACTCGCGATGGGCCGAGTTCCATAAAGAGGCCGGTCATGGATGAGCACCCGGGGCCGCCGTTGAGCCACAGGATGATGGGGTCACTCTTCGGGTCATTTCTCGATTCAAAAAACCCTGCGGAGAAGTTAAGTCAGCCTGGATTAGACTGAAAGCGTCCTGACCGATCTACTAACAGAAAAAGAGATGCTTTCCGCTGGCGTTGTCGTCAAGGTATCCACTGTATTGTTTGACATTAGGGTCAACATTAAGCTTGCTGGGGTCAACAGCCTTCACTCTAAGAGCATAGTCATCGAATCCCTCGTGCCCATCGTCCATGGCGGCGAAGGACCCCTTGATCTCAGATCCGCGCACAATGTGATCCCACTCACTATCGGGTCGGCGGGAATGCTTTCTTGGCTTGACGAAAAAGTCCGCCATTTTAGCATCAGGAAGTGCAGCTTTGATCTCGCTCCAGTGTGCTTTTCCAGTTTCCGTGAGCATGTCAATGCTTATTTCGTCGTTGGTTGGAGCGTGAGCAGCCATGGTGGCTACTGCTCCGAAGAGGAGAATCGATAATAGGCCTGTCATGGTTGTCCCAAAGTAAAGTAGATTGAATGATTGGGATGGGCTGGAATTTACCCTTATTCCCAGAATCATAGCCTTCTATTTATCGGTTTCAGAGAGGAGGCAACGAAGATGCAACTCAAAACAATCAACACCATCCGTGGCCCTGGTCGACAGAAGATTAACACATTGCCCGGGGTACCATTCTGCACTTTCTCCAAAGGTGCCGAAAAGGGTAGCAGAAACTCCGTATTCTTTCATTAGCACAAACTCGGGTTGGGGTTGCTCCCTCCTGGGGGGCCGAGGTCTTCATTCCATGCAAATGGCCAACTTTGGTTCCAATTCCCCAGAAATGTAAAGCCTGACCACTTATTTTGCCTAAGCGAACTTTTAACATGCGCGTAAGTGGTTTCCCCATTCAGCTGATCAGCAAGTAGTGATAAACTCTGCAGGATGCCGAACAGCATCTCCAATTTGATAAACACTAGGATCGCCAAGGATTGCACCTTGTGAGGAATGACGATGAAACGACGTGGATCGCTGACGGGTTGCATTGGATGGAGACGAATGTTTGGGGAAACGTGGCTTAAAACATCCGCCGGGAAAGTTGATCGGCTCCTGAGTTAATATGTTGCCGATTAAAACCACTCGACTTCCTGGTGCATAGTCAGCTGAGCATTTGAGGAATATATTCCGACATCCACTCAATGAAGCAACACAGGGATTTTCATGTGGCTATCATCGTCGTGCGACTTGAGGCGTTTCGGCAACCGGGACTCAGAATTGTTTGTATGTACATACATACCAATATATGGCGGTATGGATCGCGATTACAACTCTTTGGAGAGAGTTGTCATCCCGACCCAGCTACACAAGGCTCCATGTGCCGCAGCAGGCGGGCAGTCTCCGCGGTACAAATCCAGGAGCCCAACAACCTAATATGCCAGGGAACCCCCTGAGTCGGAAATCACTTTGCCTGCAATTCCCGCAACTGCCAATAGTACTTTACCTGCGGGGTTGTTCCATTTCATAGTTGTCACTGGTGATCTGCAGGAAGGCCCTTTCACCTACTTCTCAGTTATGATAAATGAGGCAGACGAGGCCATGTGCATGATCCCTAAAATCCTTGTATTCGTGTTTGTGAAATCGCTGAGGACCTTGCAAGAAATCCATATCAATGATTTCAGACGGATTGCTTGTAACAAGTTATAGAGCACGCAAGTAAACAGCGAATATCATTCAGCTACCAGTCGGCTAGTCGCTTTTTTTTCATTGCTCCAATGGGAGCCAAGGTAATATGGGGTACCGATGAATTTTCCTAGAGGCTGTCCAGAGTAGAGTTCATACTTACAAACACATGTCTGTATGCTGGCTCGTGTCTGCACTATTCCGCGAAGGTACGCCTCTTTCCAGGAAAAGCCACACAAGCAATCCCAAGGCAAGCCGACGATAGCCAAGAGCGGATATCTGCGTAAACAAGCTTTTGACGAGGGCTTGTCCCGGTGACTCGCAGTTCTCCGAGCGTGCGCAGGTGCCCCGTGCCTTTTCCCCATGGGGAGATCAGATCCTCCGGGGGATCCGTGGATACTCCAGGACCAACGGAACGAGTGGCGTCAGACAATTCTCCACGGGAAACGACCCTAGAGGAAGGGCTTTAGGAGAGATGAGGGAGAACAGTCCATGGCCGATGGTGTCTCTTGTTCTTCTTCTTCTTCTGCTGAGGTCAAAGAGTGAAGTTGGACGAGATGAAGCGAGACGAAGGAACTGCCGCATTCGGAAGGCGAGAAACTTCGCCGGAGCAAGGTTGTTCCAGCCGAGGCTTAGAGTTCGCTAAAACCAGTAGGCTAAGCCCTTGAAGGAATAGTGGAGCTTGGCAGTGTCACGCTGGTCTTATCGTATTACTAATCAGCTACTCCGTAGATCCAACGGGTTACTCCTCCTTGCTACTAAAATTACGCTGTGGCCGGCAACTATTGATTGATTTTGCAGTATAACGGTTTGATATCTCTGATTGTTGAATATCTTGCGGTGTTCAGGTCGTTGAATCCAATGTGCTCTCTGAGATTCGACGCAATCCTGCAAAGTAGGTACATACATACAGCGGGAAGAGCAAGGCACGGAGTATATTGAGCGTTACCGTGGTGGTACTATACATACAGATCAAAGCGAAAAGAGGCAAAACGGGTAAAGATTCCTCATCAGCGAAAAATGGGCCGCGGGGGTATCAAGAGCCAACGAGTGAGAAAGAGACAAGGGCTAAGAGACATTGATACAAGCTGAGAAAAGAATCGGAGTTTATCCGCCTCGGAGCATATCATGGAATCGGCATAATACATTGAAAAAGGGAAAGGAAACGGGTTGGCGGGATGGCTCTAACTTATAAACTACCTTGTTGTACTCTCAATGTGAGAGCCAAACGAAAGCCGCCCCGGTGCTTGTCTTTCGGCTAGAGAGGTTAAAATCCGAGCAGCTTCGTGCGCTATGTGCAAGAGCGTGTTAGCGAGCGCCCTACTGCCACGGTCTATACCCAAAGAGAGATCTCGTCAAGACAGACTTACATATTTCCCATGGCCGCGCCATCAAGAGTTCACAGACAATGCCAATTAATTGACGTAATTCGCTCCGTAACAACTGCACATCCTCCTTTGTAGGCTCAGTGCGGGCCAACTCGCGCTGATACATGTTGTTTAACGTACTAGCTGCAATACCAGGTATTGAACCAGATGACAATGTGGTTGGCCGCTTGGCGGTAGTATCCTCTTGCTCCAAACCTAGCGTACGTGCCCAGATAACCAACAAGCCTAGGAAGGCACCGTAGGTTTGCCAGAGGGGCCGGGGCTCCGGGGATGGAAAGCCGACATTATTAGGGTTCAAGGATCTTTGGCCTTCAGGGTTTTGTAAACATAGGCTGACCACCTCCACCCCGTGAAGGTACGAGTCATGACTGACGGGATCTATCGATACAAGTCGCGAGTACGCCGCTTGAGCACATTGCGGCGTAACAGCCCGGCCGGAGGAATAAGCGCTTCCAGCGGCCATCTGAATGTCTGATAGGTTATTGCGAAGGAGGACCGCGGAAAAGTGGTACATGACCTGAGAACACCACGACACTCTCGATTTCCTGTCAGTCTCCGAGAGTTTATCGAAGCAAGATCGCCAATGTCGCAAGGCTTCGTCGAAATCGGCCATTTTGAGGCTTTGCGCGGAAGAAATTGTCGACGAAGCAACGGAACGGTACTTGGAGTCGCTGATTGCTGCAGCAATTCCGTGGATGAGAAGATGTATCGACAGGGGGTTCGAAACGTTGAAACATTGCATAAATTCTCGCCTGTGGTCCGGATCTCTCATAGACATAACCGATTCTACCGCCGAATCAAGGCTGTAATACCGAGACCGTGATGACTTTTTCAGCTGGCGCAACTGTGATTCCCATTCCGCCGCGGTAGATGCCTCCCACACCGCTGAGGGGCTTGGAAGCGGAAGCTTCATCATACCCACGGAGAGCAGCGCGTGGTGCGAGAAAAAAACGCTATATTGTACATCGTTTGAGAAAATTGTATAGGCGATTCTGCTTCCTTTGTGAGAAATAATTCATCATTCTCTGAGGATCACAAGCAAACCTGATGATTGATTCTCTTTGAGCCCAATCCTTCCATTTCATGTCAAGGGACGTTCGTGAAACCACTCTCAGGGCGACAGCCTTCTGTCAGCAGGTTGTTTCGCCGAGCCAACTGTTTGCAAAGGAGTAAGTGTCAATTTGCAGAATTCGCAAAAAAACTGAAGCGGACGTATTGGGAAAGGGGGTGATCCCTACAGTAACAATCATGCTATGCACGATTTCCGCCATCTCATGCTGGTGGCGAGCCATCGTGTACGTACAGATATGTTCAATCAGCACTCTAGACAGGGTCATTAACCAAGCTATTAAACAGCCCTCGGGACCACTAACAGTGATTGAAGGAATGATAGCTCCACGCGAGGACTAGCCAACGCTTTCTGATCATGAAAGTTGTTAGAAACAAGTAAAAATCTCACAAAAGCGATGCATTCATCATTTACCTCTACGGTGGAGCTCCATATATACTTGTGAAGCATCTTCCCAGTTTCATATAGCTCTGGAGAGCCGCTCAAAAATGACCCTAAACTGCAGAGCGCAAGGAGCAAAACCGACGGGCAGGACGAGATATCGAATGTTGGGCGGTGAAATAACGGTAAATATAGGTCGCAGTAGTCCAGAGCGAGATGAAGTATTTGGTTCATTTGCGTGGGATATTTGAGGAGACCCGTGAAAAGGTTCTATTCGCTGTTACTAACGGGGCACCGATGGTATAACACAACATCACATACCGGGCAATCGGCCATTAGTCGATCATGATCGCCAATAGTGTATTGTGGCACATTAGCCTGAGTGGACGAAGCATCTAGGGGCTGGGAATAAAATCCCTGTCCGCGATTAGCGACACGACGAAGGAGCACGAGAAAGGCATCACCGTACCGTGGGGGAGCCCGGGCCGAGGCCACCTCCAAAATGTAGATTAAGGTAGTCGTCGGGCGGGAGATCGAAAAGACTCGAGCCGTGAAATAGCCAGGTATAATCATCTTCTAGGCCCTGCGCTGTCGCGAACTGTTGCGGAGGCAGGTGGTGCGGAAGTATGCCCCCGGACGAAACAGGGTGCTGCGGTAGCACATCGCCAGGCTGCGTTGGCTGGTATACCAGAGAGCTATCGGGGTTCTGAGGAGGCAGCGGAGGCAGCGTAATGGGGTTGGGGAAAGGATTCATAGGTACGGGAGCGGTTCCAGCAAGGGGCGGCGCCGTTGGGCCCTGGTGTTCATGCAGCTGGGTCGGGGCAAACTGCCAGTCTCTAGCGGGTGGAGATTTGAGCTCGCCCGGCGACTGCTCTTGCGTGCTATTCTGAGCGCCTGGGGACAGAATTGGGGGAGGGCTCGAGGTGGAATTTGACTGGGTTTTTGTCGCAAGTTCCGCAACCTGGCCGCGTTTTTCGTGTCGACGAAGATGGGCGTTGAGGAGATCACTGTCGAAAGAGGAGACGTTAGCGCTTGCAGGCTACGGGGCGTCTAGCGACATAGAAGCGACCACTACTCGTGATTCTCACTTGCGCGTAAATCGTTTCTGGCAGAGATAACAGAGAAAGGCCGCCTTTTTGTCTGTAGAGAGAGGTCATCGCGTCAGCAACTTGGGGCGCTGCGGGCAGGGAGATCACCGGCACGGCCAGACGTACGGATCAGAGTGTGTCGATTGAGGTGCTCGCTCCGCAGATAGGATTTATTGCATCCCTCATGTCTGCACTGATACTTGGGGCGATTTGGTTCCATCGTAGAACCCGGTCCACGCTGGGATCATCGTCCAGGGGCTGGAATGACGACGTTCGAGACAGACGGTCGATGAGGAGGAAGATGCCGCACAACACCAGGACGACCGGGCTGGATGGAAAAATCAGAATCAGCGAATTGACACGGCGAACAGGCCATCCCCTGTTGGATGGCAAGTGTTCATTGCTTTTTGCTGGAGGCGGGGTATAGTTAACTACATCGTAGCTGAAAGCCAAACGACTCACCCAAGTCAACTAATAACCATGAGCGAGCCAGGTGGTGAGCGCGAGCCGAACCGCCTTGCTTCGCTTAGACGCCCGCAGGCCGTTTTCTGTGGGCAGACGAGCCGAGCCAGCGCGCCCAATGCCCTGTCCTGACCGGCGTTTGTTCTTTTCGCATGAGGGCGTGCGCGAACCGCCAACGACCGGCTGGACGATCTCAGCACCTGGTCAACGGCCGTTGCCAGCCTCGAGCAGCACTGGCTGGATCGACGGGCGTGCCGGCCACGATTCCAGAATACGGCCTCGTATGCGCCAGCCTGTGATAGGCACTCCTCCTTACGCTGTTGCGCGTTGCCGCGAGATCGATGCTCTTGGCTGGGGAGGCTGCATGATGCATGCGTTGCAGACTCGGACTCGAAGCCCAGGAGGGCTTTCTGACGGTTTTATCAACGGCCGGATTACATGGCCGGCTCAGGGTAAGACGTTGGGCGAATTTCTCCCCTTCGCTGCCGATGATGCCCGACAACACGCCGTTGCTCCAATCCGGGCTCGACGGGTCAGCGATGGTAGCACAGGAAATTCCACGCTGAAGGTCGAGTCGTTGGCAAAGCCGCAAAAGGAATTCCCCATCGTATTGCCTTTTGTGCAACGGCTCTGAGAACCCTCACGAATTCGCGGATTGCCATAGTTATTTCTTCACTCACGCTTTACTCGGCAGAAGCTTGGATGATGGCCACGAGGAACGCAAAGCTGAGGCGTCCGGGCCTGCTCGTCACTCGACGAGAGTCAGGCTGCGGAGGAGTTCGTTCATGATCTACACCTAGTTATCGGAGAAGCGTCCATGTCGGACCTCTAGGCTGGTTCTGGATGGTCGATGCATGTATGGGTTGATGTCCGTCGACTAAACTGGGCAAGATGCGATATCCCAGGCAATACTCCGTACTGTGTTCTGGTTCCATTGCAATAGCTACCGAGTTCCGCTCTGCAATCTGCCTCTTCGAAAGCGCTTTATCCGCCAGTAGGGCTGGAAACCACAAGCCCTGGGCTTGCTTCGGATCAGTCAGGTTCGGGAAAACGAGTTGACCTGCGGAAGTCATGCCAATCACAGCATCGAACTGAATAATTTTGCTTCATAAACCACCTTGATCTCGTTTGCAACAATGCTGACTCGCTTCTAAGCTCGTCGGGGGGTGCATCACGACGTTGTGAGAGTTCTCAACTCCGCGTTATCGACGGAGAAGGCCATGATGAACTCTCGTCTCATACTGTCGATCTCGATCTTCGCCTGCAGAGCATCGACTCAATTCCTCTGATTCGTGAACCCCAACTTTTCAGGACGGTCTTTTTTCAATAGTCTGCTTTTCTCGTCGGCAAAGCCCAATCAGCTCTCCCAAAAAAAGCCAAAAAACCCAAGTGAGTGGGTTCTCGTGAAGGGAACAGTTTCAATGCGAAGACGAGGACCAGCCCGAGCTTCTTGTGATACATAAATAAAGCCGACGGACCCCATTTCTTCAAGCCATGCATCCCGATGAATGTGTCTACGCTATGTCGCTCAAGTGCTCATTGCTTATGTCTCCTCATGGAGGCCAATCGAAGCCGATTACTGTCTACTTGCTGATCAGCCAAGGGGCTTGAATGTGGTACATCATTAGAAACGACTTGGGCGATTCGACCTGGCCTCGTGAGGAAAACTGGGTAAGCAGATTGACTCTGATACGATGGAGAGGCCGCTGCCTTGGGTTTACGACAGTGTGCAGCTGGTTCATAGAGATCTTCTAGTATGCCCATCGCAACAGCGAAAACTACGATGTGGAAGTGTTACTCACCTACCTAGAATCAAAGCAATGACCCAAACATCGGTTCCGCCAGAGGTGATACCCAGACCCGGGGAGGGTCGACTCTGAGTGACCTTGGTGTGAAGGCTTCGACGTCTGCATCAGCTCTGCTTACGACATTTGTTCCGGCCTTTATCCTGGCCGTCGTGTGGTTCACGCTCTTTCTCGTCTGTCGGCGGACCCAGCGTCGCTTTTATGCCCCGAAATCATTTCTGGGTCACCTCCACGACCAGTAAGTGAACAGCGTAAAATGGCATGATGGAGTCGTACTGAATCATGCTGGCAGTGAACGAAGTCCAGAGCTTCCTTCGGGATTTTTCAACTGGATTGGCGTATTCTTACGACTTCCAGATAGCCATGTCCTCCGTCATTCGTCTTTAGACGGATATTTTCTCGTTCGGTTCCTAAAAGTGATGTCTGTGCTATGCCTCGTTGGATGTGCCATCACCTGGCCTATTTTATTTCCCATTCATATCATAGGCGGTGCTGGGAATAAGCAGCTTGATGCACTTAGCTTTAGCAACGTGCAGAACCCGCAATTGTACTACGGCCATGTTGTTGTTGCTTGGATCTTTTTTGGTACAAGGTTTGACCTTGCAAGTGCTTCGATCCATAGCTAACTTGGAGCCAGGATTGGTGTTCTGCACGATAACGCGAGAAAGCATCCTCTATGCCACGTTGAGGCAGGCGTATCTCCTTTCTCCTTTGTATGCGAGCCGAATATCGTCTCGCACAGTTTTATTCCTGGCTGTGCCGAAACCATACCTCTGCAAGAAGAAGCTGTGCAAAGTGTTTGGAGACTCAGTCAAACGAATCTGGATCACGAATAACTGTTCAAAGCTCCAGAAATTGGGTTGAAAAGAGGGACAGGCTGGCTTATCGACTGGAGGAGGCCGGAAACGACGTACATCAAAAGAGCCCACGCTGCGCACTTGAAATCCGCCCACGGCGGCTTGAACGACTCGAGGTCGTCGATCAATACGTCCCCGGTTGAGGTTGAGAAGGGATTGCAACAATTTCCAACCGCCGCTGATGTTAAAAGGCCGAGTCACCGGCTTGGGCTCATGTTCGGGAAAAGAGTTGACACCATCGATTGGCTTCGCGCGCAGCTCAAAGAGGCGATCCCGCAAATCGAGAAGCTGCAACAAGGTCATCGGGCAGGCAAAGAAAAGCCTGCCTCTGCTGTTTTTATCGAGTTTGGCACGCAAATGGAGGCGCAGATTGCCTTCCAAACCCTTTCACACCATCATCCCTTTCAAATGACACCGCGTTTTATCGGGATTTCGCCGAACCAAGTAATTTGGCCTGCTCTTCAGTACAGTTGGTGGCAGAGGATTGTTCGCAAGTTCCTTGTCCAAGGATTTATAACAGTTTTGATCATTTTCTGGTCGATTCCGTCTGCCTTTGTGGGGTCCATCTCCAATATAACATACCTAGCAAACCTCCTGCCGTTCCTCAAGTTCATTGACAGCCTGCCTGCGATTGTAAAGGGGGCAATCAGCGGCGTTCTGCCAACGGTCGCGCTAGCACTCCTAATGGCCCTTGTGCCGATTTTCCTCAGATGTAAGTGCATCCTGTTCCATGGCTCCAGGGGTCGGTCTGAATGAAGGAGCTCAACTTTACTGTTAGGGTGCGCTCGACAATCTGGTTTGCCGTCTACGGCTCAGGTCGAGTTGTTTACCCAAAACGCGCACTTTGTCTTCCAAGTAGTTCAAGTCTTCCTGGTGACAACTATAACATCCGCCGCATCTGCAGCCACCAGTCAAATCATAAAAGATCCGTTGTCGGCAAAGGATCTTCTTGCAAACAACTTACCCAAAGCATCGAATTTCTATATTTCTTACTTCCTCTTTCAAGGCTTGATATTAAGCTCCGCGGCCGTCATGCAGGTCATCACGTTCTTGGTTTTCAAGCTTCTGCGGGTGTTGTTTGACAAAACACCAAGAAAACTGTACCAGCGCTGGGCGGCCCTCGCCGGCCTATCTTGGGGCACTGTTTTCCCCGTGTTCACAAACATGGTAGTAATCGGTGAGTAAAAGATGCTTGCAGTAGAGTGGCCATGCTGATTGCAGCCCAGCGATCACGTACTCCTGCATTGCTCCCCTTATACTCGGATTTTCAGCCTTCGGGTTATACCTGGTGTACCAAGCTTATCGATACAATCTTCTCTTCGTGTACGACTCGATAGTTGACACCAAGGGCCTTATTTACCCTAGGGCACTTCAGCAAGTCTTGACTGGAATTTATCTGGCGGAGATCTGTATGATCGGACTTTTCGCCGTCCGGGAGGCCATTGGGCCTCTCATCTTGATGGCGATTTTCACTATTCTGACGATCCTTGCACATATTTCCCTAAACGACGCATTGGCACCGCTATTGTCAGCTCTTCCCCGGACATTAGACAACGAATGCGACGCCGAGGAAGAGATACTTGAAGGCATAGACAGAGGGTTTCCCAGCGGCTCCGCTAACGACCCCGAGAAAGGAGAGTTTCGCACCGAAAAGCCGCATACAGAATGCAGTGGCCGCAGGGTGAGAATGCGCAAGGCATTCCTAAGGCTTATGACGTGGCTCCTTCACCCCAGTGCCTACGCCGACTATACATCATTGCGGAGAAAAGTCCGACAAGATCCGGGGATAAGCTACGACCCAAACATAGATGATAATGCGTACCACCCTCCATGGGTTACAGCTCCGACACCACTGCTTTGGGTCCCGCGAGATATAGGGGGCATCAGTCGCCAGGAGGTCCTGCTGACAAGGACGGTGGTCCCGATCACGGACGAGGAAGCGTACCTGGACGAGAAAAACAAGGTAGTTTGGGACAAGGTGGGGATGAAGCCGCCGATCTGGCAAGAGAAAGTGTTCTATTGAGTCCCATCGACGGTCGTAGCAATCAACTCGAGTCTTTCAGTTGAAGAGAATGAAAGTACTACTTATATAATAAAAATAGTAGTTAGCTTGATGACTCAGCTGCCCCAGCTTATGTAACCGACGTGATATCTCCCACGCAGCGAGACGGCGGAGCGGCTTCGCTGTTGTCTATGTTATTCCCTGCGCAGATTATTCATTAGCTAACTGATACTTGCTCTGGTTGATTAGATCGGATCCATGGCAGACCCAAGCTCCGGCATTCCGCAAAGCTCCCCCCAACGAAATAGACACCCAAGCAGGCCCCAAGGCGGCAGACGAGGGCGCGGTGGCGGCTCGCATCCCCCTATGACTTCTAATTCGCAGTCGCAGCGCGGTAGTCGTGGAGCGAGCAGATCCCGTGGAGCCGGGAGAGACGGACGGGGAACAAAACAAGGAGGACGGTCGGCGGATAGGCGACCTGCGGCGAACGACGATGATACCGGCGGCGAGCCACCGGGCCGTGGCCTTCGAGGGGATGGCACCTCCAGTGATCGCCTGACTGGAGATGCCAAAGGATCGGAAGGCGAGAGCGCGGGGAAGGAGACGGCTGCTACTGATCGTGCTGCTGCCGATGACGCCGACGATAGCGACGTCTGTTTTATCTGTACCTCGAAAATCGAGCATCTGTCAATCGCGCCGTGCAATCACCGAACTTGCCATATTTGCTCGCTACGTATGAGAGCGCTGTACAAAACCAAAGCTTGTGCGCATTGTCGGGTAAGCACCACTTCGACCGCTCTCGAATATTGTTGCCCTCTATACTGACGTGTCATTCCCCGACCCAAGACTGAATCGAGTTTCGTGATATTTACGGATGACCGTGGAAAGCGATACGAAGAGTTTACGGATAAAGGCTTCATAAGAACAGACGACAACCTAGGTATTAAATACGAAACTCATGAGATCTTTGAGGATACCGTGCTTCTCCTACGGTATAACTGCCCGGACAAAGACTGCGACATTGCCTGCCTAGGGTGGGCCAGATTTACACAGGCACGTCAAAAGCAAGCATGGCAGAGTCATGTGGTAGGGGTTCAGTCTTCATGCTGAAGTATAATTACATGGCTAACCCGTTTCATCAGTGATCTATGCACAAGGAACAAAAAGGTGTTTACACACGAGCATGAACTATTCTCAATGGCTCAACTCCGAAAGCATGAGAAATATGGAGACGATAACCCCGGTGCTCTTGATCAAAGCGGATTCAAGGGCCATCCGGAATGTGGCTTCTGCCATCAACGGTTTTACGGGGACGATGAGCTCTTTGCGCATTGCCGGGATAAGCATGAACGTTGCCATATCTGCGATCGGCGGACCGGCGGCAGTCGACCTCAGTATTACGTTAACTACAATGCGCTCGAAGAGCACTTCAGTAAAGATCATTTCCTTTGTCTCGATAAAGAGTGCCTAGAAAAGAAATTTGTTGTTTTCGAGTCGCAAATGGACTTGAAGGCTCATCAACTTGAATGCCACCCTGCAGGTCTTTCCAAGGACGCAAGACGAGACGCTCGGCATGTTGACATGTCCACTTTTGACTACAGGGCACCTTACCAACCCCGACGTCGCGACGGTAGAAGGCCACTTGGGCGTGATCCTAACTCCGAGCCCCTTCCTCCATCTAGCGCCCAACCGCTCAGGAGAGATGAACTTGCATATCAACGGCAGCTAGCTGTCCAAAGCGCACAGTCAATCTCCCAAAGATCATTCGGCGGCCAGCTTACTCAACCCCATCCGCAAACGCAACCTGTTCGGCCATCCCCCGCTCCATCGGCGACCAGCCAACCTCAGCTGGCCGTCCCGCCGCCACCATCGATCGAAAACCTGGACCTCAATGCGCCTGCGGCTACTCCACAAGAGGAAGCTCGACGTATAGCCCATGCGGCCGTAATGGATCGAGCATCCTCGTTGTTGCGTCATGATGCACTAAAGATCGACGAATTCCGGAAAAAGGTTTCGTTATACCGATCCTCTCGGATTGAGGCCAACGAGCTGATTGAATCGTTTTTCTCCCTTTTCGACACATCATCAACCGACTTGGGAAAGCTTGTGAAAGAGCTAGCTCATTTGTATGAAGATGATTCCAAACGCACCGGCCTTCTAGCTGCATGGAATGACTGGCGGGCCATCAACGAAGATTACCCTGCTCTGCCAGGCCCAAGCGGTGTTATGCCATCCACCAGTCTCCCGAACGTTGGTGGAGGCAAGCGTGTTTTACGTCTTAAATCATCGACGGCGCAGTCATCTCGGTCCGCGGTTGCCCAGAACCCCCGTCTTCCAGGCCTTCTCAATCCAACCAGCGCCTCCAACCCATTTCCTTCTCTTCCCAACTTGGCATTGAAATCTCAAAAGGGCGCCAGCTCAAATCGCGTCTGGGGCACAGTACCAACGCCACCGGCCTCTACACCCAAAACCTCCCCAGTCCCAAGTCGTTCCGCGTCTCGCGCAGTGGTTCCCACGAGCCGTACGACAGATACCTCGGAGGCTTTCCCCGCACTGCCCGCCGCCCCAAAGCCGAATGTACTCATGGCCGGGCTTACACGCGGGACGGTTAGATGGGGAGCCCAAGGAGCCGGCCGTGGAAGCACTCCCGCGTGGGGAGCGAATAATCCCACCCCCGCTGAGGTCGGCGCTGATGCCGGAGAAGCTAGTCAGAAGGGAAAAGGGAAAAAAGGGAAAGGAAAGCAAGTACTATATCATTTCGGATAGAGTTTATTTTTGGGATTGGGCGCAAAGAAAAGCATTTCCTGTTTGAAGCCTGGCGTTTGCTGTGATGCATCAAAAAGTCTTCAAGCTCAATGTATGGATGATGGATTTCGTGTGTACATATTACTAGCACTAAGTCACGAGATGGATTTGAATTGCATATTGCCATGGGGATAAGCAGTACTTTAAAAGTTCTTTTATTTAATACCCTGTCAGAGTCTGTACTTGTTTCCTTTGGCTATGAGCTAGTAGTTATATGTATCAATCCCAACAATGCTAGTTAAATGTTTGTCTTTATGGATTTGTAAAGTTACATCATGACTTTAACGGCCTTTTGTGTTGTATGTATGTATACATACAAAGCATCCACAGCAAGCTTCATTCCGCTCACATAGACTATCCTCATTCTGACCTTTCAGCCTGGCCATAAACAAGCCGGCGGCGCAAAGTCAACTTTGCGGTGCAAGAAGGCTGGTTACATCTGTCATTTCATCAATAGACATGCAATCACTATTGTATCGTCATTCATTAGGGGGAGTATCCTCTGTTTCAGTCTGTTGCACGCCCTCTTCTAGTATTTTCTCCATCCGTGGCCATGACCATCTCTGTTTCAAGATCTGCCATTCGCATAGTAAACTCATCTTGCAATTTCTTTAGCCATGTTCTCAATTCGTCCCCCTTCATCATCCCGTCCCTGGCTTGGAAGAGCTGTTCGCGTAACGCGAGAAGAAGTTGTCTCCGTTTGGCGATGGCGATTTGCTTCAGGCTCCTGCGTTGGTCAGCGGATTTCAAATTTAATTTCTGCGACACAGTTTGAGCGGTCTCTAAAAGCTCAGGAGGGAAGGAGAGGAACCTTGCAAATGCAAGACCGTAATGTTTATCCTGAGCATATCCGTCTGCAATTTTGTATAACATCGTCATTGTTGAGGTCGGGTTCGACATCTCCACCGCCAAGTGTAGATTTACCACCCCGTTTCTGTGAGCAAGAATCCGAGCCAATTCATGAAAGTGGGTGGCAAACCAGACGAGAGCATGGCTATCTACAAGCGCTTCTGAAATAGCGATAGCGATGGAAAGGCCGTCAACTGTACTAGTTCCACGACCAAGTTCGTCGACAATAACCATACTTCGAGGCCCGATATTGCGGAGTATAAATGCCATTTCACGCATTTCAGCAGAAAAAGTGGATACATTAGCTTCGGCACTATCATCGGCCGAAACGCGGGCAAAAAGCTGATTAACGATTGGGAAAGAGGCGTACTGCGCGGGCACGAAACATCCAATCTGGGCCATCACAGTCATGAGGGCCAGGGAGCGTATATATGTGCTTTTACCGCTCATGTTGCATCCAGTAATGATCTGAAATCGGGATTGCCGGGTGGCGTACGCGTCGTTTGGGACAAATTTGCTGTGATGTATCTTTTCCCGAATTGGATGCCTGCCCGATTTGATAGCAAGAGTGTCTGTTATTTCAGGACGGATATAATCGCGAACTGCTACAAGCTGGGCAAATGTGGCTAGCATATCTAGCATGGCAAGTCCTTCGCTGATGCGAAATAAGACGGATATTTCAGGTCTAATAACCTCGATGAGCTCTTGTATGCTTCGGTCACTCATGTTGATAACCTCGTTGTGAGAGTCCGTGATTTTTTGGTTTAGTTTCACGAGTTCAAGAGTTTGAAACTCTACGTAGGCTTTTTTCTGAAAGATGTTGATGAAGATGTCTGGTAGCTGCCTGTCTTCTAAATCGGAAACTGGCAGTCGAAAATAGTACTGACGTGCTGCTTCAAATCGTAAATCAAGAGCAAGGTTATGGGCCTCTGGCCATATTAGAAAAATACGCAATTCTGGTAAAGAAAACGAAAATTGGGAGGTAGGTAAAGAGCAGGATGGATGAGTTAGCATACCTGCGAGATGAGATGCAAGCTCATTCACGTCATTATTTGCTTCTTTGTAGCTTTGCCTTGCAACGTCTAGTAAACTATTAACACCAGCCTGCATGGTTAGTCTTGAGATTCCGAGAACATGTCAATGGGTCAATGGTACCTTCACAGCATAAGTACGTTGGTTTCGCAAGTCAAGCGGACGGGATTGATATGTAACATCCGCATTCAAGGTTGAATCAAGGAGCGATTGGATGACTTCATACTGCGAAGGCGCGCAGAGCTAACAATCAGTGAGCATCTTATTCCGAGAGTGGGTCAATGAATAATTACATTTCGAATAGCCACAAGGAGATCACTTTTCGAGCCCGTCAAAGATTCATATATAGGCCTGATTAAAGATATATAGGTCTTTAACATGATTGTATTGTTGATTGATTGCTCTGCATGCTCAAATGTAACCTTTGTTGGTATTACGGTCAACTAAGGTCGTCAGCAGGAGTTCAAGGTGGTTGTGAGTAGCACTCACGGCTGTTAACACTCTATCTGAATCCACAAAACCTTTTAGGGCTACGATATCAACTTCAGCGATTGGGCCCTGAGTAAAGTGGCAACAGACAAACCTTCTCTAACAGCATGGAACATGTCTTCACTTGTTCCAAGCTCTTCGACAGCATCATATCTACCTAGTAACTTAGATTTTTCCGTCGAAGGTTGTAAGATATTACTGCGAAGTAATCGAGCGCCCATTGGAGTAAGGGTTTCATTTAAAACTCCGAAAAGGCAGTCCTTTGACTTGGTATTCTGCAAGTTTTGTATTAGCTCTAGGGATATGATCGTGGCTAGATCGACCATCATTGATCCGTCTGAAGGTTCGTACTTTATCCGGAGCGAATGAGTTGCAAACGTTTTTGACATTTCAAATTCAATATATGAGAGAGCCTTTTCAAGATTAGTCGATCCACGGCCAGGTAGTTACGGAGCGAAGACGCCGCGAGACATACAGCCGCAAGACAGCAAGCAGCAAAATAGTTGCCCTCTAAAGAGATTTTGATTGATTCAAGATCATCCTTGAATGCCAGCTGGTCGACATATTCATGGCCTGATTTTTCTGCCCAGTACCGTCGGTCAATTGTTGTGACTGCGAGTTGCGGCAAATTTTCTTCCACGATGGAGTAGAGCTTTGACCTCGGTTCCTTCGCGGTCTTCATGAACAGGATTTCCGTAGGTTCAAGCACGGCTAATTTCTGGATGGTACGGGCATAAGTTTGGCTGTCACAGATTTGGCACAAAATAGCCTCGGAGGTAGCGATGTTGACAAAGGCGAGCCCAACCGTAGGGCATATTCCTCGAGATTCACTGATGGCGCAAATTATGTCCTGGCTACTAATGCTTGTCGCTGTTGTTGTTGGCCTCCCGGTCCTTGGTCGCCCACTGGGGGTCGTGTAGGCGGTTGTTGAACGTTTGTTGGAGCTCCAGCCAGAGCATGTCCGAGAAGAGAGCACCGTCGACGGCATCTCTGCAGCGATGTAGCAGCCTCTCGTAGCACCTCATGTGGTTGTCGAGCAAGCGGTGGACTGCAATCCGGTCTCTCATGCCGGGTGATGTTGAGTGTGCATTGTCCAAACTCGACGATGGAGGTTGAGATACGCGCGATCTTATCTTATCTGGCCATCAGGCACCTTTCCCCGCCGGGACTAGCGCACTTCCCGCGCAATATTTCATCAGCGAAAAACCGCCGCAGAACAGTGAACATCCAGTCGAGCGACCGTTTCCATCGCAGCACAAGAGACGCGAGATCGGATGTAACGGTATTCGAAAATGGCCACTGTAATCCCTCCCCCCAGCAAGCGCCAACGCCTGGAGGCTTCAGAGAGGGCGAAACAGCAGCAAGAAGTCCAAGCGATCCCGGATAATCTTGGAAGCATTCGAGTGCAATTCTTCGACCAGGGAACAGGGAAAGCCTCCGGCGCGGCTGTCGCTATCCCTGTTGCTGATGCAACGGTTAGGAATCTGGAAATTCTGCTTAATACGCTACAAGGAAATGTAGGTATGGTTTATTCATAGCTCAGCCTAATCTGGTTTTCGATGCTTACCGAGACTGTAGGAGGATCATGAACGAGTCCCGTATCGGTTTTCGTACAGGCCAGAGGGCGAAACGGACGACGCGATCGATATCTTAACTGATATCTATCAAACCCTTCTGAAGCCTGGTCTCAAGACGTCTGAAGATATCATCCACCTTCAATACACGCCTCAAGCCGTTTTCCGTGTCAAAGCCGTATCACGATGCTCTGCTTCAATAGCGGGGCATGGTGAAGCAATTTTATCCACATCATTTTCCCCCGCATCTTCTTCACGCATGGCCACCGGTAGTGGGGACTCCACAGCGCGGATTTGGGATTGTGATACTGGAACGCCCGTTTACACACTGAAAGGTCATTCGAGCTGGGTTTTGGTGGTCAGCTGGTCGCCCAATGATAAGATACTAGCGACTGGCAGCATGGACAACACAGTCCGACTATGGGATCCAAACACAGGGCAAGCCTTGGGCGCTCCCTTGAAGGGCCATTCGAAATGGATTATGAGTTTAGCATGGGAACCTTACCATTTACAGGAACCTGGAAGGCCCAGGTTAGCTTCTTCCTCCAAGGATTCGACCGTTCGAATATGGGATGTTGTGTCGAAGCGCATTGAAAGTGTACTCACGGGCCACAAAGGTTCGGTCTCATGTGTTAGATGGGGCGGGACTGGAAGGATTTACACATCCTCGCATGACAAAACCATCAAGATATGGAATCCCAAGGATGGCAGCCTAATACAGACTCTGTCTTCACACACCCACCGCGTGAACCATCTTGCTTTGTCCACCGATTTCGTGCTCCGCACCTCCTTTTACGAGCATAACAAAGTTGCCCCGGAGTCCGATGTGGACCGGATTGCAACGGCCAAGCAACGATTTGAAAAAGCCGCAACCATCAATGGGAAAGTCACGGAGAGGCTGGTATCGGCCAGCGATGATTTCACGATGTTCCTGTGGGATCCCGCGTCTTCGAATAAGCCCATCGCCCGTATGCTCGGACACCAAAAAGAAGTCAACCATGTTACATTTTCCCCTGATGGTGCCTATATTGCGTCGGCCAGTTTCGACAACCATGTGAAGCTATGGAATGCTCGAGATGGAAAGTAAGGGTTCCCTGTTCCCTATCCCCCGCTTTCTATCTTCTCAGATGTTTTGATCCTTCATATTAACCCCATTCTAGGTTTATATCCTCTCTACGCGGGCATGTTGGTGCAGTATATCAATGCTGCTTCTCAGCAGACTCCCGACTCCTTGTTTCATCGTCCAAAGACACGACGCTCAAAGTGTGGGACGTACGAACTGGCAAACTGGCCATGGACCTCCCAGGCCATCAAGACGAAGTCTATGCCGTAGACTGGAGCCCAGACGGGGAGAAAGTAGGAAGCGGTGGACGGGACAAGGCTGTTAGAATCTGGCGACATTGATTTACTCCCAGAGTTCCAGGTTGATGGCATTTGTATAATCCAGTCGCGAGACCTTCCGTACTATGCGCAACGGAAAGCTTTATAGATCCATACAGAGTATTACTTGAAACTAGGGTGGTAAGGCCCAATTACGACGACAAAACTTGAACGTAATCCAGCCATGATAGGCTGGACAGATTCATAGCCAGCGCTAATACAAGCAGAATCCGAACCCAAACCCGATGGTATCTATACCGGAAAGCACTACCCTCATGCGGTTGATTCATTTGCTTCACGTTCCGTTCAAACTCATTGTTCCCGACGATATTCCCACGCGGCCAAAAACGGCACACGTAGAAGAGCCCGACAGCCTTTCCCTCATGATGATGAGGAGACTTGGGGCTAAAATGAGGTTCATGGCCGCAATCATATTCGGCGCAGCCGACGGCACTAGTATTCCTCCATACGACCTGCGTAAAGGAGGATGTACCATAGCCAAAACCAGGGTCCCCGTAATCATACTTGCGTCGCTGAGCCATCCAAGAATTAACTGCGGAGGTTATATTAGGCTCGTTGTAGGCTAGGGTTTCGCCAGATGGTGATATCTATGTCAGAACCATTATCAGTAGGCTAAAGTATTGCAAAACTCGTTTCTGTCACCGTACCTCATATCTAGCACGGCACTGGCTCGCCCAAGCTAAGGCATCTTGCGCCAGGTCGTCATCCCATATCAAGCGAGGCGAATCATGCTGGTCCCGGTAATGATTAAAAATGGCGATGGTTTCGTTGATGGGGGCTTCATCGCGGGGATTTCCCCAGCTCGGAGCCAATTGACCACAACGAGTACATTCCCATGTTAGCGGTGTGAGCAAGGTGATGAGCGCCAAGGCTCTCATTTTCGCCCATTCAAATCAGCCGGTAATCTGGAGATGCGACATGTAGGGAGACGAGGTAACCAACTCAAGCATATTAGCTGCATAGCCTTTGAGAGCGCGAGAGAATGTCGGGCTCATCGCCACCACAGCGAAGCTTCAATCGAAACCCAATTCAGATATCTGGCAGAATGAGGAGTTTGGCGGTGACAATGATTGCGCTTAGTCAGCTCCACGGGCCTACGTAGCTCCGAGATGTTTGCTTGTTTGCATCGGTTTGTCCTGTTTGCTATTCACGCGAGCTGGGAGGGAAAAAGGTCGACAGCCAGTGAACAGGCCAGATACGACCTTGCGAAAGGCGCTGGAGTTATCGACGAATCCGTGGTTATATGACAATGCACCCAATGCCAAACATGGCCCGCTCAACATCCCTTTTGACCTGGTACCAATCCGCTCTTCTCTCCGCAAATTCGTACACTTCCTCCGCGCGCAAGATGCCCTTGAACCGGTCCACGTCTGCGATGATGGTTGCCATTTCTTTCGAGTCGGACGGATCAATCAAATACACCTGCGACAGTTCCCTTAGGGCGGTGAAGTATAGCAGCAGTTGATCGTTTCGCATCGACTGGATGAACGCAAAGTAGTGGTTCATATCGCTGTTCTCATCTTGATTAGCATGGAAAGTCAGATGTAAAAGAATAGGATAGGCTGCATCCCCACCTTATTAGTTTGATTGATCCCATCACACTCACACGCTGTCGTTTAAGGTGCTTGCATAGACTGGCGAAAAGACGGAGTCCAACCTCCTGATTAAACACATCCAAGGTGCTCTTGTCGGTGCTACCAACCAGCATTTGTGTGTGGGACGAAACTATCCGCACGATGGATTCTGCCGCGTCACTCGGCCCAATATCAACGGTTTGAGTAAGTGGATCAGCCGCTTCTGGGTTGAAATCCGATGCTGGCTGCTTGGTTGCAAGTATATACTCTACCTCCTCCATAAGGACGTCAATACCTTTGTTCAACCCTGCAGCAACGCGTTCATCGAGCAACTGTTCAAAGCGTTTCTTCTCCTTCACAGCCGGATTGAGAAAATCACTTCGATCCGTCAGCTTAGCCCCAATCAATTCTTGCTCGTAGAAGACGTCCATCATTTGCAGGATTAGATCGCCCACATTAACCAGCTCTAAAAACGTAACCAGTGGCTCGACTCCCGCTTTCTCCTCGCTACTATGCTGTCGAGGATCATAAGCCGAAAGATGTTCAACGGCCTTGTCAAAGCCGGCTATGACATGCCGGTGGCCAAGGATTTGCAACAAAGAAATGAATATTAGCTCGCATTGTTGCTGTGCTGCCTTGCCCAATTCCCCTTTTATTTTAACGAACTGTGCGGCTCTTTCCAGGCTTGACTTTGCGGCGTGCACAAGATTAAGGGCCACTTCAATGCTGAAGAGCGTACGGATCCCTTCGAGTTTAGAATTTATAATGGCTGCTTTGGCGGCTAGCTCGGTTGTAGGGGCTTCACTTGGCGTTGGCGGCGTCGGAACGGGGACGATGATTGTCGACGATCTATTAATGTGAGAAGTCCCTATAGGCCCAAGGCTCCCAGTTGACTTGTCGACAGTCTCGGCTTTCGTCCCATTTGATTTCGAAAACCCAGGGAGTATATTCACCGGGGCCATGAGCACCTTCTTGAAAGATGTTAGAAAGTCCTTTTTATCCGCCTGTCTGTTCACATTCGACATATAAAATGATTCTGTGGATGCGGCATGCTCTGATAACTGACGATCCCAATCAGTGACCACGGTTTCTGAATGTTTTCGAAATTCATTGAGCTCTTCGGTCAGGTACAATTCCACGTGTGGCTCAAAAGTATCCATCACCATGTGGATAGCAGCCTCACTAAAATCATTGGCGGAATCGTTGATCTGATTCAGGTCTTGGGCAAAATTCAAAGTTTGCACAAAGGTTCCAGACACGGCTCGCAGATAAGAGCTTGAATTTTGAGTATGGATGTCATCAAATAGCGTACTGAAATAAGGAGATAAAACGCTTTGGGCGACCTTTTGTAGAAAGGACGAAGCCAAACCCGGACATTTTGCAAAACATCGATTGATAATTGATATCTCCTCGTTGACCGCGACACTGAGACGTGTAAGGAATGCCTGAGTGTGTTCCAAAGAAACGGTGCCGTTCTTCAAGCAGTCTATCGGATCTCCAAAGTCAGATTTTCGAGCCAGGATATTATTGTGGTGCAAGAACAGCTCGATGGCAGCACCACCACCATTAAGAGCCACTAATACGTGAGCATATTTCTGCGTCAACCCATCAATATCCCCGCTCTCGTAACCAATTCTGAATTCCCGAAGCGCTGCTGTTTCAAACTCAGATATTACACTGGAAAGTTTCCGGGAACGCTCATCCCAACCGAGACTTTGGTCACTTTGGGAAAATGACAGTAGCTGGGACAGCAATTTGGCCTGTTGTTCGGGTCCATGTTGGGTTTTAAAAACCAGGCAGTTGGTAGTTTCTTCGGATTGCATGATGTCCTTGTAGAACGGGTATAAAGCCGCATGGACCTTGCCATACTCCTCCCTAGCCCTACCTCGTATAGACTTCACTGAATCTAAGATACTGACGACGTCGTTGGGCTGTTCCTGGACTGCAGCTGGGCCTCCAAAATGCACCGTGTCAAACCCTTCCTGAGTCGGGCCATCGGGCGGTTTAGAGCTGACTGGCACGGCAGGCAAGTTATTGTGTTTTGCTAGCTGTCCTTGCAGCGTTGGAGCCCTAGGTCTTCCATTGGATTGTGGACGATTCCCCTCGGCATGCCTTCTAGCATCAAGCTCATTCCAGTAGCCCATCTGTTTCAGCAACCGGACCCAGCGCGAATCTTCGTATACCATTTCGTGCATCCGCCTCGAGGTCCTGGCCATTCGGATGAGATCGGGCGGCGCGAGATAATCTAGGATGGTAGCCATCAACTCTTTCTCGTAGGTCAGTGGGAATCTTCTCCTGGATTTGCTACAAGCGGGGGATACCTACCCGCTGGTAATACAGGCTTCATGATTTCCACCTGTGCTAGCTTTAGGGATGCCAGAACATCCCTGCGAGGGCTTTTCGAAGGCCCTTTTGGCTTTGGTTGCGACGCCATGGCTCAAGCTGTCGTTTTATTCAAACGGCCTGGACAGGTCAGGGCTGGGTGGGAGGAGAGGATTCGGACCGGTGATTTGCAACCATGATGTAGCTCTCGGACCCGGTGATCCAGGCAGCAAGGCAGGATCAGTGCCAATGTCGTTTGCAAGATAATCCACAAGATCAAAACAGGAGAACGTTTAGGGCTGGCTAAGAATACTGGTGAGTTGCGGAAGTTCGACTGTTTGGGGCCAAACGCCTGAAGCTCGAGGAAGGTTTTGGCGAACCAGGGATGTATAACTACAAGTTACAGAGTGGAAATAAAGCGTAATCAATTTGTAGTTTTTATTTCTTTCAGCTGTCCCTAAACGTTCCGCTGCTATCTAGCTAGCTGGCTATTACGCTTCGTCTTCTCCCGCCCAAGTCGTTACAAACTTGAGGACGGCAGTACAGGTCCTGGTTGCGATGAGTGAGATCTTGATTTCCGTTTACGCAGATTAACTAACTAGCTACATTTCAGCAGATTCACAACCTGCTCTCTCAACTGACAAGAGGACCATTAGGCCGCTCCGAGGAGTACGTTTCGTCAAAAGTTTCATCCTCACCGACACAAACCCGGTAAGTAATCCTGGCATACTTCTCCGCTTGATCCGCAAGGTCCGGCGCCACCTCGCGATAGGCATTGGAAAGACCCATCCAACATCCAACAAGACTATCCGTCATCAATCCCCATTTCTCAACAAGAAGTGGCAAGCCTGAGGTACGGGGAAGATTCCCGCCTTTGATGGTGTAGCCAAGTGATTCGAGCGTTTTCAATGTAAATTCAATGGCCTTGTGCGGTTGGTTATACGCCGCATACATCCGTGAAAGAGCCAGGTACGGATCCCACATGCCAAGGCGAGGCACCTCAGGGGCTGGCTGACTATATGTCTCTACGAATCGCGAGAGAAGAGCTTCGAGTTTAGCTGGACTTGATCTCTTGCTGTTTTGAAAAAGTTTCAACATGTCGGCTCTGAGTTTTGTTCGCATTCTCAAATCCGCCTTAACGGTTGCTTGACGATCTTGGCATATAACACAACTGCACTTGAAGCCCCAGTGCTTCAGGTCCATATGGGTCTCGTTGTATTTGTTGTCGAGCGGGGATCGATACCAGAATGTGATTTCAGTGTTCGGAGCGAGATCCTGCGAAGCACGTACGATCATCATGTCTCCGATAAACGAGCGCCGGGCGTTACTGTAACAAGAATGGTTGATGTGGGATGCTAGAGGCCAAACGCCACAGGAGCGAAACCGCTCGGCTCTATTTTCCGACTGCGCCTCTTCTTTCAGAAGGCGCATATGAGACTCGCGAGAGGAGGTTGGACAGCCAAAGCAATTCAATGACATGATGCGTTCAGCGAGGAAGCTACAAAAAGGTATCATTAGCCAGCTTCATATTAGACGTACGGTGAGCGACTTACGTATCAACAACTGGTTTGTCATCTACTTCTGTAACATTAACAGGCTCATACGAGCCATGATAAAGGCCAGTGAAGATTGGCATTAGAGACGGATTCTTGTAAATCTCTTGAACGATGTTCTCAATGAGTTCCGCCTGCGAACCCATGGTCATGGCCCCTGTCTGCGCGTTGATCAGAAGCGGAAGAACCTTATTGGCAGCATCGGAATCATAAAAAGCATAAGCAAATGCTTTCTCGCAGAAGAGAAGATCTCCCGCCTTGACTGCTTCTGTCGTGAATAAGCCGCGTCCGCGAGACTCGGTGGGCTGCACCGCCACAGGGCCGATATAAGTTGCATGATCGAGTTTTGGTGGACGAATTTTCCTGGCTTCTAGCTGCAACCGCTTAAATTGATATTTACCGCTCTCCTGTTCAGCAAGTCGTGCCATGGCCCGGGCAAACTCTCTCTTCGCGGCGCTGTTTTCTGGGTATTCCCTACTGAGCACCGTATGAACGTCACAGGACTCCCGAAACCTCCGGAGACAATACAGAGCCTGTGATTTGCGGAAGAGGGCCTTCTCGGACGGTTTGGGGCCTGTGGATGCTACATCCAGATCGCGGAGAGCTGCGTCGAATTGGTGAGTTTTTAGAAATGTGAGGGCACGATTGAGTTTTATGATAACTGCCTCGTCATCTGTCGGGGAGGAGTCCAGAGCCTTGGAGTAACTATTCCTCTTAGTTTTGGTTTTGTATATATGGGACTATCTATTAGTGTCATACCATTCAATAGCAAAGTGATACCTAGCTTCGTTGAAAAAGTCATTGCCTGTCGTCTTCCAATCACCGGCGGTTGTCTCCTCCTTTATACGCTGTTGTCTCCAACGCAGCGGAACTCGGCTGTCATATTCCGGGATAAACACGACATCAGAAAGATGGTCGACTCGGAGCCCATAGTCCCCATCAGACATGACCTTCAAATATGGCTCCTTCACGATAATGGCCGTTCCTTCGGAAATGTGACTATCGGCAGAAAATTCATTCGCTTGATTGTATAGCTGCAACATGAGGACATTTCGTTCCTCATCCTCCACAATCACCATGACCGCCGTCAACACGTCCGTCGATGTAACTGCTCTTAGCAGGAGATACGAACCACGATGGTGGGTTTCAAGAGTGAGGTCCTTAATCATAGCTTTTTCCAAGTCTTTCAATGGCGTAATGCAGGGATTGTATGCAGGAGGAACAAAAGACGAACGGATGAGATCTCCTCTCATTGGTGTATTATCCTTCATCATTTGTCGAAACTGGAACTGCATTATTATCTCTTCCCGCGACTTGGTTGGCCTGGGCCGCTGACCCTTGCGAGACTGCGCATTTCGAAGAGTCTTCTGGTGCCCTCGCAGTAACTGCAAGTACTCTGGGGCGTCAGAGACATCATGGGTATCCATAATGCAACGGAGTTTGATTAAGCGTGCAATCGAAATGGTCAACTGTGGGTGGTATGTAAAGTGCTTTGAGGATAAAAGTGGCTAGAAACCAAAAGGAGTGAGGGAGAGCCTGGAGAGGGGTTCCCGTGGCGGGGGGAGAACAGGCTTATGTCTGCGTTGTCCAGAAAAGAAATGAGGAGAAAAGGAAAGAAAAGGAAAAAAGCAGAGTCCAGAATAATAGGCTGACTACATGCAGGACAACTGAGCAATTGAGCATGTACAGACCCCATTTGGGAAGAGAATCAAGCACACCTCCTGCAAACAACAAATCAGCCCCTTTGCCATGCAAGCGTCCAGATTGAGATTCAAAGGCCAAATATAGCTCCCTTTTGCCACTGCCCACATTGTTTGCCCAATAACCAATGGAATAAAAAATACCGCAGACGCCTTGCATATTCAATGGAACAGAAATTAGAGTCCATACCCCTTCTACCAGACAATCCATTCTGGCCAATTCTCTGCATGTGGTTAATCATCCACTGATTGATGGGTCTGGTTAGATGGACACCCCATACCACTTTACATAAGCAGTCTAAGCCTAATTGAGGAAAAACCCTTGGTGAAATGGACACCTCTTGCTACCTTACATAATTGCCCAACCTACCACTCACCCACCCAGCAGCATCATGCTCAACAAGGCCAAGCCCTTCAAATCTGCAATAATAAATTACAAAATTGAGATTTTTAGCACAATATCTGTGAATATATATTTACCTGTTCCCTATGTCATCACCAGTCATCCTGTGATGGGGATACTCTGTTGGAGTACTCTGTACATTATGGTGGAGATGGCCCCGAGAAAATCACAAGATCAGGTTATCCTTCCTCCATGCCAGGTATGCTTATATAATACAAATTTCACACCAAGAGTTGAAAGGGGTGTCCATTTAACCAAGGGTTATTGCCTGATTAGGCTTAGAGCCCTGATAAATTGCTTATGTAAGGCCAAATGGGGTGTCCATTTAACCGGACCCTGATTGATCACCAAGTGACTGACTTCTTCAATACAGAGGGAGCACAATTATCATGTAGATTTATTTCTTTTCAGCATTTCTCTAAACAACTTGCTACTATTTACAACTTTGCTAGGGGATTTCATCACATCATGGTGGTCAAATTATTGAATTGAGAGCAAGAGTGGCCTTGTTGATGAACAATATCATTGTACTGTGAATATTGTTGAACTGTGGATCACCTATATCATAGGTGAGCTCGCCCAGGCTGAGCCCCGAATGCTTGGTGAAGTCATGTTTAGTTAGTTAACTTGTTAGATAGCTCGTTAGTTATCTCGGCCAACACGCATATCGACATGGACGGGCAATGCTTGAACTCGACTGTAGAGCTGAAAGGGTGCCAGCCACGATCAAGCTCATAGCGATGCTGGTCAAGAATAACAGCGGTGTTGTTGTGCTCTTTATCGACAGCCAATGATTTTTACATTTCAAAGATGGCAACAGTGTAGATACCAGTCAAATAAGTTATAGCAGTAGAAAAGGCCAGGATGGTGATGAAGGACAAGGAATGCGGTCAACTACAGAGTAACTAGTTACCGTGTGAGGATGCTCGCCGTCTTGCCTCATCTCACTTCACTCGCCCAAGCTACCTCGTCTTCCACCACAACTTCGCCTGATACCTATCAACGTAGATTGCCATCATGGGAGATGCGGCGCCTCTGCAGGGCATTGACAGGCCTTGCCTTCACATCGAAGCTCGAGTGAAAGCAGCGGCAGAAAATGTGATTATCCGAACAGACATAGTGAGCAGTTCCACCCCTCGGCTGCTGCAGCCGCGCTCATGACTCTGCTAGGTCCGGGATGAGATGAAAGCATGGCTCACTGAAAACTTCGCTGTCTTGGCCCTGGGCCAGGAGATCCTGTCCTTTGGTGAAGTGCCCTGCTCCTTGCGATGAACGCCGCCAGGGCTGACTGCGGAGAAGACGGCTTCCACAGCAGCTATTCCCAATGCCTGGAGTCTGTCAAGGTGGTTGAATGCACCAACACGCAAGCGGAAAGCGGCGCCTATCGCCTATGCGAGGTAGACCTCGACGTTCAAGCGTACCAACTGCATTCCCAAGACCTAGAGCTACTGTCCCAACATACGAGCGAAGATTCGGAGGACGAGCCACAAGCACGCATCATTGCTTTGCCGAACAAAGGGTTGGATGGTATCTGGGAGACGTACGTACTGCGCCATGCCATGCGGATAAGAGCTGATTGCTTTTGCAGACTCTTGTTTGAACAGCCAATCCCGTCCACCCTCCTGCGGGCAATCAGTCGGATGGGTAGGTTGCCCACGCCGTTGCTTGAAGCTAGCATGGCTTAGAATCTCTACTTAGTGACCTTCTCCTGGCGGAAGCTCGACACCTGGGTGATCAATTGGAACCGAGTGGTACTGCTCTATGGACCACCAGGGACCGGAAAGACAAGTCTATGGCAAGTGGAATCTTGGATTGCCAACACTAATGGCTTAGATTCGGCAGCTAACATGCCTTCCAGCCGAGCGCTGGCCCAGAAACTGGCAATTCGGCTCGGAAAGCAGTTCCCCCAAAGCAAGCTTGTCGAAATCAACGCAAACGCATTGGGTAGCAGGTTCTTCAGTGAAAGCGGCAAGCTTGTCACAAGAATGTTCGGCGCCATCGAGTCACTGCTTGACCAAGAGCCCGAGACCCTGGTATGTGTCTTCATCGATGAAGTGGAGACGCTGACTGCAAAAAGAGAGCAATCGCTCGTTGGAAATGACCCGCTAGACGCCATGCGCGCAGTGAACTCGCTGCTTACCGCGTTAGATCGGCTGAGACATCACCCTAACGTCGTGGTGTTCTGCACCAGCAACCTCTTCACGGCTTTGGTAAGGGGGATCCGGTCCCTGCGTATGCTCTCCTTCCAGTGCTCACATCAGATGGGGGGTTTTTTTTTTCATATTAGGATGCAGCATTTGTCGACCGAATCGATATCAAGCAATTCGTGCCGCCACCGTCGGCAAAGGAGATATACGAGATATTCCGGAGCTGCTTGGAAAGCCTCAGCCAATGCGGCCTGATTCGGGGCTGCACTGTTGACGTGGTGCAGCGTGACCCGAGCAATCCGGAGTCCGCATTGGAATACATCGCCCAGCCCGCTGAGACCCTCGTGCTCCCTCGATATGAAATGGTGCTGTGGTATCAACTGTTCCCGGAGTCGATCCCGAAGCGGCTGGGCGACATTGCACACGCCAGCGTGGTATGAGTATTCCCTCCTCCCAGGCATCACGGAAAGGACAGAGAGCTGATCGTGATCGGACCAGGGACTGAGCGGCCGCACGCTGCGGCGACTGCCTGCCCTGTCGCTGGTGCTGTATGCGACCGATGCGTGCTGCAGCGTCGAGGAAGCCGTCGCGGCGCTGGGCAGGGGCGTCGAGGGCGAGCAGCGCAGCCGGGCAGAAACCAGTTAGCCAGCATCGTGCTTGCTTCGAATGTTCCCCGTCCCGTCTCCTCATCTGCCACCGTCGTCTCTTTCGCTTCAGATTCACCTCGCCGGCGCCGTTCTGCCGACGACGAGCCGCCAGCCAATCAGCGCCGGCATGTTGTTAACCTGCGCCAAGCACCAATCACACCGCTTTCCCGCCGCCCAAAATGCTCGCAACTTCGACTTTCGAACAACATCTTTCATCGCTGCGTCTCTGTGCTGCTCTCGCCATCGCCTCGCGCCGCCCCCCGTCCCTGTCCGAGCCAGTCCTTCGTCAGTGCTGCACTGATTGGCGGGGTTCCTTGATCCCACTCACATTTCACATCATGTTGGCCCGGTCGCTCCTGCGAAGCGTGCCCTCCAAGGCTTTCGCTCGACAGTCCTTCCGCCAGACAACCACGGTGCGTTTGATCCCGTTGATGGCGTGCCATTGGGCGCTCGCTCAATCGAAAGATGCTTTTTGGCCTGCTCTTTTAGCGATCTGTTCCGGCTAATTCCCCGTTTTTAGCGATCCTCTTCCTCCAAGGCCAGCTCCGCATCCGAATCTCCATTTTACCTGACTTTGACCGCTTCCGCTGCCACCGCGGCCACACTCGGAGTTGCAGCATGGTACTACCATCTCTATGGGCCCCAGCTGCAAGCAATGACTCCGGCTGAAGAGGGGTGAGTGGTCTCTTCGGAGTTTTCCGGCGGCCTGTGGCATCGTTCACTAAATTTTTGAGTCTAGGTTGCATGCCACAGCCTACCCTTGGGAACACGCTAAATTCTACCGGACTTTTGATCATGCAGCGTGCGTATGCCCACTGTCTCCCCTAAGCAATGCCATTGGCTCACTTTGTGTTTTAACTGTTACAGCCTTCGACGTGGTTTCCAAGTGTACCGTGAAGTTTGCGCGCAGTGCCACTCCCTTACCCGCGTCCCATGGCGTTCGTTTGTTGGCACCATGCACACCGTCGATGAAATGAAGGCTATGGCTGAGGAAAATGAATATGACACCGAACCCAACGACCAGGGAGAAATCGAGAAGCGCCCCGGAAAACTCTCCGATTATATTCCTCCTCCATACAAGAACGACGAAGCCGCTCGCGCAGCGAATAACGGTGCATTGCCACCCGATCTCAGTTTGATTGTTAAGGCTAGACATGGAGGCTGCGATTACATCTTCAACTTGTTGACCGGATACCCCGATGAGCCACCAGCGGGAGCTAGTGTGCAGGAAGGATTGAACTTTAACCCTTATTTCCCCGGAACTGGTACGAAGTCACTGCATCACACGTCGGCCCGGCGGTGTTGTCCCTGCTTTTATCTATCAGCGAGCTAACGATGTGCAATAGGCATTGCGATGGCACGTGTTCTGTTTGACGGTCTTGTCGAGTATGAAGATGGAACCCCTGCGACGACCTCCCAAATGGCCAAGGATGTGACCGAATTCCTCAACTGGGCGGCGGAACCGGAGATGGACGATCGGAAGAAGATGGGCCTCAAGACACTCGTCATTGCCGGAACGCTCTTCGCGATCAGCGTCTGGGTCAGGAGATACAAATGGGCACCAATCAAGACCCGCCAGATCGTCTACTCTCCTCCCGTGGGCAAGAAGAGATAAGCCAGGTACGATATGACAGAATGACCAATTGCATATCAAGCTTAGGGCCTGGTGGAACGGCGAACTGGCCGCATGAAGCTGTCAACATCCCCTCCTTTTGCCTGCAAGAGCCGCCCTGCCCTGTTAAGCGTATGCACAAGCCCTCTCCGGAGAAAAATATATCATCGTTCTAGCCAGTTTTAGACATTGAAAAAGAAAAGAGCGAGGTCTGGAAACCCACGAAGGGTGGTGAGCTGGTGGTTTTTGTATCTGTGTAATTATAAAGTTCTTCGTTACCCTCAATTTTTTTCCCCCTTTTTATCCCGTTGCTGTCATCCTTACTCCGTACGCAGTCCGACCCCCGGTGTATACATTTCATTTGTTCCAAGACCAGTTACAGGAATGCGGTGACATGATTCTGAAGCATTATTCTCCTCTCCGACCTAGGCTGGCCCGGAGGCATCACTTGTAAAAACAGTGTGGGATGTTAGATACAAAAGAAATCTTGTTTATGGGATTCCAATTCTTATCGAAACAGTCTATATAGTAGGTCTTTCACAATCAGAATATACAATGTCGCCGTAGTCTAAATGGTATTTTCCCGGCATATGAACCGGCTACGTCCCCGCGGTCCTCTCTCCATCGCCAAACAGAGGTCGAAAGATTAGATCATAGCTCCACCAGAGTCCTTCGAATGTCGCATTTTGCAGTTTGGCCAGCCACCACGGTGCCTTTCCTTTCTCGTCGCTCAAGGTCCTCCCGAGCGACATGGTGGTGAGCAAGGGGACCAACCACAGCAGGGACAGCAGTATCTGCCCCACGCGCTGTCTGAGGGAGGTGATCCGATATGCGTGGAGGGAGGCGAGATAGGTGCGATACGCGACTGGCAGGTTATGCTCCTTTGCGCCGCTGACGAGGAGGGATTTATAGCGCGGCGAGGGCTGGGAGTACGTGGGATGGCGGGCCCGGTGGGAGGTCCCGGCGCCGGCATTGCGCTTGGGGTTGTTGGCGGGCGAGAGCAGGGTGTGGGCGCGGAAGGGGGCTGTGGACGGGCGGGCGGGGACGGGCTGCGAGGGATCGTAATCGGGGGGAAAGGGATAGCAGTCTATGGCGACGTCGATGTACGAGGCGCCGCCGCCTTCTGTGGCGATAATGCGCGCGTAGTCCGCCAGGGTGACTTCGTAGACGACGCCGACGAGCGGGCCGCGCCAGACGTTGGTGTCGTCGAGGGCCGAGTCGTCGGAGCGCAGCAGCGAGCCTTTGTCGTCGCCGTCGCGGTCGTCGCGCGAGGGATCAGTGTGCGGTGCAAAATGGCCGTGGGGATACAGGGGCTGGCCGGTCTGGGGATCTCGGTACTGGGTCCCGGCGAAACAGGGCTCGAGGTAGGGAATGCCGGGCAGGTCAAAGGTGAGCGACAGATCCGGCACGCAGACGTTGATCTGGGCCAGCGGCACGATGCGACGGGTGTTGCGGAACGTCTCGGAGCTCATGTTGGAGCCGTATGCGAGGTAGAGCACCGTCTGCTGCTGGAGCAGCCCGTCCTGGCGCGGGTGCTGCTCCAGCAGGGCATCGACGTCGAGCGCATGGTCATGGGCGGCGGCCCGTTGCCTCGCGGCCGATATCTGCGGGATGGGAGCAGCGGGTATCGGGGTGGAAGTCCTCCCCTGGAAATAGTACCACGGGGTGCGCAGAGGGCCCTCGTCCAGGGTGGCTGCGGTGCTGGCCAGGGCATCGGGCGGTGCTTCGCTGGGGGCCTTTTTCGGCGGCATGCTGGTCTGCGAGCGGCTGCAACTGGGATGGTGATCTCACAACGGAGAGCGGTTGACGGGGATGTGGATATATATATATATATATATCTCTACTCAGTCAGAGATCCGGACGAAAAAAGGCCGTGGACTCAGCTTGGAGCGTTGCAGCTGGCGCAAACTGGCTGCCTGGGCATGGATTGTCTCCAACTCACCGTTAACTAGCAAGAACTAACTAGTTGTTAGTTCACGCCTTGTGTCCGCAGCTGGAGACACTCTCGGATGGACTGTCACGGCCGAGTCCCGCCGGTGCATCTTGGGATCAATGCGAGAACTGCTCGAGGAGTTGAGCAACGAGTAACTTAAACCAGCGGGCGATGCATTGTGGAATCTCCAATAGTCCATGTAGGCCTCAAAGCCAGCATCTATCAAGTTGGATTGACGCGATAGTGACAGTGTGAAGCTATTCGTTTTAATATAACTAGTCATCCAGTTAACTACATATATCATCCTAAAAAGTGTTCACGCTCAACACGACCACAGTTACAACACAAGTGGAACAAAGCATTGTTTCTACGGCTCTCTGTCTAGTACACATCATTCGTATCAATCATCCCACTGTGTTTGTTCTCCCTCTCCATCTGTGATGAGACGTGATATTGATCAATTCCTGGTAGCCTTTTACATGTCCATCTCTATGTGATGATGATATGGGTTCCGCAGGATCAACGCAGCACCCGGCCGTGGAAGCCCACTGCATGACTGAAGTCCTCGAAGCCCTCCAAAACGCCATCGAAACCACCAAGCCTGGCGAGGACGTGGTGTGAGTTTTGTCCGCAACCCTCAAATATTGCTCTGCGGATTCTAATCTCTGCTCCAGGATCCCGACACAGGCCATCGAACTGTTCCAGCGCTATCACAGGAGCGGAGACGCATCGCGGTTGCCAGACGTTCTGTTGTTGCTTGAAAAGGGACCCTGTGAGAGGCTGGATGCCACTTCTTTCGGATTCATAGTCGACTTGTTCCTCAGATCAAAACCTTGCGCGGCGAGGGACAAGGGCTTACATCTCCTGCTTGTAGGCCTCCCAGTCCTGACGTCCGTCGTGGAGGTTTGCTGCTGATATTTGGGTAGGAATCAGTACGAAATCTGACGGATAAGGCACGGAACGGACACGGCTCCGGATCTGGGCTTGCCGCATACCAGAGAAAGTCAGGGCTCGGAGACAAGTGTGGCAGGGCCGTCTTCGAGTCGTTGCTGAGAGAGAGCCCATTGGAAGCGCGCAGATGGGTAAATATCACGCCATTCCCCCTCTTGTGTGTTTCTGGCCGATCCTGACTTGAAGATAGAGCGGACAGTTTATTGTCGAGCTGCTCGTTGGCAGCAAAGCGAACCAAGACCGTTTCTTACAATTTGGAGCAGATCTAAGGTATAACACCGAACTGCATGCTTGGAGCGCGCATCTAACATGATTCTGTTCCCCCTAGGCGAATCGGCGCAATAGTCTTGAACGGCGGTGCGGATTACGATTTGAAATTCACGGCCGCGTTGATAATCCAGCAACTCAAGCCGGTGTGCCCCGATCCTGCATCGCTTTGGCCACCAGGCACGGACGAGGACATATGCCACTGGGGGCCTAAGGTCGGGAGCACGCCGCATGTGTTGTTCGAGTGTTTCAGCGTCCTAACAGGCTATATCGACGGATATATCGCCCCAAGCAGCCCTCAGCCGGGCTACTGTTCGTACGTGCAGAGGGCACGGTCGGGTCTCCAGTTCTGGGGAGGCCATAGCGACAGCGTCAGTCTTCGGGACCAGGCATTCGGAATCGCATTGAAACCGGAACAAGTCACCTTGTTTATCATCAGCGACGGCCGAGCCCAGTTCTTTGATATCCCTCGAAACTCCATTCGTAGTGTGAGAAGCGTCACGGACAAGCCGCGCCTCTGCATGCATCTGATTGCTGGCACGCACTACAGCAGAGACGGATTGCCCGCGAACGTCGAACAGATAAACGTCCACTTCTCGGACTTGGAGCTCAGGCACGCGGTAGAAAGTGAATTGGTTGCTTCTATGCAGTCCGCTCAGCAATTGTCGCAAGCACCTTTTGATTCTCGCGGCCAGGGGATGCCGGCCTCGACACAGATCACGGCGGCACGATGTGCTACATCGACTGCGATCGACCTCAGCATGCCCAGCAATGGCGAGTCCGCAGCGAGCGACATCGTAGCCGGGCACGCCGAACTCCCAGCGAAACGAACGGGCAGAGTCGCCTCGTCTGCGGCCGTGGAGCTGCCACCGCCCGACCACAGCTCTGCACCGTCTGAAACCAGCAGACCAGAGACCACAGCGCGCCCGAAACCCGCCATCAGTGCTGCAGACCAGGCGACCGAGCAGCGACATTGTGCGATGAGGTCGTCGGCGGGCGGGGAGGCCGACTTGCTCAAAGCGGTAAGACACCCGCAGCTCGACCGCTCGCTTCTCTCAGCCCACGACAACACGCCGTCCGCCGGGCGAGGATCCAACTGCGCCCGCGACATGCAGGACGGAGACGGCTCGAGGCTGAAGCGGCCCCTCCACAGGGTCAGCGGTCCCGTCTCGAGGGCGGACAACGTGGATTGGGACGAGGACCTGCGAGTTGCGCCCGACGACGAGCCGCAGCCCAGCAGGCCAAAGCAGCAGAAGCGGACGCACAAGCAACGGCCAGCGTCCACAGGCGCCAGACGGGCTGTCCAGCCGATGCTCTCTCTGAGCCCCCAGCCGCTGCAGATCCAGTCTGTGCCACGAAGGAAGACAGCCTCAAAGCAGGGCGTGCCGGCGACGCTGGCTTCACTGCGCAAGAAAAAAGCACCTGTAGCGAAAGCCGACCCAGAACTGGCTGTAGCAAAGCAGCCGCTCCGTCTACTAGGTGTCTCTGACGATCCAATCGAATCGAGTACTCCAGATGTCACCACCACAGCGGGAACAGTCGATCAGGGTGCAGCTCTCCCAGCCTTGGAGGCCCCAACTGCCCAAGCCGAACCTGGGGGCGACACTGAGAGCATTACCCTCAGCCTCGGTCCTTTCCCAGCAGCCAAGATGCTGCAAGACGATACCTTCCTGGACGAAGAATTACGGCTACTGTTTGCATGTCCCAGCAAATCACCCGGCCAGGGAGCAGACCCATACGCATCGCCGGCATCGAAGCGAAAGAACGTGTCTTCACATGGCGACACAGTATCGGCCGCTTCAGGACGCAACACCGACGAAGATGCGCGGGCGAATAAACGTTTAAAGGCTGGTCACAACAGAGGAATGGCCTGGGGCAATACACTGGCAGGTTTGATCAAAGATGCAAAACTTGTCCGCCCATATCGACCGTCATCCAAGAGAAAACCCGTCGAGGAGGACGACACTGTTCCAAAAGACGAGAACGCAACCAATGCCGCAAAGACATCTGAAGTTTCCAGAAACGTATCTCTCTTTATTGCCCGGCAAAACGCCACGGGACACAAGGCAAATGCCGGTGAGGAGATTCCGGGTGATCTAAGCTCCAGCAAGGAAGATTGGGACGCCATATACTCAAAAGACAAGGCGAAAACAGAGCAAGGAAACACCGCCAAAACTGAGAGTTGCCACGGGAGCAAAAGTGGCTATGAGAAGGCAGGAATTGGCAAGGACATGCAAATGGAAGCGCGCGTTCAACGAAGCAGTGATTCCGTGGATAAGAGCATACCTGGCATGGGCAGCGACAGAACCCGCCGGGCTGGGCCATACTCGCGTGCCTGGGGCCATGTATCGCCCGAGGATGAAGTCTTCCCTGTCAAATGCACTGGTCAAACTGTTGATGAGAACGGCAGTCCTCATCCCAAAGCGAGCACAAAAACTAGGCTGGCGAAGCCATGCCGGGGAGACAACCAAATGCAAACGCGTTCTCGAGCAAAGGACAGCCCCCTTCGAGGAGACAGTTCAGATGACAAGGAGAACGCATGGCCAGAAAGTGACCTGGAAGGGGACGCCCCGATGTTTCTTAGTTCCGACCTTTCAGGTCGGACTTTTCCAGCGAGTGCGAAGCCAGCCGCAATTCCTTTCACTACACGCTCAATCGGGAATTTCAGAGCATGGCATCGCAGCAGCCACGAGCGCGATGGTCCCCGGACTGCAGATGAAACGGAAAGCTACATCACATCAAGTTTAGCCACGACCTCGTCCGAAACCAACTGCGACTGCGCCGCCAGTGAATGGCAGGAGCGGCTGCGAGGCACGAACCAGGCCACCCTAGATATTTTATTGCAAGCAAGCAATGTAGGTCACTCAGCCGCCGAACCCCTCTGATTGCTGATTGCTGATTGCTATGCAGCGCCTAGTGCGACATTTGGCAGACGAAGAAAGTGCCATTGCGGATGTTGTCAGTGTCTATCAGAATGGAGGTGCCAGGATCATTGAGCAGCTGGAGGACACCCACGAGGAGCGAGCGATGAGGATCCGCGCGCAGATCGAGCCGGTTGAACGGACGCTGGCACAGATGACTCGGAAGATTTCGCGCCAACTGGACGACTATCGGGAGGCGCTGGACAATCCGTCGAATGCAATTGGGCGTCTGGCTGCAACGCGGGACCAGAACCGAAAGCGAATGTGCCGGCGGATCGAGGATGCAAAGACAGAGTGCGAGAAGGACGGCGAGCATGTGTTGATCTGATAGTTAACTAAAAGGTCCAAGGATGCTCGGCCCGGTATCGGACAATATCTCCTAGTTGCAAGTCTAATAAATAGTTAGAGGCGTAGTTAGCTCTTTTAGTTGTGAATATCGAACTACTTTCGTCCGAGCCATCTATGACTCAACAGCATAAAAACACAACAGCCATCTTCGGCCTCAAGGGTTAACTCGACCAGCTGTTCTCCGCGATTCCATTTCAATCAACGAGTATCTTCTCTGCTTCACTCCCGCACCCCGCCATCCACGCCCGCAATGGCATCCCAAACGGTGAGCCCCGCGCCCAACGCCCCCTTGGGCACAGCTCGTTACTGACGCCGATGACCTGCAGTGGCACATCGAGAATACAAATGTCGGCAACAGGAGCCACGCAGAAGACTGGCGGGGTCTGTAACTCCTGCCCCCGGCTGACTCCCTTGAGCCCATGACTGACCGTTGCCTGCTTGTCGTGCAGTCCGCGGCTACAACCCGCTGACGCCGCCCAACCTCCTCCAGCATGAGATCTCGCAGACGCCGCGCTCCAAGAAGACCGTCTTGATGTCCAGAGAAGAGGCGAGTGCTATTGTGAACGGCATCGACCCCAAGAACCGCCTCATGGTCATCGTCGGGCCCTGCTCGATCCACGACCCCGAGGCCGCCCTGGACTACTGCGGCCGCCTGCTCAAGCTCAAGGAGAAATACAAGGACCAGCTCTTCATCGTGATGCGATCTTACCTCGAGAAGCCCCGCACCACGGTTGGCTGGAAGGGCCTCATCAATGACCCGGACGTCGACAATTCCTTCCAGATCAACAAGGGTCTCCGCATTGCCAGGCAGCTGTTCGTCGACCTCACCGACAAGGGAATGCCCCTTGCCAGTGAGATGCTCGACACCATCTCCCCCCAGTTCCTTGCCGACCTGCTCTCTGTCGGCGCCGTCGGTGCGCGAACCACCGAGTCGCAACTCCACCGCGAACTTGCCAGCGGACTCTCCTTCCCCGTGGGGTTCAAGAACGGCACCGACGGCTCCCTGGATGTGGCTGTGGATGCGATTGGCGCTGTCAAACATCCACATCACTTCTTGAGCGTCACGAAGCCCGGCGTGGTCGCCATCGTGGGCACAATGGGCAATGAAGATTGCTTCGTGATCCTGCGCGGTGGAAAGAAGGGGCCCAACTATGATGAAGCGTCCATTGCCGCCGCGAAGAAGAGGCTCACCGAAAAGGGCCTCTCTGCCAGGCTGATGGTTGACTGCAGCCACGGCAACTCGGAGAAGAACCACAAGAACCAGCCCAAGGTTGCAAAGGTCGTTGCGGAACAGATTGCTGCTGGGGAAGATGCCATCATGGGCGTCATGGTTGAAAGCCATATTAATGAAGGTGCGTCTCCGCTGACTGACCATGAAGCTCCTTGTCCGTCGATACACTGACGCTTTTCCACCCCAATCAACAGGGAATCAACCCGTCTCCCCTTCTGGCAAAGCCGGCCTCAAATATGGTGTCAGCATCACTGATGCCTGCATTGGCTGGGAGGACACTGAATCCGTGCTCGCCACTCTCGCCGAGGCAGTCACCAAGCGACAGGCCCTTCAGGCGGAGAAGTCTAGCTCGTAATCCAATTCGAAATGCGCTTCTGGGTCAGTGAACCACCCACCACCACTCACTGGCCGGAAATAATGAATAGGCGCCTGGCGTAGTCTTCAAGCTGAAGCCGGTCTCGCCAACGTCTACACACATGACTTGAACATTGCTGTTTTCCAAGCTAGCTTCGCCTACCTCGCATGTCATCGTGTTATCTAATACGTGTGGTCCCAGCAGCTCAAGTTTTAAAAAGTTTGCATTATATGGAGTCGGGTGCAGAAGAGCAGACATTGCAAAAAGGGAGAAAAAATGAATCTTACTAGGAATTAGTATCTGCGCTCGATGCCTGTTTGCCAGGAAACATTTGGACTTTTCGGGTATAATAGTCATTGAGATTAGTTTTCTTGATAAAAGTTCTACAACTATCGCACGCTCGGAAAGCGAGTTCACCTGATTCCTGATTTCTTGATACCAAACGTAGCCCTCAACAGAACAGTGCTCAATTGTAAAGTATGGAAAAGAACGGCAGCCCACAAAAGCAGGTTGAGTATAAAGGGGGTATATCCGAGAACGACCAAGTAACCATGAACAATGCCGAAAATCCAAAAGAAACAAAAGGCCCATTTTGAAAATGCACCAGAACAAGCCAAGCGAATGAACCGGTCGTGACAAAAGCAATTCAATATATACCCATGCAAAACCCAATATTTGACACAGACCCAAACGCACAAAAAGCGGAAAGCCACCCAAACAAGCACTGCCTGCCGAATCATACGACTTCTGAGTTGTTGTTGAGAGCGGAAATCACACTGCCTCGGTGTGCTCTCCCTGGAATCCACGCTTCATCCAACGGCACAATCAGATTCGGGTTCACATACTTCCTCAGCCGTGGCGCGAGATCCTGTCCTCTAAGCCGGAGCGGTATCGAGTCCCGCTCCCACTGTGAAGGAGGAGACATTGTCGATGTCGGGGTCGGACTTTCATCCGATTCAGCAGCACGATCACGGTCAATGCTCCGCAAGGCGATGAATTTCATTAGCGGGTCGTAGGTTCGCGAAAAGAAGAAGAAAAACCACACAGTCCCGGCCAGGAGCGGAATGATCAAAATCGACCGTGTGATGGCTCTTCGAAGTGCCAGGGTGCCCGTCATCGCAAGCTGGAAAATGAAGAGGCCCACAATAACACGGCTGCAGATCATGGGCCAAGCACGGCCGGTGGAATGCTGTTGGTGATCCATGGCATAGAGCAGCTGATATTTGTAGATGAAACGGCCGATGAAAAAGTAGATTAGGCCGAAGAGACAGACCAGCCAGGAGCTCGGGAAGACGCTATAGACGACGCAGATAATGAATATGAGGATTGTTTGCGGAAGTGCGAAACCGTAGCTGAAAACGGGAGGCTTCTCCAAATCAGCGTAGTCGCGTGGTGTTTTCGCTCCCATCAGCTGGAACGGGTACATGGCCACACTTCCAAACTCCAACAAGCGGAACGGAAACAGGCCCAACCCTTGCAAGACAATCAGGTTGATGTAAAAGGGCGCAAGGGACTCGAGCGAGCTAGCTAGGGCATAGGCCACAGTAGTCGTGTCTTTGAAAACGTCTCTGAGATTCTTCCAGAATCCGTAGAAATTAGATGCGGTAGCGAAGACCGTGAAGACCAGAAAGAGATTGAAAAATGTGAAGAAGAAGTTTTTCGAGATCATGGAAAGCTCAACATCGCCGTGAGAAATCATTCCCTGCATGCTGGCGAGCCCTAACCCTTAAATATTAGCTCTGACACACGGGCAAAAAGGAGTCTTGCACAAAAGCAAAGAACGGAAGCTTACAGCTATAGATATATGGCACTAAGAGAGACAGCAGCGATAGGGTCAAAGTAGGAAGACCGGTTTGCACCAAGGATTTGATCAACGGATGCCGCGCCAGTGCGTCCGCTAATTGGGGGATGACTTTTTCGATTGCTTCCAAGTTCAACAAGTACGCGAGAGGGACAAGGAGCAGAGACCAGAAGACCGTCAGGAATCCAATGACGAGCGTAACCGACCACGTTCGCAGCCATCTTTTCGACCTGGAAAGATACGTCTTCTCCCACACAACATCGGCTGGCGCAGGGGCTAAGCTGGCAACAAACTGCATTGGAGACGGATCCAAAATGGCTTGCACTGCCATTTGACAGGCGGCAATCGATTCCATTGTCACAAACGCAAGAGGAGTTGGCGGGAATTCATTCTCCCTCATAGCTTCAATCGTCTCATCAAGGCGGCGCAGTTTTTCCTCAAAGTAATCAATGGCGTCAACGGATCTGTATCTTAGCTTGAACGGGCCATGCCATAAGCGGATCATGGGCCGTTCTTGGGTGATATCGTCGACATGAGCCTGTTCCTCGCTCGACAGCAATGCGGTGGTTTCGCTTTCATTGATTGCGTCCAATGCCGTCTGGTTGTTTGCGCGATTCCGAGCTTTTCTCCGCAGCTTCTTCGGTCGATATCCCAGGTGTTTTGTCCACGCTTCCTCCAATTTCTGAAGCACCCGTTTTCGTTCATTCATCAAGCCGTCGAGTTCCCGCCAATCGCGACATAGAGTCAGATTTTCAACCTTCCCAATCCCAAGGTTCTCGATGACCTCCTTTATCTTCTCTTCCGACCTCAATTCGGGTGGAATTCCCGACAGACGGATGGTGCGATCAGTCATCGTTGTCTGACTCCCCAAACATTGTTGGCGTATCTGAATGATCTTGTTCGTCTGATCGACCAGGAGATACATCGCTAGCCCGGTGAAAACATATGAAAATACCACATACATCCACAGATATGTCGGGTCGGTCTTCGGCTCGTCCTTGTCTCCTAGCGGCGTCAGATAAGTCTGGGACGAGGCCAGGTGCGAGAAATCCGAACTGTTGCCGTCTCTGCCGTCCCTGCCATCCCAATACTTTCCAGTATAGGCGTAATGAATGGGAAGAATGACGACAAGGGAGAAGAAGAAGGTGATGGTTAAGAAGTTGATGGCGTATTTATAGAATGACAAGAACTGACGGTTGGAGGCATGGTTAGTGCCGTGAATGGCTTAGCAGTTGAGGGCCAGCAACATACGACAAACGCATCCAATCCAGCAGAGGCCAGTACTTCCTCGTCCGTGATCTTGTACAAGACCGGAATCCACCCAAACATCGAGTCCGGGAGCTCGGGAAGCCTTGAAGCAGCGGTCCTGAGTCTTCGGCGGGCATTGTACAGCACTCTCCATTTCGGCCGTAAAACCTATCGCGAGCTCCTCGTCAGCTACCGCAGTTCTCCAAGAAGCCACAGCCCGCTAAATGGCCCACAATAGATCCCTCCGCGAGACACATACACAGAATGTTAAGAACGCGCTCAACCCCACGGCGAAACTGATCACGATCTGGGTGTACAGATCCCGCTGGCCCCTCGCCTGGTCCTGGAACTTTAGCCGGTCGTCGTGGCCTCCATCGCCATCGCCGCCAGAGGTACGTGATTGGAATGCGGTGCTGGTAACAGTCGCGAGTGCGAGCAGGGAGGGCGTCATCGGGCGCGGGATGCGTTTCCAAGCAGCCGTTGCTTCAGGGCATAGAAAAGGGCGATTCCAGTGATTCAATTAGTGAGCCCAAGAGTATAGTTATAGCAGTTTCACGAGACAGACAGCGGAACATGCATCCTCTGCAGCACCGTCTGGCTTTCCAGGCAGCTTGACTCTTTGGCATCTCGACTCCCAAAAGGGACGTTGAACAGCGCGTCGGTTGAACTTAAATCCGATGACGTCGTGATCAACAAATATCCAACTCCTGAACGACCGTTAAAACTTAACTATAATACTCCGTCTAGATGTAGAGAGGATATTGAGTGAACATAAAAGAGTCATTAATCTCTAGCCATCAGTTCGGAGTCGTTGCTCTATATGTACATCCATTGAAAATGCCATCAACTAGTTAACAAGTACAGCCATGCTGTTTGGACTACGGGCGCAACTTCGCTGCTCTCGCCTTCTGGATCTCCGAAGCATCGTAATACAGGTCGAGCAGACACGCGGCGGACCATGCCTGGGTTGGTGACTACAAGACTGTTAGACTGCACGTCAGCATGGATGGAGGCGAGAGCCTTACCGAATCAGCACAAAACTCCCCGTGTCGGTTCGTGAGCTCTGTCAGTCCTCGCCAGGTACTTTCCCTCAGCGACTTGACACACCCCTCCAGCCGCATCGTGATCTGCTGATACACATCCATCAAGCTTTGATACGAATCGTCCTTCAGCAGGCTAAACTTCAGCAACGCTCTGAGAAAGTACCCCGTTGGCCACAGCCATTCGGGTCCTTGATGGTAATTCCTCCCCTTCGCAGTTGCAAAATCAGTCGAGTCTTCCGAGTTGTTATAGTACGGGCGATAGTTCAGGTCCGTGGGGTCAAGTGTAGCCATGCCTGTTGGCCCACGGAGAACGGTATCAGCGATGGTCAAGGCATGAAACGCACGCCTGGGAGTGAAAAGATCCGGAGCAACCACCATGGCTATCGTAAAGTTGGGCCGGAGCTGATAGTCTTCGTAACCTTTCCCAGATCGGTATACATCTTTGTAGATGCCGCGGCGGTTAACAACTGAGCTGTTCACATCGAACAGCCTGTCCTCATCAGGCTCCACGGGCACGTAGTAACACCTCTCGAAATTTGCCTTTAGCCTATCAACCCAGTCAAGGAAGGTGATCGTCTGGCCGGAACCAATATCAACTCCATTGTGCGAGTAAAGGCCATCTTTTCTTAGATTCGAGATCCATCGCAGCGCGCTGTATTGCAAGCCAGTGATTTCAATCGGCGCGCCATCCCTTGGGGTGCCGGGATAACCACGGTTCCCGGCTTTGTCGCTCTCGCCCATCTTGTCCATCCAAGTCCCACAGTTCCACTGGTTTCCTCCAAACATGATCCCGGTTTGCCAGTCAACATGAACATTCACCTGAAATCCCTCTGGCTTCATTTGCATATCCAACTCAGGGCCGGCATTGTGTTCCCGATATGATATGCCTGAAGCATGTCTCTGTAGGATCTCCTGGATGACCTCGGCAATAGTCGACTGGTGGCTATACGCCCTTTCATCGTCAAACGAAAACCACGTGTCATCATACGGTAGAAATCGACGGGAGACCTTTTCATCCAAAATCCGAATACCTTCTGGAACGATGTGGGTATAATCTTGGATCGCTTGCAGAAAAAACCAAACAGAATCGCGAGAGTTGTATCTAGGAAGCTTTCCAGATGAAAGCAGATTGGGTATCATGCCATGTTTCAACACACTTGCAAAAGCGAGAATATGCTCTTTCGCATCATCAAATCGACCAGCGGCGAGGAGTAACCCCCGGAGCGAAATAAACACATCGCGGCCCCAGCACCTCGCCCAGTCTGTGGCAAAATGTGGCAGGCCAGCAGCAAGGCAAGGTACCTGCTTTGTAGGGTAAAGCGAAGCAGATTTCACCTCGCCCATCTGCTGCACGCTTACCAACGCCAGCTCATGGATGAAATGCTGACCATGCTCAATGATGACTCCTAACCCATGAATCGCACGTCGGCAGGCCGCATCGTACGCAGCTTTAATAATGATAGTAAAATATCTGGGCAACAAAAAATTCGGGACTCGGCGAACCGCGTTAAGCCGATCCTCAAGCCACTTTGTTGGGCCTTCCAGTTGTGAATAATTCTGGTGCGAGATGGCCCGTCGCATTCGTCCAACGACAAAATCAAGTGCCCATTGACCGTCTCTCAGATTGTCACAAAGCGGATGGCCAAGATCATTTTGTTTAATGATGGCTTCCAGGATACTCCACCACCCTTGGAGTCCAGCATAAACAAGAGGGCCGAAATTTGGTATATTATAGACTCCATCCTTCCCACCGCTAGAGTCCCTTTCCTCGGAGTCGCAGCGATATAATACAAAATTTAGTGCGGTTAAATCGACACGGGCGAAAGCTTCGTCCACATCAGCAGTGATGAAATCACTCAGCCCGATCGGTAGATCCTGCTCGTTGATATGCGTTTCTAGTAAGGCAATAGAGCCTGGTGGAAACTTTCCGGGGCAAGATACTATCGTATTGTCACCGCATTCTTCGATTCGGAATCCCGAAAGTTCAGAGACACGGCTGGGTAAGCCTCTCAAGAATTGTTTATCTGATGTGATAGTCTGTTTTGTTTCGTTGCTGTTATCGACTTCAAGTTTCCAAGCACCTAAAAGGCTCGCTTTAGTGCCTGTCAGATGAACGGGAGAGAAAGTATGCTCATCCGGAGAATCGGCAAAAGCAGTACGTGATATAAGCAAAATGCCCTTTCTTGTGTGTGGATGAACCCTGTGAACGGTTATATATTCTCCATCGTGGTGAATATGGGTTTCATCGTACTGATCAACAGCCATCTCCGTATGCAGCTTGTTCAACAGCTTCTTGAGACCACCTATACCCCCTTCGCCAGTGAGACCCTGCACTTCGGCCTCCGAAAATGAAGACTGGTATGATCGCCCATCTGTTACGAGATTGACGTGTTCAGGGTATACTTCATCGTACCCCATTACGCTGCCAATCGCAGAAGCGCACATTGCTACCAGTGCTGCATTAGGCAGCGTGTCCCTAGCATCCCGCTTCTGGGCCGGAGCTTCATTATCATGTGTACAATCCATGAAAAGCGCATGCACGGAAGTTTGCCGGATATGATTGAGGATGGTATTGTCTTCCCTTTGACACCAGTGCGACAATAAACTCGGGTCAAAGCTGCCAATAGGACGGCCACCGTGACGGTGAACCAGTCGACTGAGCTCAGCGGAGCTCCATGCCTGCATTGCCTCCCTGATCAAAGCCGTCAGCCCAAGTCGCTTTGTGAACAAATAATCGGCCTCCTCCGAACCCGTGAATAGTTCTGCAAAAACCATTAAATTGGGACGAACGCGTCGGGCTTCATGCAGTAAGTACTCCGCTACGTGTAAAGGAGTAGAGTGGCAGTTGTCAATACGAAAGCCCGCGAAGTATTTCGCCATGAGCTTTGTATACTGGGTCATATACCCCCACAAAAATGGATTATCCTCGAAGGACTCTCCGTAGCGTAGTTTAACACAATCGCCCCAAACAATGACTTCTCGTTTTAGGTAAGCCCGAGAGTCGGGTCCCGCGTTGTCCCTTAGAGCATCTGCGTTCCATACCCATCCGTTGTTAAGTAGGGCAAGCGACTTGGAGCTATGCACTTTGGTAACCTCATTCAATGGAAGGCGGGTAAAATAGGTTTCAATGAGAGGACTGTCTTTTGTAACAGGGCCTAGCTTCGGTCCATGTTCATCCAAGCGGAGATACTTGATCCGATTGAAGAGCTGGTCGAAAATTTCCGAGACATCTTTGTCAAACTCCTGGAACAACGGCAGGTTCAGAGCATCCAGTGTCTTGGTAACATTCTCTTCAACCGCCTGAGAGTCTGTAGTCGTCTCATCAAACCGGCCATAGAGCGCGGTGAGTAGTGCAGCCCCAATTTGGGGATTCACCCGTCTGCTGTATCGACCCAAAACCCGATTGTCGTTTTCAAATGCCTTTTTGCGTAGGAAAGCAGCCTTCTTCTCAAACGGCCATTGCCGAATTTGATCTAATCCCCCAACGCCAACGTCTCCAAATCCCCCTTTGGGATACTCGATATTCCCGGACCTCCATGCATCAATGATGGATTTTGTACCATGTTTGACATCGACAGTGTAAAATTCCCATAGCCTAATCTTTTCGATGACATGTGGCCTCATCTGATGCACCACTGTAGCCAGGTCATCAACTGTCTTGAATTCCGTGGGCAAACCCAGAGTTGCCAGGTCATCTCCGTATTTCAAAAGGGCGTCGTCTAACTCCAAAGCAGCTTCTAGCCAGGGTGCTGTTTCCACGTTGTAGCCAGCTTCAGGGTGCTCCTGAAGCCATTTGCTGTTGTGAGCAGTATGGTTCCAGACGACATCGGTCAGCGCAAGCAGTCCGTAATCCTTTTCCATTCTTGTGACCATATCCGTGATATCATCCTCTCCATTTGGGAACGAATGCCGATCGAACTCTAGTTGGCCATATATGCTATATGGCGAATTTGATGCTCCCCTTGTCATCAGCGGGGTGAAATGGACAACATTGTATCCGCGTTGACCGATCCCTTTAAGATGCTTATCCCAGCCGGTCGGATATCTTCCCATGAACTTGGAGACAACGGAGAATATTGACAAGGATTCAACAGGCATCCGTTCGCCATTGAGCCTGATATCGGGGCATACGTCTATATAAAATGTCTCTGTTCTCGTCTCTGCATGGGGCGAGGGGGTAGGATCGTCGGAGAGATTGGAAAGAAGACTATAGGTGATATAAAAGGAGAATGCCCCGGCGCGAGTAATTGGGATGTCGATCTTAAATTCTCGGTTGAATTCCGGTTCCAATCCATAATTCACAGTTAGTTTGCAGTCATGGCTCGACCGGCGAGATACTCACCTAAACTTCCTGAATTTGCTGCTTTCAAAACAATCCTTGGGAGCGGGAATGTTCACCCATAAGTTTCCCTTTCTGCAGATAGGGCTGCTGCCCTCGATCACAAATCGGAGCAGGTACGGCGGGTCACTGGGAGGCGGGAGATAGATATACCCTCCTGGGATGTCGGGAGCACCATCGCTCTTCAGCGGGAGGAGATAAACCTGCGTTGGTGCCGCCATTTTGTTTGATCAGCAGAGGCCGCAGTTGTCTCAAGGTTGCAGTTTCACCACAAGCCCCAAGATCATTTCTCAGGTCAGTGCCTGCTGGGTTGCAAGTCAAGGCATCTTGAAGACGGTTGTTGGTCTGCATGCGATGACGTCACTCTACCTAGGTCCACCCATCTGCACTGCCTATGGGCTATCTAGCAAGCCCTGAGGTTGAGCTTCACTTGTTATTGTGCACAAGCCTGGGTAAATGGACATGGAAAGGCACTCTGGTTGCAGTGCTGAAATTAGCTTGAACGGAAGCTTCACATTGCCAAATGCAGAATATACTCCATGATCGATTGAGAAAGCTACTTTCCAGAGATGCAGGCAAAACCAACCCTCGCCTATCGCCCAAAATTCGCCTTTGTAAATCAATGCAAATGATGGCTTCCACATGAAGGGTAATAATTGCTCAAGCAAAAAGATTATAGAAAAACAGCGTCCATGCCTAAATTCAGCTTCAAGGAAAGGCGAAATCACATGCGCATACATCGAGTCTACGCCAACTGCCGAGAGAAAAACGTGCTGATCTGATCAAGAAAAAAGATAGGACCATGGCAGCAAAATTACCGTTCAATCAGTGCTGGGATATCTTCGACCTTGACAGTGCCCGCAAGGATGCCTATGACGAGGATGAGTAGCTGCTACACAGATTGGGCAATATTGGATTCGTAGGCTTACCGTAGACTGCTGTAAAAAGGGGGAACTCGTTCTCTAGCCCTTGCTTCTTCAGAAACGCGTTTACCTCCCGGGCACTGAGTGTGCCTTGCAGCATCTGCCCGTTGAGCTCAGTCTTCTCAACCTCCTCAACCGTCAGCCCGCGCTCAACTGCCAGCTTGGCGCAACGGTGGTTGCGACCACCGTTGCAACTGGTGATTAGGTCGGCAACACCACAACTCTCTTCAGTAAACGTCTGAGGGTTCACCGTCTCGCCGAAAAACCGTTTACCGAATTTTACCATTTCCAACAGCCCAACCCGCATAATCGCGGCTTTTGCGTTGTCTCCCCAGCCTTTACCATCAACAAACCCAGTTGCCAAAGCCACGATGTTTTTCAAAGCCCCCCCAAGAGATACGCCTGCAACATCATCCACAACACGGACGTGGAAGTATGGGCGATGGAACAAAGTCTTAATAAGGGCTTGGTCAACGGGAGGATATTCCGCCGGCATGGGCCTAAGTTTCACCGCCGAGTAGCTTCCGGAGGAGTCTTTATGTTGAAAATGGGCTATTTCGTTGACGTTCACGGCCGAGGAGGCAGGCGACATATTTTGCGGCGTCGGGGCTTTGGAGTCGTAGTGAGGTGGGTCGTATGCGATTGTTGTTTCCGAGTAGAGTCCCTTGGCGATCTCGCTGGCAATGTTCGCACCGGACAATGCTCCGCAATAGATACCGAGCTCCCTGCCGATGACCTCTGAAAACAAGCTGATACCCTGGTCTGTGACACTGACACCTTTAATACACGAGATTGCCCTTGCAAAGGGTAGGATATGCCCTTTTAGCTTTTGGCAGATTCCCACAATGAACTGATGGGGCAAGTTGAAAACCAGAATGCTGGAATCCTTGACAGAGTCCTCCAGCGAAGGGTTTGCACGCAAATTTTCGGGCAGAGTGATATTTGGCAGGTATTTGACATTTTCGCGGAGCTGGTTGATGACCTCCGTCAGGCGTTGAGGGCCGCTACAGAGGGGAGAGGACGGGTTATAATGCCTCGAGCTCTTGGGAATTTCGACTTGTTCTTCGTACACCCACATGTTGACAATTGGTTCAAAAAGGTCCGGGTTTGCAGCGACGTTCTCGGCGACCATCTTGGAGATTGAGGAGCCCCTAGGACCACGTTAATCACCTGCGCAGGCTCCGGGAAAGAAAGAATAACGTTACCAGTTCCCGGACCCGACAACGGTCACCTTGTGCTTTCTCGTGTACGGGGAAAGTCGAGCCATGGTGTGCTTTCGCCTCGAATGGATACTTGACGGATCAAAACCTCGAGTAAGTTGAGTAGAGAAGAAGTGAGGAGCAGACACTGATGATAGGCGACGAAGACTGAGTTGTGAGAGAAGAGTAAGCTGCAGGCCTCCCATGCAGTTCGAGGTAACAGAGACAGAAACAGTTCAGCACCAGCAATTTGCACTTTTTGGCAGCCAAAAGGATTCGATTTGTGCCTGAAGAAACAAACCAAAAACAGGAGCAGCCAGTGGATGACATAATATAAATGAGATTATGTAATGAGCCTAGACCCTGTCATGTGGCATGATGTCATCATTTACTGTTTACATAATATACATAATGCAAACAGCACAAACTGAGAGCCTTCAAAATTGCAGAAGAAGAGAAAAGAAGAAGAATGAGAAACAAGAGAAACAACAGACAGTCAATTCCTCACAGGCGGATACAATGGTCAGTATCATCTATAAAACAGCTTCTGATCACTGGATTGTCTAATGAGATATCGGGTTTAGGCACCTGTTCGCCCTAAGAGCAATTCCAAGTCCGCACCATCATCGCGAGACACACCCTCCAAGGGAAACGAAGCATCCGGTTTCGCGGATTCCGCCTTTCACACATCCAAGAAGGACAAGCGCGTCATAAAACATTCGACTTTTGTTTCGAAAATCGAAAAATCCCACAAAAAACCGCTCAAGCGCCGCCGCCCTTCGAAAAAGCTGGTCGCGAACCTCGACTCGCTCGCTGAGGCTTTGCCGGACGCTGACGATAATCCACGCGCAGACAGCCAGGTCAACATCATCAAGCAAAAGAGCTTGAAACACAGACCTGGCGCTATGAAACGGAAAGAAAAGCTAGATCAATTCGAGAGGAGCCGCTTTGCGAAAAACATGGCACAGATGGCCCGCATGGAGTCGACGGGACCAGCCTCGACTTCAGACGGGACTCCAACAGCCACACAATCTTCATCATCTAATCGGTGGACTGCTTTGAGAAATTTCATCTCACACACTATAGATCAAAACCCGGAATTCAAACGATGAAGATTCAACACGTTGAAATCCCCCTGGGGATAGCTCATGGAGCAATCCCGGGCAAGGGAAGCACGGTGTCTTCCCGCCAATGTGCCGCGCACATCGACATAGCTCCGAAATACATACCCGCCCTACCCTTTATACCTTGGGCCATGTTGCCGTAATCGTGCTTTGAAGGTTATTGGTAACTACCTTTGATCCTTGTGAAAGCCCCCGAGAGCTTTAGAGCCAGACACCCCCACAGGCCCAGCCAGGTGAACTGCATTAGTTCTCATAAAATTGATAGATATTTGCAGTTCCTTGAGTTTTGATGGCCTCAGCAATCTTCGTACTAGTTTTACAAATTCTTGTCAAAGACACATCGCAGCGCCGCTAAATGATGGACATATTGGCGAACGGTGAACCCGGCTTAGCTCTGATAGATATCAATCTCCTCAAGGAGCCGATAGCCAGTCAATCTCACATTATATACTCCGTAGTCAAACGTCTTGGCACAGCATTTCAGAGGAAACGTCCAGTCCAGTCTCTTTGTCTCCTAAGCAACGACTCTAACAACACATAGAAACAACATGTCAGAGATGTTTGATCAATATCGTACTCAGCATCGACATATCCCTTCAAGATCCAATGGATGACACCATGATAGGCCGCTGGCTCTCGGACCTGCCCATGGACGATCCAGCCCGCAAGTCGACCTCAAAGCCCATGCTGCGGCGCTTCATCCTCCATACTAAGCCGATAAAGTACCTGCATCTCCTAGGATCAGGCACTGAAGGCGTGGTCTACCGCGTGGAAATCGAGGGAAAGGAGTATGCGATCAAAGTGGTGAGTCCATGCTATTACTCTATAAACAGTACGTCGGTACAACTATCCCGCATGGTATTTTCCTAGAATATGCCTCTACCCTACTAAAGCACATTGTTGATGATTGAGAATGATACTCAGTTCCGCAACTGGACCTACACCGGCACCAAACTCAAAGGCCGCGCCCAGCACTACACATTCCCCATCGCGAACGAGGCCCGAGCCTTTGCCCGTCTTGACAGCATAGGCCAAAACGGTACATGGGCAGTAAAATGCCATGGCTGGATGAAGATCTCTGGTCGCCAGCGCCTCAAAAGTATGCGTGAATACACCTGTTGGGCCATTGTCAAAGACTACCTACCACACCCAGTCTCGATATCAGATATCCCTGAAATTCGACGGAAGATGAAAATTGCCCGCAAGGCGCTCATTCATCCGAGCGATACGCAGCCGTGTAACTATCGAGACTCGTTCTTTGTTGATTTGGGCCGTGTCAAGACGCATCCATATCCACCCCAGATGTGGTCAAACCGGGAGCGGAGGGAGTTTTTTACCTGGTTCGATGGATATGCTAGTCGATGGGAGGTTTCCGTCCGGGATGGATCAGTTGTCGAGGGCTGGTTGAATCAGGAATTTAAGCGGTCCATTGCGGAGGTGGAGGCTCGAAACAAACGAGATGAGGCCGCGAAACAGCGAAAGCTCCTTGCTACCGTTCCTGATGCAACTGCTGATGATCAGTCGGATTGGACGTCGAATTCTTCCTGAAGTTTAATATCATAGGCTGCTTTGTCTTCCACTTTACGTGCTATGAATTTGTCCATGTTCGGCATCCAATAGTGATAGGTGATTTCGACAAAATTGGGGTCCTCATGGTCATTTCCCGCAAATCTCGGGCGGATATGGTCATAAAATATTGAGAATAGACCAGTAGGGCTGATCAGGGCAAGCGAGTACCAGAATGTCTTAGTCTCCCATCCTTTATTCATGATGCTAAGCAGTGTCGTCTTTTTATCATAAATCTGTTTTTCCTCCTGTGCTAGGATACTCATAAACTCCTCGCGTAGTAGGTTAAACTGGACGGTGTCAATTTCATCCACCGCTTGACTTGTAAGCCAGCGGGGAGGATGGATCATTTCAATGGGGCGGGAACATGCCCATTCCAAATCAATAATGCATTTGATATTCCAATCCTCGTCCACAAGGATATTACTTTGATGAAGGTCGGTCAGGGCAAACACAAAAGGGCCACGCTGAAGATCATGTCTAAAAAAATGTCTGACAACGGTTCGCATAGTTGTAAGGGCTGATATCTGCCAGATACCATCATACCTATCATTGATTGCATTTGGCTGAAAGTGTAAACGATTGTCATGAAATGAGAGACAGTCGAGGACGTACGCGTTGACTGAGGAGTAGGTCATATCTCTTGGAATGTCAACTGGAATTTGCTGACTTTCTGAATCCATGATTTCCAGAGTGAGTGGCCTGTTGCTTAGTGTCAGGAAACCACTGTCATCGATCATAAATGATCCAATTCGTGGTACCGGAACCTGAGCGAGTGTTAAAATTGTCTTTGAGATGCCTTTGAATAGATTTGCACGGAGCCCTTTGTCGTGTCGTTTGTCTTCCCAGGTGCATGAGAGCATTCTTCCATAAGATTCCGGTATACGCTCAATCAAGAGATAACCAGCTTTCAAGATACTTAAATCCAGCCCTTCCTGAGGGATGTATGCGGATGGAACTGCGCACCCAAATAATTTGAGCAGGCGGCGGCGTAGGTGATGGAGGAGTCGCGGAACAGGAGGTAGGTTCTCAATAGCCGTAAACTATAGATCATCAGCAAGTAGGTCCGGCTAGAAGGTGCAAGCCCTATCTCATCCCGTACATTCTGACCTGTTGAAAGAGAAAACCCGTAAAGCTTAGGCACAGGGATTGAAGGACAATTCTCCCGTAGCCAGGCATAAGCACCTGCTTCGCATCGTAGCTTTTCATCAGCATTGCCGGGTCGGAATGATTCACCAATTCGGTGCAATATTGGGAATCGCATCAAGACTTCCTTGTTACCAGGGACGGAGATAGGAATGCAGACATTGAAGCTCCCAAACAGCCAGCTTTTGGGATGAGAAGGTTCACATTGTTCGGGAGATAATCTGAGGTGATGGGCAGCAGCTTGTTGAAGTAAGGCTGACTTCTTCAGAAGGTTGGCGCAGAGCTTGATCGTTTTCTTATGGTCCTCAAGAGCAACCAGGATATTCGTCTCTGCGTTTCTTGCCCATGAGTAGGTCACCTCACCGCGCCTCAGTCGGCGGGTTCGGACCATCTTGCGAATTGCTGGCTGCGTTTCTCCATGAGTTTGTTCATCTCGATGGAACATGAGATGAGAAAAATCATGGTCATGTGATCTCACTCCTGGACCATACTGTATGTTAGTTATGCCATACTCAACTCCAGCTCCGCCACGCCTCTGACAAACCCGCAGGAACCGCTGCGAACTAAGAACAGAATGACTTCTCCCGAAAGATACCTGCGCTTTGCTAAAAGAACAAATACTAGCCACCGAGCATCACCTTCGACAACTAAAGCGACAACTCGCTGAACTCGAACAATGCCCCTCTCAAAACGGACGCGCCCCCACCAATCCACCCCAGGCAGAAAATCCTCCTGCGGATAAAGGTTCCATCGATGGGACCCGAGAAGGGATTCCGCACCGCAAGTGGCCGTTGCGACAGGATGAATACAGGCGGTACGGACGGCAAATGATCGTTGATCAAATTGGGTTGCAAGGTAGCTAATGGGCTCCTCTGAACTTTCCTCGTGGCACAGAAGAATTGAAATCTCATCTCATAGGACAGCTCAAACTACGGAATGCATCAGTTCTCATCGTCGGCGCGGGTGGTTTGGGTTGCCCTGCCGCACTATACCTTGCCGGAGCGGGCGTAGGGACGCTGGGGATAATCGACGGTGATACTGTCGAATGCTCGAACCTGCACCGGCAAGTTTTGCATCGTACAAAGAATGTCGGAAAGTTCAAAGTAGACAGTGCCATTGAATATTTACAGGAGTAAGTCATCCCCGGGCGCAATTGTTGGGCGAAATTTTAACAGATAGCCATTCACTACAGGTTGAACCCACATCCCAAGTATATCCCTTATCGGACGCGTCTGACCCCACAAGAAGCCCCGGATATATTCGTGAACTATGATATTATATTGGATTGTACAGATAACCCAGCCACAAGATATCTCATCTCCGATACAGCAGTGCTACTAGGGAAAGCGGTGGTCTCGGCATCTGCGCTTCGGACAGAGGGCCAGTTAATGATTTTAAATCATCCACCTAGAGCACCGGGGGACGTCTCAGGAGGTCCATGCTATCGTTGCGTCTTCCCTATTCCTCCGCCGGCAGATTCTGTCGTTAGCTGCGCGGAAGGAGGAATTCTCGGGCCGGTTGTAGGGCTGATGGGTGTGATGCAGGCCGTTGAGACAATAAGAGTCATCACTTCGCCTCTCACGGCTGACAATGGCGGACAATCGATTGTTCCAGCTCTGCACCTTTTTTCGGCATACTCAACGCCGCCGTTCCGCAATATTCGGCTTCGGAAACGCAGGGCAAACTGTAGCGCGTGCTCGGCGCACCGATCAATCAGCATTGATTCGCTGCGTAGTGGCTCCACTGACTACGTGCAGTTCTGTGGCTCGGTGAACCCGCCATCGTCTCATGCCGCTCGTCAACGTATCACGCCTGCTGAATATAATAATACCTATTTGGCCGGAGCGTCTAACGGTGAATCGGCACAAACCCCGATCCTAATTGACGTGCGCGAAAAGGTACAGTTCGATGTATGTGCGCTTTCAAATAGCGTCAATATCCCAATCTCTCAGATACTGGCATCGTCCCGGCCTCCAATCGCGAAAAATAATGAAGGAGTTAGAGAAGATTTGCCTTCCTGGCTTCCAGGGTCGATATCCAACTCTGCTAGCCCGGTATACGTCGTATGCCGACAAGGAAATGACTCCCAGCTTGTGGTTCAAAAATTAAGAAAATTGGGTATCGATCGTAATGGTGAGAGAACTGTTACCGATATCAAAGGCGGTCTCAAGGCATGGCGGATAGACGTTGAGCCAGATTTCCCGGACTACTGAACTTAAAGCTGCGCAAAAAGATTTCTTCAAAAACCTGCCCTTTGTTTCTGCAGCCGTGGACCAAGGAATCTAATTTTGCGGAACGTTGACGGGGGCCTTGTCTAACCATGCCCACTCTACGTTAACTCTACCTTGGTCAATCAATGCGAGTTTTTGAAACACGCTCGTTGACACATCAATGTCTGTTGGTTTGCAACCGACACCTGCAACATGTGGTCAACAATAGGTCGCTAGTCGGTATCGACAACTACGGAATCGCAAAGCCACAAACTCACATCTGTCAACAACCGTGACATCAACGCTCTTATCGCCCCTTTTCAGGCGAAGTTTCAACCCGCAAAGGGGGTTTTCATTGGGATTCGACCCGGTACTGGCCGCGTCGTAAAGTATCCTTGATACGGCGCAGATATTCTCAGAGCTACTACTGGTTATACCGCAAGATCCTAGGCCCGGCTCGTAGTACGTCAAGTCCCCGGAGTAGGGACCGCCATTGTTCAGGGGGAGAGGGAGGTTTGAGGTTTTCCTAGATCAACGAAAAATGTTAGCTATTTTGAGAAGGGTGGCCAACAAGAGAGTGGCATGCTCACTTTCTCAGTGTCAATCCCACTGATAAGCCAATAACCAAGGCTAAGAGCACGATAGCAGCAATAACACCAAGGATGAACATTCGCTGCTTCTTCTTATTACCACCAAATTTCAATTTCTCGGTCAGCATCGCGACCGAAAACGCAGAAAATGGATACTTCTTCGTAGACCATGCGGCATTCTCTTGATGCTCTATAGACCCAAAAGCCGATTGAGGAAGTGGCTTTCGACGTGGGGCCTGCGATAACTCCGTCATGGTCACTTGCACGCCTTCATCCTTCATCACAACCTTTGTTCTAGTGACATAACCCGCTTCCAGGTCCTTCACACTTGGCAAGGAGTGAGTCGGCGACAGCGACGAGACCGGGCTCACCGGCAGCGACGCCATTGCCCTGTAAATGAATGAAATATAACCAAATTAATGAGCGAAAAAGGGGGCACGACAGAAACCTCAACGGCCGTGTTCGTCGCCGGCGACTGAGGCAGCGACGCGACGATTGGAATAGACTGGTGCGAAAAGAGTGGACGGCTTGAGTTGATCCAGCAACGAGCGATCAGGCATCAAGCCATAGTGAGTAATTGACAGAGAAATGCCAGATGGAACCGGCGATGGTTCAGGCATCCGTGATTGCGATGTGACATCGCAGCGCCAAGTTCTTCCCCGGGCGGCAACGAGTAGGTCACGTGAGAGAGCGGCTTTGCCCAGTTGGTGCGGCCTAGGTATACGGTATACTGTATCACCGACTGAGGCGCTGGATTCAATTGATCCTGCTTTTCCCTTTCCAACATTCCATCCAACCGACCCAAGAGGCGTTGGTAGGTAGGGTTCCATGGTCATGAGGAGCCCATCAGGCTGGCATAGTCCACCGCCAGATACCTGATACCTAAATACTTGGTCCGCGTATCCAGTACCCGGGAAGGCTGCGCGGTAGATGTTTCATTGTTACAGTCCGCTGTGACAAACATTCAGACGAGCCCGCTATGCACGGCCCGGCCCCGGAGCGGAGCTTTTTCGGAGGCCTTGGCATGTGCTGGACCGACGTCACCGGGGCGCGAAGTCCGCTGCGGGCACCCAAACGCCCCCGGAGTGCTCATTTTGCTTTGTCTGCGAAGATTCTTGGTCCATCTTACCACCATATCCCAAAGGTCACCAGCCTCCTTCAAGCCCGTCGTACATTCTTACCGCTGGATTATGTCCTCAAGCTCACAGGGAGGCCGCCGCGAGGGCGGCACTTTTGCCGGAATGGTGAAAAAGCCATTCAAAAGACAAAACTCCGCCCAAAGCGCATCCTCGGGCCGCAGTGGCGGCTTGAAATTGAGCAGGTTCAGGAGGACTCGAAGCGCTGTATATCTTCCCTCGACCTTTTCAAAGGCATCTCCTCCTAATCAGGGCATTAGACACAGTCGATTTCTCACACGCCAGATTCCAGTTCGTCTTCCGAGAATGAGAGCATCGCATCTTCTGCAACCGAGACCGGTCCCAACACTCCTGCGGCTCTCCAAGAGGTTTATGAAGCTGCGTTGGGTGGCCATTCTGACCACGACGGCCTAATTCACCAACCAGATTCTGCGTTCTCTGAGCAGGAATTGAAAGATATCTTTTCCGGGGCGCCTCATTTTCTCTTGGAAAAGGGTAGGAATTCACTGTGGTATCCGCACATTCTCTTCCCCTGGGATGACAACACCTCGATCCAGAACTTACGAGATCGAAAGCCACTGCATCATGCTTCCCACTCGCTTTCAACTCTACATGCTCACCTGCCTGTGTGTCATGAGCAAAGTGGTCAAAACACTCTAAAATATTGGACTCAAAAGGCGGAAAATAGACGGCCTACTTTCGATCTAGGCGTGTTTGAAGTCCCGAATATGCTCTCCGCTCGAGCAAAGGAGCCTGGATGCGTTGGATTTCGCAACTACTTAGAGCTCCCGGTCGCGCATGCGTTCAGGTACATAGCCCATACGCATGCTGATCACCACCATAAAGATATATTTCCTGGAACCCTTTCCGGGCGTCCAAACGATCCCTATTCATACTGTCGACCAAGAATTATGGTTGATCGCGGAGATTTGCTCAGGGAGGGACCTACCGCATGGCGTCGCCTGGGAGTCCGCTACTGCTCCGTCAAAGCTATTACGGAGCGGATGGAAAGACTTTGTAGCGTGCGTGAAGATGTTATGTGCAGATGCCAACGCTCAACCATACTCGATACAGAAAGCATTTGCCAACTAAACGATGAATTATTCTCAAGGTTCCTATACCCTTTACCGAAAGAGCTAAGGGACTTTGTGCCAGCCGAGCCGGGGAGCTTGAAATATCAAATTGTAGTGTTGATGCAGGTCCTAGGCGTCAAAGGCGCATGGATAGATTTCAGCCTTGTGGAATGGCGGATCCGTGCAGGGCAGATTCTCTGGGAAGCGCCTCCTCATCAAGATGGTGACTGCATAAACTGCACTGACGAAGCGAATTGTGGCATTGAGCGGAAGTGGCTTCTCCTGCAATTCGTATTGACAGCAGAATTGGTCCTTCGTGTCGATGCGGCAGTCAAACTCGGCATTATCGCCAAGTCACAAAACGTACTAATCACTCCGCACGACATATATCAAATGAACGAGCTGAGGACTCATCAGATCGACTGGGGGATAATCACCGGCCGACGAGCTGCTGAAAACCTGATGTTCCAGTACAGCCCGTTCGAGAACGATGAGGATCAAGCACCACCCCTGACCAAGTCCAAAACTACTTGGATCAAGGAGAAATTTTCTCGCTCAAAACAAAAGGTTCCTCAAATGGAAGACTGTGCTTGGTATGGTCGACTCATTCCCCGTTTCCCCTTGCGTCAGCTTGAAGGGTTATTTGTTTTTGCAGAAGCGTTGGAGTGGCCAGGCCTGGATGGAATAAAAGAAAACTTGAGATTCAAATTCTCAGCAGCTTTGAAAGACCGGCAGTCTATGATAGCGGCGTTTGATTCCCCCTTGAGAACCAAAGCAGCGGCATGCTCTCAACATCGACTGGAACGTCAGGACATGTATCGGAAAAGCGTAACCGCAAGGCTCATTCACTTACAGGTCCCACCAGATGAAGTGGAAAAGGACAAATTGTACCTCGGGGGGTGGCCATCTCGATCTTGGTTCTCTGGTTTCGTTATACCAGGTGAATCGACGAATGATCTTCTGATATCGACTCTCTTGGAAAACGATCCACAGGCTTTGAAAACACTGGGGCCGATTGCAAATCTATATGGAGGGTTTATATATCAAAACCGGAGTTACTGGAGTAAGGTATGCATCGTGGGTCGTGTCCTGTGCACTTTCTTCCCGCGTTCAATCTGCATGGGGTGGGCGGGCTGTAATATCTTGCCTCGATGTGATGATGGGGAGAGGATCCAGGATAGCTGGGTCGAGGTCAGTGTGAAAGACAACCACGCCCCTCGTGGAGAAGCGCGTATTTATCAAGGCAGCAAAGTACTATTGGAGTCATCCCCACTCGGAGCGGAAGGCGATCTCACACCGAGAGCATTCTCGCTGCCAATGGATAAAACAGATACAGAGTGTCTAGCCACCACGATTCAATTCGAACAACTCACATTGTCCGTCCATAATCGGGAGGAGCAAGAGTCAAAAGCTGACACACTGCAGAAAGCGTTGGCCCTCGTGAGTTTTGCAGTATCTCAGCAGTCTTCTAGGTCGGAAACGGTCACGTTTCCCTTGACCTTCAATGTTCAATTCATCTCTTCTTATACTTGTTTGCCTCCACTGGGATACATCGCACACCTCTGCAGTCATCAGTCAGATGCCCAAGCCGAGCCAAGCTATCATCGACATGTGCATCCAAATGTTCCTCTCGATGAGGAGGCCGACGGAGATCTTGGCGAAACAGAAATGCTGGCACGAAAGCTGAGGCCTGGGGGGCAACCCCGGCTTCCCGGCCATCCACTGCACGTCGTCTCGTATCCGTACAGTTATATTCCGATTGCAGCACTAGCAAAGATGCTTGTCGTGCGGCAGGTCCGGCCTCGTATCAGTTTCATGATGTACCCCGACGAGTTCCTCAGCTTTGTTGACCCGGGCAGGCGGTGGCACCGCCCACGGCGACGACAGACATACATCGTCGATGCACGAGGAAGCTCAGATAAAGAGGCATATGCGCGAGCATGGTGCTCTGCCGTAGGAACCGATGCAGTCGTAGCAAGAGTTGGGCGTACGTGTCTCGCCTGCTCCATTCGTGAAGCAAGAGCCGCGAACGTGCCAGTCGTCCGCGTTGGTGCGTTGGCTTGCGAAGGAGGGATCAAAGACGCTCGCTGAGCCCTTGGAGTAGTTATGCCTGTGGTGGAGCTGAAAACAAAAATCCCACCCGCATTCAGTGCTAGTCCTCGCCTGTTTCAGACCAGGGCAAGATTGAGAATCAAAGGAGCATTCCACGTTCGCCGTCTCTCATCCGTTCGAGGTCGTGGTGATTGTGTGTCGTCAACACCTCGGTGACCGAGGACTTTCTGCTGACTGACGGTGACGAAAGCCCTCCACTCCAGAACCCCGCCAAAACCCCTCCCTTCAAGTCCGCTTCGCCAACGCAACCAGCAATCCCAACAGAGCACTTCGGAGAGCACAGTCTCCCTTCAGAAACAATCGTCCGCGGTACGTCTATCACCGGTCAAGTCCTATGCGGTGTCGTCCCCTTCGCTATCATCCAATTCCACCTTGCTCCAGACTGCTGAGACCCGCTCCCCAGCATCAAGATCCATCTAGAATCGACCTTTTGCTGCGAGTTTACCTGCATACAGCTGTGGCGCGGTAGACATGGCCCAGTATAGCAAGGCTTGTTGCTCGTGAGTCTCTCCCCGAGGGTTACTTGGAAAAACAATTGGCTGCGAATTGTCCCGCTGATAAACTGGTTGCTCTAGCATCCCGCCTGTAGTTTCGGCTGGGTATGAGACCAAGGGGCGATACATCACCCTCGATGGGATGAAAACATGTATTGCCCTCTCTGATGGCATCTTTTGGAACCCGGGTAATTGGGGCTGACGGGGAGTAGATGTTACAGGACCTGAAAGTGCTCAGGAAGCCATCCTCGTCGTCTATGGTGAGTTCTTCATTCCCCACGTCTTGACTCTATGAGTTTCCAGCCAACGTTTCGAATTACTGCACAGATATCTTCGGCTTCTTCCCGCAAACTCTTCAGGGAGCGGACATCGTCTCCACATCCGACCCTGACCGCCAATATCGCGTCTTCATGCCTGACTTCTTCGATGGCGCCCCTGCCGACATCTCTTGGTACCCTCCGCAAACCGACGAACAAAAGCAAAAGCTTGGCGAGTTTTTCCAAACCAAAGCCCCTCCACCAAACACTCTCCCCCGCATTCCCCGTGTGCTCGAAGAAGCTAACAAGCTGGCCCCGGGCGGCTCGGGCTTTAAATCCTGGGGGATCATGGGATACTGCTGGGGCGGAAAAATTGCCTCCCTGGCTTCGGGCAAGGATACCCCTTTCAAGGCCGCCGTGCAGTGTCATCCTGCGATGGTTGATCCCAAAGACGCGGAGAGCGTGACCATTCCGATGGCTATGCTAGCATCGATGGATGAAGATGCCGACACGGTGTTGAAATACAAGGAGAACCTCAAAGTGCCAAATCACGTAGAAACGTGGTCAACGCAAATTCATGGATGGATGGCGGCCAGGGGGGATCTATCCAACCCCGAAGTGAAAAAGGAATATGAGAATGGTTATAAAACGGCGTTGGCCTTTTTCCACGAACACATGTAAGAAACAATAAAAGTTTTGTTCAACAAGGAGGTTGGAGGTTCAAACGCGGGGGAAGTGAATTTGCTGCCCAAATTACACCCTCTCTGTCTGACCTTCCATCCCCGTGGTCTCTCTATCATGCCTGACCTTTTGTACTTCTGCATATAACTACCGCAGAGACAAAAACAACCTCCAAGAAGATTGTAGCAAGCCTCCCAAAATCAAAGAATTTGCTGTGCATAAGAAACTAATCAAATCACCGTCTTTCCTTTCAGGGTCGAAACCACGTCCAAGATTTGATTTTTCCGAAATGATCCCAGGAAGCGGTCGTCAAGCGAAGGATTCAGGGAGTGTCGCATAAATTCGGGCATGTTTGCCAAGACGCCAGTGTGCAAGGATTCGTTGCTGTCCAAGCCTGTTTTGAAATGGGGACAAGTAGTTATCTGACCGCTTTGAAGGATAATATGCGATTATGAGTGGATTGTAAGGGAGGAAAGGTGTGCAAAATGGCTTTACATGTATATTCCAGATTCCAAAGAAGGTTTTGGGAGTGTGATACTATTCATCCGCCCGTCGCTCTCCATGGAATTCCTACTTCATTGTCTTTCAATCTCCGTTGATAAATACGTCACACCATGTCCAACAGGTAAAAAAGATATAGCCAAGGAAATAGAAATGTCCCTTGTATACCACACCTTATCTCAGGGGGTGATCATGGGATTATCTAGGAAGCACTGTGCATGTTGCCTATGTGTGTGTATGCCAGCAGGACTGGATTTGGGGTTAAACCAAAAGAGCAAGAAGAGGGAAAGAGGACCAGAAACACGGCAACCAGAATTGTTTGCGAGTCGATCCAACCAACCAGGTAACCGAAAACCAAGATACGAAGAAGCCAGCGAAAGAGATGGTAGAAACGACTTATAAAGGGAAATTGAATTGAAAAGATCAGTCAGGGGAGTAAGTCAGATCGGATCGTCCTCAGCGGGTTGACAATGATAGAAGTATGCCAGCTGTGATTGTGTTGCGAGGTTGCTAGTCACATTTTCAACATCTCCTTCAAATGACAAAAGTTCAAAGGTGAAGAAATACACCAATGAAAGGGATCAAAGAGAGGTAAAAGTCCCCCGAAAAAGAATAACCAGAACCAACTGGCAGGTGAAAACAAAAATCAGCCACAAAAAAGAACAAAAAAATAAAGAAAATAAAAGAAAAAGAGAAAAATGGAGGAAAGGAGAGGAAATTCTCACGGAGAACATTCCCAAATCAGATCGTTACTCTCGGAGCACATCAGTCGTAATGCCGTAGCCAAAAATTCAAAAAGGGTATATATGAACTTTGCCTGCAATGTGGAAAAGAATGTGAAAAGAATGTAGTAGTCGCTGGCAAACCCAAATGCTTGAAAGCCGTAAAAGTTGAAACATGAAGAAACCATAGAAAACAATTGATGCCCCTTTGTCTTTTTATCTACGCCCTGCTAATAGGGATAAACCAACACCATGGTAAAAATGTATAATGCACCATAAGCAATTCTTTCCGGGGTTAATATGGAAGAGAATATGGAGAACGGCCCCGAAGGGCAGTGAAAACACGGAGAATAGGGTGCCTCAGTCAAGGATTTGAATGCGAAACCGACCATCAAAAATGTGACGGAAAAGAGAAGCTGATCATTGCATGTCAAAAGAACGGACTTATGGTTTTTGCATTGGATGCGGAACGCCAGGATCGAAAGGTTGTAGCGGGCTCGTCACCATCGGTACCTCCTGTTTAATATGAGCGTACTGCACTGGGTCGCCTGCTGCGTACCATGGCGCCATCGGGTCTGGAATTCCTGTCACAATGGGCTGGCTGGAGGTGGAAATGTCAGGCCCGTTGATGGCGCCCCAGCTATTATACGCCAGGGTTTGTTGCTGAATGTCATATGAAACAGGAAGAGTAGGCGGTTGAAGTACTGTGACAGGCGCGCTCATCGGGACTGGATATAGCCGGGAAGCGTTTCCAATCGGCGGTTTAAATTCTGAGGCCAACGGAGCATGCAATTGACCGGCATATCCTGGAGTGGTGACTTCCGGGCTTGAAATTGGCATAGTTGCGCTGGATTGTAGGTTCCAGGGGGACCCATCCGTCACAATACCAAACGTATTGTTCCCAGGAACAAGACCGACGGGATTCACAGTAGAACTCATGGCGGGTAGCGAAGAAATGGTGGCCGTCATCGGTGTGTTTTGGTCCCAGATGGCCCCTGCAGGTGGGCTAGTTTGAATTGTGGGAGGGACACCAGAAAGCTGTTGATCGTAAAGAGAGGGCGTTTCCCATGCTGATGGTTGAGCTAGAGGCTGTACTGCACCGAGAGCCGTGGTAGGGTCTAGACGCAAGTTGATTAATGCAAGCCTTAAGGGGATGGCGAATAATGCGAAACAAACCTGGTGAGTAGGGCGACATCGTCGATGTCCCATAAGAGCCTGGGTTGAAAGTCGCCATTTCGGGAGTCTCATTCACCGGCATTGAAGGATAAGGGAAATAAGAGTCTTTTGGCTCCATCATCGGCCCGCGGCCGAGAAGGGTGGGAGTGGTGACAATGGACGCGTCCGGAGTCGGGGGTTCAGCTTTGGACCCTGCGCGGCTCCTCTTCTCAACAGGTGGCTGTTGATCCACGGGATAGAAATGGCATTCCTTTTTCAGCCTAATGCAGTTCTCACACCGTCCCTGGGGGTCATCGGGGGCGAGTAAGCACCGGATTTTCCTTCTTCTGCAGTGGACTTGAAAGAAATCAGGAAGCGTCAGCAAGGTCCCGAAGCGACGCCAAACCAGAAGCAAAAGGTCATCGTGAATTCGGCCCGGGATCATTCGGCAGCACATCTTGATTGAACGGAGATAATATGCTTACCGCATGCGACGGAAGTTCTATGGTATCCAAGTTTGTTTCGTTTCTTGTCCGCAGCAACACCCGCTGAGCCCTCCATTGCCAAGCCCTGGGGAGATTCCTGTGATATGAAGTCGTTGGGTGCCTCCATGCATAGTTCCCCCTCGTTGATCGCACGCTCTGAAATGCAGCAAAGAACAAAGATCTATTGTCGATTCGCGGTGACTGATGCGGATGGGGGATCTCAGTGTTTTGTGGCTCCATGCGATAGGGAGGGGAGTCTTTTGCTGAGGTTATCAGAGTTTAATGCCATGCCCAAAATGACCCAAGGCTGCAGTTCTCCGCGCCACAAGCAGCCCGCCCCCAAGGTCTATGAACGAACGAGCATCAGAGACCACGAGATAGGATCATCCAAATTTATGGTCCAGGTTGTGTGGTCTTTGAGAGGTTTCGAAGAGGGAAAGGGGTGACCACGGGTCGATTATAGCCCAGGAAGCCAGGATGGAATGAGAAAAGCAGGAGCCCAAATACGAAGCCAATTCATGCGAATTGCTTATGAGGACTGAGGGGAGGAGATGAAAGAGGAACCGAGCGAAAAATAAAAGAAAAAAAAAAAGAAGAAGGGCCCCGGTCCGCAATTTAGAAACGAAAAATATCACCCAAGCTAGCCGTGGGGTGAAACGCCCAAGACTTTTTGCTTGCTCCTGTGGTGTGCGTAACCAAGAGCTGCCACAACCTCAGGGCATATTATTAGATGCAAGATTAATGGCCCATCAGACAGGTAGTCTAACCCAAAAGACCATCCACCCGCAAATCATTAGGGCAACTATTTCTGGTTTTCAGTGAGCGGACCACTCTCCACTCACGAACCACAGCGCCACGAAAGGCCGAAAAGAAATTAAAGGCCGTCAATGCTGCCATTGGGCGCTCGACCAGATCATGGAAGTTAGTTATGGAGCAACGGTGGTCAACCGAAGTGAGAGGGTTCTGGGCCATCGAGTAGATGGGGCCTAACAGAGGTGATCAGCAAAAAGCCACATCAGTGTTGAAGAAGTTCGTCTTTGCGAGATGTACTCTGTTACAAGAACACAGTAATTAGTCTTGGGAGACGCATTGAGATGTCGCTCGATGTACAGTACCTTACTCGAGCTTTTTGGAGGTTCCCCACGGCCACTCTTCACAAGCTTTCACGGAGTTCCACGGTTCCAAAGCCTTTCGAGGCCGCGCTCTAGGAAGATCATTAATTAACATCTCGAAGAACGATCAAGGGTCTGGAGTCCTCAGTCAACATCCCTGGACTTCGACTAAAATAAGTGCGTCTTTTTATTAAATTTTTATTTATTTTCAACGCGCAGTGCCATGCTCCCATTTGTGTTCCGCTTCCAGTTCTTTTTCGCGTTGGTTGCTTTTCTTCTCATGTTCGTGACAGCCGCTCGTCCGTGTTTGTGGAGAAGCTGTGCTGACAGCGTTGTCAATGCATGGAGGAGATGAAACGTTTTGGATCTGGGACGGTGGCTTGAGGCAGGATGTGTGGTTAAGAGCGCCTAAACGGGCAAAGGATGACTGTCCGCTCGCCCAGCGACCTGCTAGCGGTCACACGCATGACCGTTTATTACAGCCGCACCCGCCAGTGGACACCGCTCCACGCCCCCGGCCCTCGAAACATTACCGTAAGACCATCTTCCTGTTGCCAAGCAAACTCTCGCAGTGGATGACTAAGCCTACATTGGCCGGAGACTGCTCCGTATCTGAATGGAAATCGACCGCGAGCCCTGGCAGGGACGAAACGCACTGTGCTGCGCATTTTTAGATTCTGCCGTGTGCATGAAAAAGAAACGTCCTGAAGTCAAGGAATTCAAGTCCTTTTCCCAACTGAGGGGGAGAGCAGGCTGCCCGATTGGAGAGCACCTGCATCCAGTTCCACCCCCAGGTCGCAGAGCAAGACGCGCCAGAGCACCTGGGACTGTGACCTATTATTCATGACAAGCGCCGGAACTGCCGTGCCTGACCCGTGGAAACCAAAGCCAATCATGGTGGCAGTCAGCCGCTATCTCAATATTGCCGCGCCTACGGAGTCCTCCGAAGAGTCGAGACTGCACTATCAAATTTGGTCATCATGATTGAGGGAAATCGGGTGGACGCGATCTTGTTCCGTTTCCTTCCCCTGAGCCCACGGCCTTCTGGCAGCGAACCAATAGAGGGGCGCGAGCAGACCTGAAGACTGTATTCCCCAAAATATACCCCTTGAGCCGAGCGAAAAGACACATGGTTGAAAACGCCATGCGATCCATCCGGAGCATCGTTTCCGAGGTTGAGATCGTATGCGAAATTGATAACAACAGACAATTTTCGGACATGCAAGCCACCTGCATGCCAAGTGAAGCCAAATCCCCTCCAGCCCACTCCAGACTGGTTCAATGAGCTGGACTCGTCCATGATTTGCAGTCCATTCTACATCCATCCACCGACAATCCTTCCTCAGATCTCATTCTTCACCGGAGCACCGTGCCCAGTCCCCAGGGCGAAACATCTCCAAATGCACCAAGCAAGCGAACCTGGCGAGAGTGCCTTTGCTTCTCTTCCCCTCTTCGGGGTCTCCGCTGCGGTCTTTAACCGCTCAGGACGACAGGATCTGCACGGCCAAAGATGGTATGTAGTTATCGTTGGACTGAACGACGTTTTAAAATTGAATGTTTCGTGGATGCCAAGCTCGTTAGATCCACGCCACGCAACCTGAGACGACACTGCCTCGCATCCGCATCCCTGCTCGACCACGGGCCTCTTCCCCCACACAAACTTATTTCGTCAAACAGCAACTCCGCTTGGGAACAGAATTCACTGCTGGATGCCAGTGGAGTCCACCGCGGCGCCCTGAGCTTCTATTCTGGGCTAAGCTTCATCTCAGACTGGCGCGAACACAACGGCCTCGCCATCATCTCATCGTTCTGTGTTCAAAGCCCTCCATAGGGTGTGCGCTTTGACCATCGCCTGTTAAATTAAGGGATCGTCTCGGCCTCCACCCTGTCAGCCGGATGAAGACGTTGCTGTCAACTAGGACCACGCAGAGGGTTACCGAGTAGTCATGATCCCCGACTCTGGCACGTTTCATCACACCTGCAGTCGGAACCGACCGTGGCTCTTTCGCGAGCCTGGCTCCAGGTTCAAGCTCAAATTTCAAGGCTTAAGGCTGTCCAAGACTCCCCGGGATTTTAACTACCAAGGGGTTCCTTGACCCTGGCCTAGTAACTAGTTATATAAATAGCAATACGTCGTCACAAAATTGTTGGCACTTTTGAAGAATCCATGCCAATTGGTGACTCGGCAACATTCTCTTGTCACGTCGTTTAGAGGAGGACGAATCTTGTATTTATCCGCCTCATCTTCGCAGCGAAACCGGAAGGCCTAGCACGTTGAAGCGCAGCATCCACTCTTTCACATGCTTGCGAAATCACATCCTGTGCCATCATATGTCATGGTGGTTGCATCCACTGTTCTCTTTCCCCGATACCAATTGTCTATGAATGGAATACGAAAACGTCAACAGATAGGCTGAGGCCTCAAGGGGGTCAGATTCCAATGCTATCTAGTCATCGACACAGCTCGCAAGAAATTCATTGATGAAAGAATCTGAAAGGACCCTGTGATGCAATTTCCTGGAATATGTTTATTTCTCACATCTCTAAAGCGTTCCCACAGACTTTGTCAATGATCTTTCGGAAGACATATGTTTATGGAATAAACAATGTTCAATTGTCAATCCCTATGGGTATCAAAAGACGAAGAGGTGTTTCAATCTTGGAGTCTGAGAGCGGTGTTTGCACTGAAGCCCTGAGCAAGGCTCATCTGATAGAAGCTGTCACCAGGCACATAGTATGATGTGCTTGCAAGTGCACAGAATAATGACAAAACCCGCAGGAAATCGAAATGACGATTTTCTTCTCCTAGCCTCCTTTTTCTGATGGAGTTCCGCTGTCAAAGACAATCCGCACCTCAACGCAACGCCAAGAGGACCCTCATTGGGCGGGGTTTCTCCAAACCCTGGCTTCGCATCTTCGTTTCTCGTCGGCCTTTTTACCGTACAGGATATAGAAGTCAAGAAAGGCCAGCAACTATTCCCTCAAAGCTACTATAAGGGCCGATCTGCCTGGAGCTTGAAGTCGTCATCAACTGGATTTGATTTGCACATGTCAAGGATGCCGGACTTTGAAGGGAGCGAATATTTCGATATCCTGACCCTTGCCCATGCAGAGTCGCCGGGCCAAGTTGATTGATCGCACAATCCTGCTCATATTCAATGCAATTATTGATAATATAATAAGTTTTATCCATACTCCTTGCCCTGAAGCGAAGAAATCGGAACCATCAACGCATGTAGGGCCGACTCGACCCCTTTTTGAAGATCCGCAACCCTCGTTTATTCCAAACAGTGCGCGATTAAATAATGCTCAATATTTGCGAACACCGGGGAGATCTTAGTGTGTTCGATCGTCATTCTTCCTTGGAGTAATAATTTGGCATGGGTATGTCCAGGCCCTGTATGGAGCCACTGATGCAACTCGGGCGTACCTGCATCTGAGGTTACATAAACGGGACATATCCCGAAAGGTTGCTGTCGTCATCATCGCAGTTATTGTACCATTCGCTCTGAACGCTTTTCATCGGGTGTGGCCGTGCGTTTGAACTCGGCATACTCAAAGCTTCCGGGGCCAAAGCATGTCCCGATAGCCGAGAATAACTAAGGGGGACATCTAGTCATATTGCCGGGGTGAAAAAAAATCATTCAAGCTCTTGGGTAAGAGGAAACAGGCGCCAACTGTTCCTCTATTGTCCTCATCTACCGGACAATTTTTCTCGTGCCAATTGGGAGAAGGCACCCATATTCCGGCCACAAACATCTACTTGGCAATCAACGATGCTTCTGGGGGTGATATCCTTGCAAAGCGAGGGAAGGATGACTCGCTGTTGGGTTCGAGATGCGGCCCGATCCAGATTGACTTTCGACGGTCATTCGCATCTCGTCTCGGGGAGACAAGGTTATGTCAAACATAGCCAGTCATCATCTTTTTTCCTTTGAATGTTGGTTCAACAAGGACTGAGAAGAAGTCCGATCTCGAATTTCTCCGTATCCCCGACTTGCGAGGATCAAACAGTGCTTCTGATGCCATTTCTGATAAGAATATTTTCATCTCGGTCTCAATCCGCGACCTGGTTCTTGAGGTGAGATGCAGTTCATCACTACGTCCGGCTTTCATAATCGCTCGGTCACAATCCTTGTCACCTATGTATATGCCCTAACTGTCCAGCCTGGTATCTTCATTCATCCATGACCATGGTTGTTTGAACAACCCTGTGCTGCTTCGAGCTAGCTGCGGCTACTTCGTACTAACAGTGGGATCTGGAATGCCACTAACCGTGACAATTGTGTTGGTTGTCCACCGGACCGACCAGGCTCGCAACCCTGTCACTGGTAGATGGATAATATCTCCAACATCTGGAATCCAGTCAAACCTTCGGAGTACTCCGTACATAAGAGCCTTGACAGTTACAATCCAATGCGTTGAAATTGATCCTTCTCAGTTTGGAGACAGTTAAAGGGGCCGGTAACCGACTTCGTGGGTCAGGCCAAATATATGGATAGGATGCAGAGACTTGAATACTCAGCGATTCAGCTCAACACCACCTGTGCTGCTTTCCACTTTCAAGCTTTGGAAGGGTTTCTCTCAGGAAATATTGGCTCTTTGCCATCATCTATGACGTCCCGAGTTGTGTGCCCATCCCTCGCACTGTTTCCTTTTAAGCCATTGCCATGTGCCTTCAAAGCAAGTGATGGCTCATCGCGAGATAGGGCACTCACTTTCGCTTTCAAGCGACGATGAGCAAGCAGCTTGGCCGGAGTCCCCGGGACCCCATTGACGGAATGGGGATGGCAATGTTGGATGGCCAAGAGTCATCCTCTGCAGACCTAGGCTGCCTAATTTGCCAATGCAGCAAGCACTGGTGGTGTTCTGACCTCAGGTTTGCTGGCCCAGTTTTGATAACTCGTTCTCCAGCTGCAGCCAATCTTCTTCCGTGACAACGACTCTTGAGCTATTGTACCTTGAGAAAAAGCGATCAATCAACATTTTGGCCTCGTACCAATCGAAAATGTACGATTTCTCGAATCGTGAAATTCCCGTGTCATCGCAACAATCCTGGCATAATCCGAAAGTTCTCAAGGTTTCGTTGGCGGGCACACGCCTAATGGCACGACAACGCCGGCAATATATCATCGTTCGCCGCTGAAAGCTCAGCGTTATACCCGGTTCCCACCTGTTTTCCTGAATCGCGCACTCGTTGCAGAATCTCTTCCAGGCGTCCGCATGCCCTTTTCTCCGCCGTCGCATCACCTGCGTGTCCGCAAAATTTTGTGTGGACAACAATCGAAGGCAGGTATAGCATGTGAGTCGCAAGTCCGGCTCGTTGTTTTCCGGAACCGCACCAAGGGTTTGTACGCTCAGCTTCCGCTCCTGATCCATCAAAACCTCGTCCACTTCTTTTTGCTGGAGAGCTTGTATATAGTCACGTCTTGCTTTGGTGATTTCCGATTCGGAGAAAAGGGAGCGGAAGTAAGTGCTGGTTGCGCGGAGCATTTGGAGGTCGCGGAAATCTAGGTAGGAGACGAGCTGGACGTGGATATCGGTGGGCAAGTCAATAAGCGAAGGAGCGCTGCTATTCGAGTTATCCTGGGCGCGTTGCTTTGGTCCGTCCATAGCCTCGGCGGTGGGAGAATGGGCGAGCGACGATGGCAGACAACGGTCATGCTGCTAGCACTTTCATGGTATATACAGTACAAGCTTTTGTAAGGCTGCGGCTGCTCAATGATTTTGATGAACGAGTCCCTTGCATGACCTTTACGCAGCTAATCCCGAGGCGAAATGGTTTCAACAGGTGGTTGTTCAACAACAAGTTGCTCAAGTGGCGTTGTCAGTTAAGCTTCGATGTTACTTTGGGGCAGCACCAGCTCCCGACACACCCTGTGGCTGTTCATGGTGCAACCAACTGCCGGACTGCTCCATTGAAGGTCTTCCACCACATTCCATGCTTTATCGGAAGCTGCATACAATTGTTGACATTATCCGTTGAGAAATAGAGAAGCACATGTCTAGCTCTGCTGGTCGCAAGAACAGAGTCCTTGATCTGTCCAGCAGCGAGATGCCTGCTTCAAAGCTGATGTTGTCCCACTATTGAAACCCCCGGGCCAGAGCTGCCCGTTTACATTTGGTTCTCGACTCGGTGATGCCATGGATGCAAGTGAAGGTCTCGCTGTTTTCACTCTCTATCTCAGTTCTTCAACGCCTCGAAATATATACTCGTCCTCAACGGTTGATGACCGGAGAATTTGTGAGGCTGTGGTAACTACGGATGGACTCAGTGTGAATACAGCGCCGTGGGATGTTAGCAGGATTGCCAGCACTAATATTTTCAACTTCGACAGAACAATAAATGACCGGGCTCTGAAAAGACGTCCTCCATGTGAAACCCGGGGCTGTGGCAGCCAATCCACGAAAAAGCCCGTGGTAACTAGTTAATTAGTTAGTGAGCCCGCTCTCACAAAACACGCACGCAAAAGCAGTCTTCATCGCCCACCGCCACTCTGAAGCGAGCCGGAACACCCCGGGTTTCCCTTTGTCCTCAAGGCGGGAACAAATTACAATCAGCGAGGAGGCTTTAAATTAAGCTTAAAATCCTCGGGCCAATGACCTGTTCGGGCGTCGGTTGATTCAGACAAGCTTATGAGGGATAAAAAGCGAGCCGACAAAGAGGCGCTTGTGCTGGTGGAGCTTGGTGGGTCGTTTTAACAGGACTCGAACCATCACCATCATCCTGAGAGCCGCTGGGAGTAATGGAGAGGGAGAATGCTACTCAAGGCGTTGGTTGTGTGCGTGGCCTGCGTCCAGCCCGTCAGTTAAGTTACGTACACAGATTCATTTCATGAGGGAGATGCACACAATGTCCAGGTTCTCTCGTCCTTCATTTGGGGAAATACGACTTGCTCAGGCACTCCCACGGCCCCTCACATGCAGCACGGAGCAAGGGGCGCCGTTTTCTTGCGAGAGCCGGGCCAACAGATGAAAAGCACTCTCCCGCCGCTAACCAGCCATGTCTCTTCTTGTTTCCTCCTTTCCACCTTTTATTTGCCTTGGGCCGGGGAGGGAGGAACTGCCACAAGGTAACGATGATATGTATTGTGTCGTATGAACTGTATCATTACATTCGACAGAACAGTAACTATGGTAATACAAGCTACAGGGAACACCGTTCCTAAATGTTCCGAGGAGCGTCCCCGAATGTTGGATGTGCCCTTCAGCGGATGGCGTATTGATCGCGTTGCTGAAGGAGCAGAGGCCGTCAGTGAGGGTCTTATTGCTCCGTCTGCCCATGCCTGACTCCAGACGACAGTGGACTCAACAAACGGTGGTGTTCAACGGGCAAGCGGCGAGCGGCAACCTTGCTTCAGCTTGCAGGCGGAACGAATGGCTTGCTTCTCGGACGCACGGACATTCTGGCTGAAACTATCATTGCTCTACCAGCCAGAAGCGTGGAACATCATGCTTCACTTTCATCCAATTTGGTTCTGAGTGCAGAGGAGGCAGTATCACTGTGAGCATCAGTGTATTTCGTGGCCGTTTTTGGGAAGGGTGTGGTTCATTGTATTTGCGCCCAGATATTGGTGGTGCCTTGCATTTGAGTCAACCAGACGCCGGTTCCGCCCAAACGCAGGATTCCCCGCCTGGGATGTTTCGAGGCGCGAAAGTTTAGCCCCGAGATTACCCGACGATACGGAGCGGCGAGGTACACACTGCAGGCGGGTCAACTTGACAGGAGACCAAAAGAGAGACTGGCCGTCGCATCACAGGCGGAAGAGATAGGCTTGCGGGCCCAGCGTCTATGTTGCACAGATTTTCGACGGACGAAGGATGATCGAAGCGGACGAATCACTGGGCAAATGGAGAGAAGGATAGGGCCTCGAAGCGGGCCGTGTTGGCAGCTTTTCCATGCAAGTCCTCGGGCAGTTTGTGAAGATGAGTCCGTATTCAAATGAAAATCAAGAGAGCTGCATAACTACCAAAACACCCACTTGCTCCGTGCTGTCAAAGAGTTCGCTCCCAAGTTCTCGCTATCATGATGGTAATGTATCGGTAATACAACGTAGATTACCAAGCGGGAATGGTACGTGACGGAACGACGAATCAACGTTGACCTTCCAAGCGACGGCGAGCGAACAAGAACGAAAGGCGGACGGGCACGACGTGAAGGTCAGACTCATCTCGACGGCCAACACCACGCCCCAGTCCAACCCGCCAGTTTCTCGCTGCTCAGTTATTATTGCCAGCGGTTTTGGCCTGTCGTCGATCTGCTTTTTCGTCATCCAAGAGCCGAATCCTGTCTTCCCAGCTTCTCCGCCGGAAAAGGCACTCCAGCCAGACATCCCGTCGCCTCAGCACGAAGGGAAAATTCTCTTCGCATCCTTGTCCTCCACTCAACTCAAGGTGAGTTGAGCACCCTCCGTGCCTGCGACCTGCCTGCTGGTGACATGGGCTGTTACTCACCGTGCAGCGCAGGCACCAGACAGAACCGACCCTCTGATTTGCCATCCTCCACCACCAATCCATCTCTGTGGGGGAAGTTCATCGCATCCAGCTTGCCTCGCATCCGTTGGTCCCGGGCCTGACACACCACCCAGTGCGACCTGGCAAGGCATCATATTAGTAATTCCTCGTCTGCGGTCTTGGTTTGAGCTTGAAGCCCGCCCTTTTCGTCGCATCCTTCCCGCTTTCCCACCTTGACGACGGCAACCTCCGCTCTGACCGGTCAGAGCGGCTGTCCCGAAAGCAAACAACCCATCACACCGGCCCAGCTTTTCCTCTTGCTGGACCCCGAAATTGGTTAATCACGACTGCTCTTCCGTCTTGCCGACATTGAAGGGAATCAGATCAGTTGTTTAGACTTCGACGGCAAGCTGGAGTCGTCTTTTCACGAGAACGTCGTCCGCGGGGGGGTGTTGCGGGAGTCCGTTTTTCCGCACTGGGATAATGGCGCGTCTCAAGGAGGACTCGACAACACTGAGGAAATGCAGAAGCAGGATCCGTTGGCCACGCAGATATGGAAACTGTACAGTCGAACAAAATCTCAACTACCGAACCAACAGCGGATGGAGAACCTGACTTGGCGTATGATGGCCATGAGCTTACGCCGCGAACGGGAGCAAGTGCAGAGTCGGTATGTTGTGCTCATCCCAGCGTTTCGTTTGGCCACTCGAGCAAGATGGTATTGTTTTTGCTACGGTGCCCCAAACTCCCAGTTGCGTTGATGTTTTTTGGCCCTTGACGTTCACCAAGTGTTGACCGCACCCCCAGACGTGAAATTGAAACAGGCTTCTCATCACCAAACCAAATTTCGTCTCAGGCCCAGAACACGGGCCACTCGGACCTGATGAACATTGATGACTTCGTCGTCTCTTCAGTTGGCTCACCTGCAGCGCTGTCTCCTTCCCCGCCCGTCGGACAACTAACTCATGATCATGCGATTGCTTCCGCTATTCCCATCAAAACGAAAGAGCAAGACGGGTCGCCCGCTGGCATCATCATGCCGGCCTCCTTCCCGCATGCACCGCGGGATGAGCGACGGAATGCCGAATTTGGCTACGTCCCTCGACGGGTTCGGAAAACCAGTGTGGATGAACGAATGGTAGGATTGCCCCTAATGTAGATTTGCATTTTGGCCATTCTTCGATTCTGATGTCTTGAGATAGACCCGAAAACGACCAGCGGAGGCATCTCCACTAGTACCGCCTGTGAATAGCCTAATCATGCCCAACGATCCTGATTTCGATGCAACCATGGAGGACTATTCCCTGGACCAATGCCAGGCCTCTTTGGCAATTAACAATCAGATGTCTCCGGCCTTGAATTTGGACACGTTCCCTGTCGCTGACGACCAGATCATTACATCCGCAGGCCCATACAACCAGTCGTTTACATTCTCTCCCGCAGAGTCTCCACTCTTAGCTCACACAGCCTTCCAGAACATGTATAACCACGCTTCAATTGGATCCTCGCTCAACTCAGCGGATGTTTTTTCGCCTACGCATTCGGGATATCAATCCACCGTCTCAACACCCCACTTTACCTTTGATACTGAGCGTTCGATGTATTTCGACCACGCATCCATTGACGCGAGGAACCAGCGTCAAATGGGGGGCTTCCAATCGACCCGACCATCCAACCTTTCGGCTCCCGGGAACCCGTCTTATCGCTATGGACAGGGCCAACCCTACGGCACCGGAGCTAGTGTCCTTTCAAACACCATGCACTCAGCTGGCTTATCTATGCGGCAATCTATGGATACACATCAAGTTCTTGCTCAACAAAACTTTTCGTCTACACAAACTCATGGTCACGTCAATCGTGGGAACAGAGGGCAGATGTTTACATTTGGAGGCGACTCGGACAACGAAGACGAAAGTGGAACTTCGTTTCTGGGAAAATCTATCCCAATTCAACACGAACACCTGATTACCGAACCTATTAATTCGAGCTCGACCATTGACTGGCCTACACAGTTTAGTTCCATGCCGAATTTCCATCCCCACCACCGCAAACAGGTCACTATAGGTGGTGCGGAGTTCCAAGATACCAGTCAGGAGTGGAATGAAGGAGGGAGCTTGGGTCGCGGCCATGGATCTGCGGCATCAGTGAGTGAAATTCGAAATCGTGAACGAGATCCCCGGAGGCAAAAGATTGCTCGAACAATATCCACGCCGAACACCACCCAGCTACTTCAGCAAGGGAGCAATAATAGTCAATCACGCACTTCTCCAAGCTCACCTGGAGGATCTGCTATGAGTAGTGCGAATCCGTCTCGCCCAGCAAGCCCTGGGCCTGCCAAAACTGCCGACCAACCAGCCGCGCCCACCACGTGTGCCAACTGCTTCACCCAGACAACCCCTCTATGGCGACGCAACCCGGAGGGCCAGCCGCTTTGTAATGCCTGTGGATTATTCCTGAAGCTCCACGGTGTCGTGCGACCGCTGTCTCTGAAGACAGATGTGATAAAGAAACGCAACCGTGGCGGTGGCAATAATACTACAAGCGCAGGAGCTACGAGAACGTCGAAGAAGATCTCGAGAAAACAGTCGGTGCAGCAGCCTACTTCCAATCCAGTAGGAAAGATGAATATAGCCGAATCGCCCGCCCCCATCACCGGCGGTATTCCAGCAAACACTGACCCGACGCAGTTAGTTGGCTCGACTAAACTAGGCGTAGTTCCCATTGCCGCTGCTCCTCCCAAATCATCCAACGTTCCGTCTACCATACCAAGCAGTGCCGCCCAGGCGCGGGCTCCTGTACAAGTTACGCCGCGACGTATCCGACGGGTCGAGAAGCCGGCCGTGCTTCCTTTGAGCCATTCCCGCCCAACGTTTGAGGCAGAAATGCGAGATGTCCGAGAAGAAAACAGTAAGACTCCCACTCTGTCACATCGGCCATCTAGGCTGGCACCACTATATTCCCGACCACCCCCGCTTGCCGCTGTGGACCCGGCTCATCATAGCCTTGCCGCAGGCGCAACTCCAAGCAATAGCCAAGAATGGGAGTGGCTTACTATGAGTCTATGATGCCGGTCCGATATATCAACTGCATGCCAATTGATACTGCACCGATTGAGTATTTTCTTATTACGGCTTCTTCTTACGATATTTCACGACCATTGATTTTTCTAGCATTTATTTTATCAAGATGATGCGAAGAATCCATCACGACAAGAAAACACAAGCAAACAATGAGATGAACTCGTCTGATTGGCATTCTTCATTTTTTCTTCTTTTGCCGTGCAGGTGCACTAACAACGAATTTTAACATCATGGCTAAGTATAGATTCTGCATTTTGGACTGGAGGTGGCATTATCTGTTCGAGTCCTATCCTATTACGCTCTCAGATGACATTTGTGATATGCGGGAGAAGTGCATACCCAACTTCATCTATATCTGTTTTATTGGGTTGACAATTCAAAATTCCCTCTAAATATCCTGCTTATCCCCTTACATATTGCCTGCACACTACTTCTTGGAACTCTCGCGTAGGCTATCCTTGCCATCCCATGCTTATAGACAATGTCTGGGTTTTTGTTTTGTGAATGACTCCTTTTCTCTTGTCTTGATTGATACAACCGCGTCTGTCCAGAGTGCCCCCGTCATGTTTTTGCTATGTTTCATGGATTGTCTGCATTTTGATTTCGTGTGTTTGGGCATTCTGGCAGAAGTGCGCATCTTCTGAGTTTCAAGTTCCCTTGCTTTCTGTCTCTTTCTAATGTTTGGTGTCCCTCTGTGCTTAGTGCCTACAGCTTTGATAGTCTTAATTGCAGAATGATGATGAAGGTTCAGTTGCTACGATGGGAAGCAGCCAACAACTGATTAATTGGACTAAAGATTCCAACCAGCCATGCAAAGAGCCTCTTGTTTGCTAACAGAGAAGTAGAGCAAAAGACATTGGGCCAATGTCTGTGGGGGCCAAACCTTTCTGTTGTTTATGCAGTTGGCTGAATAGTAATTACCCTGAGAAGTTAGGCTGTACACGAGGGTTGACCAGGGACAATGTAAGTTATTGCTACCTGGAGTATACAAGTAATTGCATGCTATTCTCTAGTTTGTATTCCAGAAACAGTTTTGCAATTTCCGTGATCAAATCATCAGATGCCATTGTTAGTTAATGATATGGTGGCCATCTTAACTCAGCCTCAAGAAAGGGTTATGGGAGAATCAAACTTAAGCTTCCTTCATATGCAAATGGACTCATAGCAGAATGAATTCTTTGGAGACTATATGATGAAGGAAATACCATCATATCGAGATTTGTACAGCCACCCAACTACCAACTGGCTAACTTGTTAGTCATGTGGTTACCACGTCTCCTTGCAGCTGTTTTCTCCATAACAACCCATAAACGTCTTTATTGAATTATCGTTTTTAGTCAATTTGATAATAAGTGTACAGAGTATGAGCAGCAAAGACACCCCAAAGCGCCATTGCTGGGAATGCCGCCGACGCTGCTTAGTCTGTGATTTTACTCGCCCAGCATGCAAGAGATGTGCTGCATCCGGGACTCTGTGTCCTGGCTACGGTGATACGAAGCCAGCACGAGTAAGATGGGTCGCCCCGGGGAGATTGACGTCTCGAAAACGCAAGGGACGGGGAGAAGGCAAAAGCGCAGGCGATAATCGAGGGATTTTGACTGCGCCTGCAACTGCACTCTTCCCAAATTTCAAGATGATGACCGAATCCTGTGCCTTGGTTCAAGCTGCGGAGTACTGCAAGTAAAACATCTTATAGCTGGCATATCTGACGGAAATAATACTAACCTGGGTAGTTAATTCATGCATATACCTGAATATGATCCCCGTTCAGGATCTTGGACGAAACCCTCATATATACCGCATCTCTCCTGCCCAGCTAAGGGCTGCACTGACTTTACCTGACTTCCTACAACTCGGCATGGTCTGCATGGCCTTGAGCCACCGAATGAACCGGACCAGGGATGAACCCGGGAATAATGCTTTGGCGGTTCCCTTTTATCGGTACCGGGCCGTTGCACTCCGCTCGCTTAACGCGGAAATTGATGATGAACATAAGCGTACATCGGATACCATTGTCGCTGGTATAATAACGCTTTTGCTCACGGATGTAGGCAGTTCCCCTTCCAAAAGAATCCAAATCAGCAACTTTGCTCACTGAAATCTTGTCTTGTCAAGGCCCAGCAGGGTGCCTTGTCAGATTGGCGATGTCATATCCAAGGAATCCAGAGAGTTCTCATGCTGCGCGGCGGCATTCGTGCAGTGGCAGGCTCAAAACCTCTAGAGCCGCTGCTGATCTTCTTCGTGTAGTACGTGATGGCAGTCAAGCCCGTTTTAACCTGGCATAAGAAAGGAACTTACGCCATTCAAAGCATTGCTGCTATCGGTAACACAACGTCCCCTGCGTCACAGCTCTCCATGACTAGTTCACACCTCGACGAACTTGACTTTCTGCGCCTACACAGCGACTACAGTCTACCACTATTACAAATGTGCCCTCCCGCACTTTTCGGCGAGGTAGTTAAGATTAACCACCTTCGGACGCTAGGGGTGCTAGCCCAGACTCATGGGCCCAGCAGCACAGAGAACCTCTGTCAGGAGGCATACGGAATTTTGAGCCGTGTCTGCGACTTCTCATCAGAGAAATGGGCAGATTCAAAGCTATCATCAACGGAAGACTGGATCCTTTTAGGGAACGTATACCGGGCTGCTGTATCAATATATTGCATCTCCTCGCTACAAAGCCTTGCGGTTCTGCCCTCAACCATCGCCCTGGAAGCCCAGTATGCTGCACTCGCCCAGCTTCTGCATCTGCTTCTTAAGGAGTCACTGTTATCTCCGAGATTGAAATCGTTCATGCTTTGGCCGCTTGTAGTGCTTGGCGTAGAATCTGTACGTGGTGGTGTGGTTATGCGTGCTTTTGTCAAGGAACAGCTGGTAGAGATGAGCCGCCATGCTGGTACATATGTGCCACTGACAGCAAAAGGTGTTCTTGAAACGTTTTGGGCTTCTGGTAACACATCTTGGGATTCTTGCTTTGATAAGCCGTATGCATTTACGACGCGGATCGCCGTGGATATGAGCCGAATACTGCTACGGTGACGGGTTAGGCATCCAAAAATATAGCGGGATTGACCTTTTTAACTATGGGATCAGAGAAATCAAAAATCCGATATTCATCCTTTGGAACTATCTCAACAACGGCAACACCTAACACGATGAACTAGAGCAACGAGAAAAATGCAAATCAATATTTATATCCCCCTGCATATAGAGTCTACATAGGAGAGTTGACTGAGACCGGCTGGAGGAGAGATCGCCTCTCAGGCTAAAGTACCTGCCAGACGCATGCAAATGGCTGATCGTCGCTCGTCACCCACGCTGTCCGAATTTTGATTATAACTTTCCCTGGCGAGATTCCTTCCCACGTCACTTGTTCCACATTATTGAGATTATCAAAGTCATCTTGCTCCCATGGCCCTTCAGTCCTAAATTCCTTTGTCCCCTGGTTACCGTGACGTTCAACGTCTCCTGAGATAACTGCCAAATTCAAGTTGTTTTGAAGCTCTGCCCCCTGAAGATCCGAGTAGACAAGCGTCACTTTCAGGGTTGGTAATGTGGTTGACTTGGAATGTCCATCATTGCTTTGCGGCACCGTGATCTCGAGCTTGTACGGGTCCTTTTCTTCATCGTCGTCCAGTGTCGCCTCAATGTACCCCCCTGTTGTTCCTCTTCCCACCGGAATAAGGGAGTTCTCCAGGTTCACACGACCAAAGCCAAAGTCGGAATTTGGCGTTGGCTTTGCTTCGCTAGGCTCATATTGCCCTTTCAGCTCGACGGCCCCGTTGATCAAAAGGGCCTTGACCAGCGCAGCGGTCGGGGCCGGACAACCATTCTTGATGAGTGCCTCGCGGATAACAGCACAGCAGCTTGCTACGAGGGGGGTAGCCATACTAGTGCCGGAGTCAAACATCAGCTCTTTGTCTTTACTGATGCCGTAATGCTTGAAGGGAATCTTAAGTCTCCGGGAACATGTGGATAAGATACATGTTCCCGGTGCGACAACATCGGGTTTAAACCGCTTCTCCTTTGTCGGGCCGCGACTACTGAATGCCGCCATTCCATCGACATTATTTGCCATGTGGTCCGTCGATATGGGCGGTTTGGGAAATTTGCTCGGAAAATATTCGCCGTATGTAAATTCCTTGGGTTTGGTAGAAAGAATGCTGGAGTCCCACGTAATATCAGGTCGAGCACTTTCGGATGCACCAACAGTGATGCAATTCTTCGCCGCTGGCTCAGAGCTGATAGACCCGGGGTCGGTTCTTCCTGTCTTCGCCCCGTCTCTACCGTCGTTTCCAGCAGCAAAACAGATGACCATATCCTGATGCTTCCAAACGAACTCATCCACACTCCTGGCTGCCCCGTTATATGGAGGCTGCCCATACATCGGCGCCGTAGACCAGGAGTTTGTGTGAATCCGAGCACCATCCTCCACGTACGGGACTCGGAATAGATCAGCAAGGTCGGGAGGAAGGCCCCCCAATGTCCTGTTTTTGGTTTTGTAGCATGATTGTATCACAAGCTGTGCTTCGGATGCTGGTGCCTCGATATGTTGGTAGTGTTGGGACTTTATGTTACCTACTATTATTCCACAAACGTGAGTGCCGTGCCCTGTGGGGTCATCTGCGTTGTCTGGTCTGCCCAGGGGGTAGAGACGCTTCACTCGTCCGGCAAAGGCAGACAGAGTGTCTGTTTGATCGCCAATGTCGAAGCCGGTATCAGCCACGGCGATTACCTGCCCGGTTCCCTTGTATATCTCACTCTTAATTCTGGCATTTCCATGGATGATATCTCGTGTGATTTCATTGGCGGGTCTGGGTTCGTGAGCTTCGTGAATATACCTGATAGCGTCCATTCCCGCAAAGGCTGTTAAAGCTTCGAGAGCATGGGGTTGAAGAGTTACTGTGATCTTGCCCCCGTCTCCCTTTTCTGATTGTTAGCTGCAGCCCGCATTGTGCTCGGATTTCTTGCTGTGACGGCCTACCTTGACGTCTTCTACCTTGGTTTTGGCCAGGTCCGCAATCTCCTGCTTAAGCTCAGCACTCGATGTAGCGTCATTATGTAAAGTGATATCGACCGTACGCGCAGTTGGCGGTCCTGGCGTGGAATCTTTGAGAGCTTGATGAACAACAACCTCATCCGGATAGCTTTCTGCACTCTGGATGAATGGCAGGCCTGCAACACTTTCAAGCCCATTACCCCGATAGGCACAAACATAAGTACCGGGTGAGAAATATTCCTGGATATGAACCCCCTCATCTTTCAGCTTGCCTTTCTCCGTTTTCTTCAGCGGGGTCGCGTGCTTTGTCTGAAGGAGAATATGTCTCGGTTCAGAAAGCGAAATTCCGTGTGGACGAGCGTGCCCTGAGCCGGGCTTGTATTCGTTGCCGTTGATGTTAACAGTAGCCATGGTGGCGAACTTGGTGTGAATCCTGGATCAAGTGGTTGAGCTCGAGGGTGTGCAAAGAGACATGATATATGCCTGTATATCGTAGCCGGGGGCTATAGCGACTCATCTTGCAGCAGCACTCAATGTCAAGGCGAAAGACTCTTTAGGCCAAAAGGGTTCCATTGTCAAGGAAATTTGCGCACACCCTGATCGGAATGTCCGCTGTGCATGTGTCTTGGTTGGTTGATGCAGATAAACGAGGTGAAAGAGTGAACGAGTGGTGCAATGCGCGCACGGCCCGTCCAGTGCTGATGCCATCTACACCATGGCGGGCCATCAGTGGTTCAGAACTGGCAAACACATTGCAACCAGCCTGATTTACCAGGATAACAAGGAAAGACAACGGCTGGCAGCCACACATCCATGATATCACCCTTGATGGCTTCAGCAAGCCACCATGTCAATCGATTTGCGTGCGGACTGCAGCGGTTGGGGAGTCCTCGCAAGAGCCATACGAGCCATGCGGTATCAGGCGGAGAGCATCGCCATTCAAAGAAACGATGGTGCGATCAGATTGAAATTCGACCTTCCAAGCCAACCAGCCAGTTTTGCAAGGGTCATGGATGAGCCATCTCTAGCCGCTGCAGGAGGTTCTGCTTTGGTCGAGTAGCATAGGTAGGCAGATACCACTTCTAATGGGTGGATTCACAGATGGAGAGACTCTCAAGGTAGTTCCGGGTCATTGCATCAACTAGCTATTCATTCCTCAAAATGTATCAACAACTGCTGGCGGCCAAGCTTGAATCTAGGGACCAACCAAAGCTTTTATGCGTCTCTTTGTTTCACTGCCCATTAATTGATACAAAGCTCTAGCGACATCTGCCTACAAATCCTCTCTCCCGATGCAATAAAGTCCTTGGCTTCACCTTTTGTCTTATCCCAGGTGGCCCGCACAAAGTCCAGCTTGTAGTCACTGTAGTCAATGGCTACTGACTCCTCCGAGTCGTCATCTTGTAGCTCGGGCAGCTTGACTTCGAAGTCGGAAACGAAAATGTCTTTTTGTTTGTCAGTAGAGTTTCAGCACTGCACTGGAGGTGCCAATTCGAACGGAAAGAAACAAGTAATTCAAGAGAAACGGCACACGGGCATGAGCTTACATGGTGTGATGGCTTTCTTAGCATCATTGTACTTGAACACGACATGTGTAAACAGATACTTGTGCTCCCAATCCGGATTCGCGGCAATGAGCAGGTTCACTGCCTGCAGGATGAATGAAAACTGCGCTGGAACGACGCCGGATCTGATATAGTGATCCAGAAGCTCCTTGCGGATTACTCCATTCATATCCTGCTTCTTTGCTGTAATATCTCGCTGGCCCTTGTCAGCGCTGGATCTCGGCGCCCTGTTCAAGATATTGATTGTTAGATGTGCCAAGCTTCAGGCACGATGACCTTGGGGAGAGCGTACCATGCCTGGCCGTCATTCCTGTAGAAATTGACGACCTTTGCGCGATAAATCGTCCTTTTCACTCTCAAGGCCGCGGAATCATCTGCGGTGAGTTCGCCGGCTTCTAGCCGGTCCTCGACCTGGAGCTCTGCCTTGCCAGCTTCGAAGGCGAACCAAGACTGGATGTCGGCTTTGAGGGAGTTGAGCTTCTCTCTCTCCGAATCCGGTACAGGTGGGATATAAAAAAGGAACAGTAAGTTCGGGGTCCCGTAGTCGTTGGGAGTTTGTGATTTCTGGCCTATGGACTTCATGGCCGTTGCTGGCTCTTTTACCACAGCGAGATTAGCCATTATCCACAGCTTGAAGAATTGGAGGATGCAATCCAGGCGTGAGACAGTGAGAGGCCCTGTCTGTTTTAATAGTGGGAGCTGCCAGATGCATGGTGTAACTCATGACACCATTCCGGGCCTGGAGTCGCATTGCTCGCCATTCCACTTCCCAGGAGCTATTGAGCGGCCTAGCATGGTCATAGATGTTCAGAGTGTGAATGGGAAATCAAGGGTTAGTTACTCCTGGTGGATTGATGTGAATGAGCTAGCTTGCTTTCCCTGCTGATTCCAAATTTGTTTGCTTTTTCCCCCCATCCACAAGCAACACACTTCAACTCTTGATTGCTCCCCTCCAAACAGCCCTGCCCTGGGAGAAAGGGAGTGCAGCACAGCAAACACATACACAATCACTGACCTCTGCATGCATGCGGAGTGTGGGTGGCACGTCGTCATTATCCCCGCTGCGAAAACTACCCGGGAATCGCAGAGACCAAGCACCGCTGAGGCGAGGCATCACGCGTGGAATTGACGTAACTTAGGCCGAGTGGATCGGCTGAAGAGACCTTGAGACGGGAAGATGGAGGCTTCGATCTCGAGCAACAACCAAAGAGCATCTCCCGAGCGTTAACCCCTCTGGTCGTTGTTCAGGTTGCCACATTTTCCTACACTTGAATTCCGGTTGATCTTGAATGCTAATGCGGTTGAGTTTATAAGATTCCTCACACCCTGCATGATCGGTAGTCAATTCCTAAACGTCGTCTAATCCGCGGATTTGGTGGGCTAAGCTCTTATGCGAACCGCCTAGGATGTGAATTGGGCCATGGCTGAAATGCACAAAACAGGGAGGATTGAGATCTTCTTCCCTTTCTTCCACCCGCGTTGATGCGACACTGGGCCTTGGTCAAAGATCTGGGAGGGACAAAGCTGGCTTTGATTTGTGACTGAGACCGGGGACCCTAAGCTCCCGCTTCCCGTCTGAGGCCCGAGCACCGCCCTACAATGGACGTGCTGTCAACTCAACTCCGAGGGCTCTCCCATTCCTTCATAGAACCAGCCGGGATGGCACCGGGGCCGAAATCTCAAAACAGGGATGGAATGCAATTGTCCAAGCTCAGTCTTATGAGACATGCTTGATTTGGGATCCCCTCGCCCATCCTGCTTAACTGTATGTTGTGCATAGGTACGTGCTCTATACACCTACATGGATAGATCGAGGCTTCCTTCTTGATCATATTGCATAGTGCAGAACTAAATTCCACTTGCATCTCTTCAGGTGGTCATGGCCAAGTCTCTGATTGCCCGGACTGGCTCGCATTTTTACACGTTGAGCAAGTGATATCACCTTTGCACTGGAAACTGAATTGTCCGGGATGGACTGGGTCGAACCCCATCCCATATGAAAACTTGCATCGCATACCCTTGATTACGGCCAGCTGTCAGGTCACCATGTATGGGTGAGCATCTGCTCCACAATGCCAACTCCACAAGCTACAACACCAACAACCAGTGTGTATACTACATGACCGCAGCAACTGTTGAATTCCCTGATGGTGTTTGGCTACCCTCGGAAAGAGTCTCTTGCACTTCAGCGGCCCAGCCCTGACATATAAAAGAGGCAATGGAACCCAGAGGAATACTCCTTCGCAAAGATTCAATCAATTCTCACAATTGCGCTGTTCATACCAAGCCCACTCTCCTCTTGTTCAGCTTTCCTCAAAGAAAACGAATCTCAGAATGGCCTCCATCTCTGAAAACCAGGACTGGCTAGTCAGCGTCGCTGACGTTCGAGTCGACAAAGCCAGATGAAGCACGGACTGCTTCGCTCGACGCTAGTGACGACAAGGCTTCGCCGAAAGACATGGGAGAGGGGGATCCTCCCACCGTTATCTATGTGAACTTCACATCAAAAAAGATCCCTGAAAAATTCAACGCTCGGGTCAAGGAGCTTGACAGTATGATGAAGCTCACGCACCAATGGCTCGATACCCATGCAGGCCTCCAGGTGAAAGCGCGCAAGGCAGAAGGCGAAATCGCGTCCGATGATTCACCCGAAGCCAAATGGAAGCGTTCCGATTATCGTATCAAAGTTGTTGACACCTATCTAACCGAGAACTGTTCTTGGTAAGTGCAGGTACTCTAGTGGCTCCCACAACAGCTCTTGCTGATACTTCATAAGGGTATATACCCCTCGCTCTGAGAAATATACCAAGTCCATCAAGGCTCGTAAAGTCGACTTCCATTTCGAACTCGTCAAAAATGTTCTTGCGGGGCTTATTGTGCCCACATCTTTGACTCAGCAACTGGAGGCTATTTTCAAAGGAATCTCGGACACGGTTATGAAAACCCAACACACTGCTGAGAAACGGGCCGTCTGGAGCTTGATTCAAGTCTACACTTACGATGAGATGAGGGACGACGTCCGCTGCTGTGAGTTACCTTGGCTTCACTCATCACAAAAAACCTTGATAGCTAATTCAAAAAAACAGCCCTTCGGTGCATCTCATATTCTATTGACCAGGATATGAAAAAGATAATCGTGGGCAAAGCTAGTTATGAGTCAATCAGCCTGGATTTCAGCTACCTGAATGGCGACTACCACTTCAATGAGGACACTTGGAAAGAAGTGAAGTCCGAAGTTAATCAGTTCATCACTGGCCGCGCTGTCAAGCAGATACGTGATACTACAAAGGTCCCGGTTTAGCCTTAATGGCTAACATCGTAGGGCTTGAAGCTGTCCCACACTTGGTATCTTTCGTTTTTCCTTTGTTCATCGAGCTGCAGATATTAGGTAGCACGAGGAAATACAACCGTAGTTGCATCTTGAAATAATCACCATAAAGGGCTTCTTGCCTACATTCTTTTGAAATGGTCATAGAGTTTCATGTTGATCAATGCTAAGCAAGAGTAAGGGCTCCTGGCGCAATAGGCTTGGTTATATTATATGTTTGATTCCATCATCACGGTTGAAATTACGATTGTCCGACGTCCGCATGTCAGTTTTCCTTGGCGACATTTTTCCCCGGCTTTGGATGTGTTCTCTGGTAGGAAAAAAGGGCAAGACATTATGATGCTCAAAGCCTCAAACTCCTCTGCTAGGAGCTGACCCCCGTCAGTGAGTTCACTAGTCGCGTTGGCTCAGTGGTTTGGCTGTTGCTTGGCATAGTTAACTAGCTCCTCCGCATCTTCTAGGATGTAGAACCCAACACTGCCATAATGCAAGTTGTTTCTCCAAGCTCTGAACTATTTCCCTCAAACCATGGCTATCCCATCTAAGGCACTCCTGGTTTTGCTGCTTCTTTCGAAGTCGCACTTCGAGTATCGCATTATTTGCTCTGGGGAAATGGGATAAAAGGTATTGGTCACGAGCGTAGAACCATAGACAAGACGCCAAGACTATCAGGAGTTTGAGAAGACCATCTTTAACTATATTGATAAGCCTCGCAATCTATCTGATAAGTCTTCTCATCCTCCCAAAGAGAATCCGTTTCAACGGACTCAGTCGCCATTAAGTTTGCTCGAAAGGACTAACATTCACGTACTCTTGTGAACTAACATAGGCACCAGAATGCCCTTTGGTGGAAAAAAAAACAAAGAGGGGCTTAAGTACTGTATAACGCATGTCCTAACCCTTATGACAGGTTGCAAGTACGCGTCGGAATCCATGGGAAATATAGTATGAAGTTGAAAGCTTCGGAAAATGGTAGTGCCACAGTCCAATGGCTATTAAAAGGAGAGACGATTAGCAACCTATTCATTCACTGCAGTAAGCTTCAAAATCACCATGACCACACCGGCATACGCCATAGTTATGGGCAGGTACCCCGTGTGGCGGGATTGTCTTCTCAAAGAGGTAATGGCCTCGCATTCACCAAAGTCCAAAAACTTTGGAGTATAAGTACTATCGTTCTTAATACTCAAGCCAGGGGTTTCGGACGGTCAGTGGCGATATATCTCCTCTCAATACGCCTAGACCCGGTCCGGCGTTGTCCAAGTACTCTGCTATGCCTCGAGAGTAACATGGATCCGTTAGGTAATGACGCTGCTGACCGTGACAAAAGAAGGGTCCATGTCAGCCGTTGGGACCGCCATCGGATTAAAGCCGCACTCTTGGATGGAAGGACGAAAACAGATAGAGTCAGGCTTGACGCATAGCTGCTCGAAATCCGTCGGGAAACAGCTTTGCGGTTGGGCTATGCATGAAATCTCTAGGCGTGGAAGATAACTGAATTGGGGAAGGGAGTCTTTCAGTATCGGGGCTCCTCTGGGCGAGTCAACCCAATCTAATAATAGGAGGGGCTGTGTTTAGCACTGAGTTCCTGGAGCCTGCAGGGAGTACTCCAGGTGCACATCGTGTGCCTGTTGCTTGGAGGTTTTTCTCGTCGTCGTTGGATGTCAACGGCGGTCGTCGATCAACCCCTTTTATGCCAAGCCAATCACCTAAGCTGCCTAATGGCTTGGCGATTTTGTTGTCCTCCTTGGGCCTAGCGCCATGGCCTTTGGACCGCCGACATTAGAAACAACAACCTCAGCTTGCACGTAGCCAGTTTGCGAGACTCCTAGAAGAAACAGTATTTATTGCTCTCAGAATTCCCGTTTTCACAATGGCTTCCCTCGATGATCCAGCTTACCTCTCCCTCTTTCATCTGGTACTCCAGAACTCTATACCAAACCTAAGATGGCGGCGCCTGGGGAACCTAGTACGACTTGCAGATATCCTACTTATCAAGCTGTTTTACTGACTTGATGTCTTTTAGTCTTAGGAAGTCTTTATATTTATGCCCCTAACAAGGTGGCACCTGTTATCTTCACAGTCCTGTACGGGATTTCGGCCGGAGGCCACATCTGGCAATGTTAGTGAGTGGTCTAGTGTCCCCCATTCAACAATGAAACTTGACTCCCTAACTTTATGTTTAGTCACTATAAGGCCTGGAGGATGATTGGGCTGCATCCTCTCTGCGCGGTGGTGTTTACTGCTGGCTACGCATTGAGGGAATATGGGGCTTTCAACTATCTATATGATCATAGCACTCTAAACCTGATCACTTTCATCGTTAGCCAGGTTCTGATATACGTGTGCCCGTAAGTGACATGTCCGATTAGGAGACAGCACTCCGAGCTGTGAACTGACCCTCTCTCCTGATACAAGTCCTCTTCTCGAACTCTCCAACTACCATGTCCTCGGTCGGATACTGTACTATGTCCCATACTTTGCACCCTTCCCTGCAAATAGGGTGCTCTCCACATTCGGCGGCCTGATGGCAATTGTTGAAATCTTGAATTCGCTAGGCGTTTCTTTAAAGGCCAACCCGTCCTCGTCGTCAAACCAGCAACATTTGGGAGGCAACTTGACAATAGCCGCTATTTCTATCCAAATCGGTATTATCGTCATTTTTCTAATTCTGGCAGGACTGTTTCATCTGCGGTGCGTCAGAGCCAATATACGCCCCAAGCCCATCATAACCCCCCTATTTGTGCTGTATGCGAGCATGATGTTGATACTCGTACGTTGCGTCTACCGCCTGGTAGAACACTTGGGTAACACCACCGTGGATCTCGATAGCATCGAGAAACTCAGGGCTCTGAGTCCCATCTTGCGATACGAGTATTACTTCTACATCTTTGAGTCAACTCTCATGTTCCTCAACTCCGCTTTGTGGAATATCTGGCATCCAGGTCGTTACCTGCCTCAAAACTACCATATCCATCTGGCCGAGGATGGTAGAACGGAGATAAACGACGAGTTCAAGGATGATCGACCATTGCTAGCAAAAGCTGGTCACGTCCTAACGTTCGGTGTGTTTTTCGGAAAGAACATGAAACATCATCGGGTTCCTCACCAGCTCAATAATTACCCGCCGAATTCGCCTTAGGGGGCTGCATTTTCAACATGATAAATAGGGGTTTTGTTGCCAAAAGCACGATAGAGACACGGAGGGCATACGTTGAACTCGACTCTTCAATGCGATTAGACGGGTTCTCGTATATGTACTATAGTCGCGGGCGGTTTGAGACTTTGGTGCCGGATGATAATTTTACAATTATGGTTAGTTGGATATACGAACACATAGACTTTGGTTGATTTTCCTACTTAAAAACTGGTAGTCAAGACCTTGTCCACAAATCCATAGGACTTGCTAACATGAACGAACTAACTTGCCATACTATCGACTCATCAGGCGCACTTCCCCATACAAGATGCATATTTCCCAACACGCCAACGTTACGTTTCAGTCAAAAGCCCATTCTCATCGAACCTAGGGCCTTCATACAAACATTCTCGGGTTCCTTGGACTGAGAATCCCATCCACCATCGAGGTCACTGCTAGTTAAGTTTGAATTGTCCTTCCGGTATTTCCGTTTCAAAGTGGCGAGGCAATCCTCTACTCGGTCATCTCTCTTCAAAAACCCAATTCCGACACCAAGGCTAGAAAGCATTTGGACCTCCCTGATTGCGCTTTCGGCGGCGGATAATATTCCCGTATTCTCTGTTGAATCTCTGGCAATATTTGTCAAGTGACCGTTCCGGGCGCCACCTCTGCGCTACTTTGGGCATCATAGTTGGTATGACAACAGGTATTCTAACAGAAAAAAAGCAGTCTCGCGCTGGCAGCGTGAATAGAAGCGGCGGTGCGCTGTCCATGCCGCACCTGTGAAAAGTTAAAATGTCTGGCGATAGTTTCCATGCTGTCTTCTTGTGGTCGATAAAAGGGCGTTTGGGGTGGGTAGAGACATTGAGATGCTGCTCCCAGCGTGGAGGTGAGAAATATTGGACGAATAATTTTCAGTCCCATTTTCTAACAAAGCATCAGCTCTACCACCCGCCAGGCCACAACCTTCGCCTCCCCGAGCGAGCTCAGATCCGCCTGGCCAGTTGGGTGGGAACATGTCGGAGCTGCTTCCTTGATGTTGAGACCAACCTGGATTTTGAACGAAGTTTCTATCAAACGCCTGCGACTCGAGCAAGTGCTCCGAATTGTTGTGGAATGACGGGGGTGGACTAATCAATGGCTGCGGGTCAAAACGTCTCTCGCTGGTCGCTGATATTGTGGCCCTATAATCGGACTCTTTCTGACGTTGTTTTAACGGCATTAGAATGGATTTGAAAATTAAGCCTTTGTTCAAAGCGGGGTTTAACGACATACTCCAGCGCTGCTGGGATTCCCACGATGGCGTCGTTTGCGTGAGTCTCTGACGAGCATCCTGAAATCTGGAGACAACAGAAGACTGGAGCTGGGAGCTGTTCTGAATGTGGAGCTCCACGTGGAGTATGTGACAGGAATATTGTGTGTGTATGGGAGCACTGACTGCCTTGGAAAAAGCTCTCAATCTCTCCGCCCCTGAACTTTCTGGTTTGATGGCTAGCAAGGTATAAATGTGTGTTTAACCCACATATGTCTGTGTTTGTCATGGAGAGGAGTCGCATTCAGGTTTCAGAACATTGGGCTTTATTGACAGCCTGTTTCCTTTGAGAGGTAGGAGGAAAGCTTTTATGTGTAAGCTCGTTTATATCCGTAGCCAAGAAGAAATCTTTCTTGTGAATCTGTCAGTATTTTGTGGTCCGCTGAGACTACTTCAGTTCTGGAGACTGATTTGTCTTTGAATTGTTGTTCAAGAGTGCATTCATATGAATTAAAGTTAAAGGCAGTAGCCCATATTTGGCTTATTTTGAGATTTCAATTCATTAATTGCAAGCTCAATCGCAATTCCATTGAGCCTGGCCGTGCAGTTGAAGGTTGAAGGTCAGCCGTCGTTGAGTGGTAGATTACGTAACCACGCACAGGACGTACTCATACAGACTGTCTTCAACCGCCACTTTTCCTGTGCAAGGCTGCAAGCTAACGCGAGGTCAATGCCTCCTGTTGAAATAAACATCAGTGGTCATTGTGGAGTCTCTGTTCTGGCATTGGAGATGGCCGCCGCATGGCAAACAAGGATTAGGATATCATGGGATCCAGGCGAGATTCGAGATGTCGTGGACGAGTCCGAAGCGAATATCCTGCAGAGGGCGAAAACGATTTACCAACACAAGGCTCACCTCACTCATGGACATGGCACTATTTGTTGATGGAATTGATGAGCTGCAGAAGGCTCGCTAATCAACGAACAAATAGTTTGCGAGCGAGATCAGCTTCGGCCCCCCTGTTGGCACCCGTAACAAGCTAATCTCAAGGTGATACCAGTGATCAGCCTCGGGAAATTTTCGGTGTCTTCCGTTCCCTGCTCCGTCCTGCATGGGTGCCAAATCCCCGACCGGCGACAGTTGCCAGGAATCACAGGAACAAAGCATGATCGCGCACTCGTTTTCGGGGATTCTGCTCTGCCCTTGTTCACCCCCGGAAAATAGGACTAGTTATTCAGTATATATTCACATCTCAGATAACCATGCGGCCCCAGCAAAAGTCATGCCATTCACGGTCCTCGCTTTTTTGCCATAGTCGCCTATGTTGTATCCATCATGCCAGCCTTTTATCTTTAAGGGCTCACGGGCATTCCATCCGGGTCTACTGAAACTAGTCGCGTCCCTAAAACAGGGCACGCGTGGATATGAGAATGCTAGATGCACGGGCTGTACGTTGAATTTTCCTATGGTCATTGCACTTGTAAGCTCGCAGAACGGGCTGAGGCTGGCGATAGGAAAACTGTCGGAAGGAGAATTCCCCAGAGGTTCCTTGTCATAAGCCTGCGGCGTGCGGCACACGTAACTTCCTGAAAGCAAGAGGGGATTCCCATTTATGGGTTTTGCCCAAACACCGACTTCATGAGGAGGATCACAAGTCGCACATTGGGCTTCCTCCTGCCGCCAGGAGCAACAATCACGATGCAATTTATCATCTGTTTCAGCCCAAGAGTGTTAAATGCCGATTGACAGCAGTGCTCAACGAGAGTGCCATGTATAAGAACCGGTTGCGTCACTGATTGCAAAGTCTTGCCTTCCAGAAGCTGTAATATCTCACTTGAAACTTAGCCAGAAGTTCATTGCTTTGCAGCCCTTACAGTTCCGGCACAGCTGCAACGTAGTCGCCTCGGTCCGGTTAAACGGGAATAACCGTAGAACGTCAGTCCGTTTCTACGACAAAGGTCGGCCACAACGCGCCGATTCCATGAGTTCAAGTCAGCGCGATGAATCCATGATTCCTTGATGAGCGCGGTTAGATATACGACTGTCTAAACAGCGAAAAACAAACACCGATAAGAACGTACGGAGATAGAGGACGTCGATTAATCTCGACTATCCTAGGTTAGATTTCTTCAAGAATCGGGTTATGTTCCTGCTGGGCTAGTATGATTCTGACAGCTTCTTCCGGACTCCGGAGCACGCTTCAGCTCAGGAACGGGGGCTGCTGCATGGTCGTGTAATGCATGCACAAGCAAGTCGGAGGCTTGCATTGGTGATAAACTGTTTGGTTCGAAAGCCTGCTCTGGGAGGCGCCGTCTCAAGAGCCGTTCTGCTCCACTTTGGGAGGCAAGCAAAAATGAATGGCATTCCAAAGCTGAGCAGAAGAGCAGATCGGAAGAACCTGATCAGGGCTGTTTAGATCAATGGCTTGGAGGATCCTTTTGATAGCCGCCATCAGGGTCGGCTGAGTCAGCACGGGGAGTTTAGAGAGGTTGCGTCCCTTCAGGCTATCTGTACCCCTCTAAGGACCATCACACTACTCGTCCCTTGCCTCACCTGACTTCTTCTTTCTTCTGCCACTCCTCTTCCTCGTTCTCTTCTTCAACCACCTTCTCCTCCATCCCCATCGCCAACTAACCTCTTCCTCCTCTCTGGACCCGATCTATCTTTTTCGCAATCGTCTGGTGTCTGGGCGTCGGCTAATTGGTCTTAGGGCCAACTCAAAATGCAGATATCTGCGCCTGATTCCATGATTGGCTTCGCTCCATTCTCCCTATTCGTCAACGGTGCGTCCCACGATCCCTGTCTTAAAAAAGCAAATTTCCCCTCCTGGAGTCCTGGCTCAGTCGAGAGTCGATGATGACCTGCAAGGGTACGGACTGGCCAGACAGGCTGCGTGCTGTCACACAGGTTCCTTGTACCCTGGTCCCCAACTAGTGGAAGAGTGCAGCCGCACCGTGCGCCAGTGACAGACTGACGGTGAGATCTGGTCTCCACAGCCTTTCTGAGTTGGAGCTAAGAACAAGCTCACTCTCAAGCAGAACCACAGGTTGGCATCTGACCTCGACCCAAGCGTCGCCTCCCGCCGAGCTTGGCTGGACCGAGCCAAACGACTCACTCCAAGCCGTTTTCAGCTAGCTTCGCATTTTGTTATTTGGGACAGTTTTGAATTTGACACTAACGAGGGGGTTGAACTCATTGGGGACCAAAGGGAACGAGACTCTTGAAAGCAATCGAGCCTCCTCAAGGTTCATCGCCAGGGCCCTTTTGTTTTGGCGAAAGATCTGGGCGAGGTTCGTCGTGCTAACGGTCTCCTCCTCGGGACTTTTGGAGGAGAAACTCTGAGAGGGAAGTACTCCGTACGAAGAAGTCTTCTGCAAAAGGCTGCTGATGGACCTTTTTCTGCTTTGCTTTTTCCTCCTGCTTTGCTCCTGCTCCGTTTCTTCCCCGGCCCTTTAATTGGAGAGGGCTTTTCCAGCAGTAGATCAATTTCAATTTAAAATGTTAATTATCATTTGGAAAATGTCCGTCCACCAGGGTTCGCGAGTCTGACAAAGAGGAGAACTGAGATCGACACAATCACTTTGCCCTTTTTTTTTTTTCCCTGCTCCAATTCCCTCTTATTTCTTTTTCACTCCTGGGAACGAATTATTGGATCTTTTTGGCCGGCTGGCGACTGTTCAAATAATACGAAAGATACTCCGTACAGCTTCTCAACCCTTGCCACTTGTTTAAGTACTCGGGACTGCTCCTATTTTGGGATCGTTGACAGTCAATCGTTAAGTTTTGCTGTCAATGTCAGTTGATTTTTTCCCACCTGGACCCCGGCCCTAAATATTTCACCTACCTTCTCCCTGGTAGAAATACACCATTGCTCCCCGCTTGGGCTCATTCTTGTATATTTCGGCCTCTGCCCTTTGCGATCGAGGAGGTAAGGCGTGGCGATTGTTCGAATTGACCCTCTGCCCTTGTTCGCTTCTCTCTTTGTCCTTCGCGACAATAATACGGAGTGCGGGTAACTTTATCCCTACCGTTGCCACTCCCCGCACCCAGGTCGGTACCACCGTCCTTGCTAGCAGACAGGTCGGAAACGGTTGCAAGAAGGTCATCTTCAATCCTATTAATATTCTCGATTCGCGGCGGCGAACAGAAGCGATCCCCCCTCCCCTTCAAGGAACAAATTTCACCTACTCATTCGCGGTGCGCGCGCCAGGTTCGTTCGGCAAGGGATCTGTCCAGCATCGTCAACTAAAAAGCCTCTCCCGACCCCAGGGACAGTCTTGAGCTACCAGTGATCGTCGTTCTCCACCTGCGCATCTCGCAAACACCCATCAATTGCAGCAGACAACCTCTCGATTCTCATGTCGATCCTGCCAATGGCATCGTTGATCTGAGCATTGGGTTTTCTGCCCATCTGCGATCCGTCCTGACTTCAGTATTCGCCACCAGTCCCACGAAATCCCCCGACTTAATTGACCTGTTCCAAAAAGGACAGCTGCTCGAAATCTAACTTCATTTCGAATCTTGTGAAGAAAATACGTTGAACCAGAACCCAGGAGTTGCTGCATTTGAGGGCTTTTTTTGAGAAGATCGTTTGCGGTGTAAAGGTGCGGAAATTTACTTTGGTCCTGTCTTCCCCATTCCCCTTGAGCCAGAATCTTGACCTTTTTGGTCCCGCCAATCTGTTGTTCCTGTGAACTTACTCCGGCATAATAATATCCCCAAGCAGTTGCCAGAACATGATCCTTGGCTTGTCACTGCATATTTAATGTCACACGGGTGCCACAACTGAACGCCTCTCCCACACCCCCCTGGTCTTTTCCCATACTATGCGTGAGCCTTTTTGCTGACTTTTGCCTTCTCCCTGGGTTACAGGCCAGCGCATATATACTCTCTGAGAAAATAAGTGAAGTTGTTTACAAGTACAATCGCCTGGATTCACCGTCTGGTTTCTTGTTCGCAGCGCTGTGACATTTCGACGCGGAGATATTTCATCGTTCTCGCACGATTCTTTGAACATTTCCAGTTCAATACTACAATTCCCGAGCTCCAGGAACAACACCGTTCCAGTTTATATTCAACATTAGAGTCCGGTGCTCCTCTGACGCAGCCCGCGTAATTTCTCTCATTGGGACCTTTACGGCGTTAGGGTGAATTTTGAGACCCTCCGCCAACGTGGCTGCCCTCACAATCTCCCCGCCCGGAATGGGGGCGGCCTTTGACGCTTTGAATATGCAGCAGTCGTTCGGACAGCGACGATTAACTTCCGCAACTCTTCCCAGCTTTGAGCTTCCCAATCCGCAGGCACCGCCACTGTCTCAACAGAAGCACCAGCTGCATTCCACTATTACTGCAGCCCAATCTTCTATAAGTGGCGTAAAGGTCGGGAATCTCTTAACCCCACCTGCGAACTCGGCATCGGACAGCCCGAGTACAATTGCACAAGGTGTGGCTGGCTCTGGGCAAGTTCAGCCTTATTCACAAGGATACTGGCCAACAACTTCCTATGGTTTCACTACTGGTACATAACATCTTCATCGGAATGTTTTTGTTTCTATGGACCCGCTGACTGTTGGTAGGCCGAAACAATTCACATTCTTCGACGATGTCTGACAGTCTAGCGCCATCATATGGCCACAACGCTGTATATCCCTCTCCGCTTTCTCCTTCGCCGGCTCTCTCTGCAACTTCATCCCACCAACAGCAACAACATCATGAGCAGCAACAGTCACAATCTCAGCAAAGCCAACAACAGCAGCAGCACCAACCCCCGTCACATCAATCATCGGTCCCTCAAGGCTTTTCACACCCAACCAGTGGACCAGGCCAACAGCAACCGGCCCCTCAAACAAACCCTCTTGATCCTTATGCACACAAATATACGTATGGAGGTCCACAGCAGCCTCCCACGTCGCCAACAAATTATAACCCTTACCAAGCCGGCCCATCTTCATTACACCCATCAACAACTGGTGCGCCGGCCGCGAGGGTACCAGGAATGCCAGTTCTCTATCCCGTCGATACCCAGCAGCCTCTCCCGCAATTCTCGCGTCCTTATCCGTCCTACTCTCTTCCTGCTATGAATGGCCCCATCATGAGCAATATACATAGCCCAAACAATCAGATGGCGCTTATAGGATCCATGCAGTCCAATCTTCTTCCTGGCTTCAACAGCGGTCATGCGGCTAGCCTACACCACATTTATAGTGGACATCCACATCCGCACCATTTACATGGTCTAGTACCTCCCCCACAAAACGACCGACCGTTCAGATGCGACTTATGTCCCCAGAGCTTCAATAGAAACCATGATTTGAAGAGGCATAAGAGGATTCACTTGGCCGTAAAGCCGTTTCCTTGCCATCATTGTGACAAGAGCTTTTCTAGAAAAGACGCTTTGAAGGTATATTATACATTTCTTGAACTTCGGATCTCAAATACTGATCCTCAATATAGAGACATATTCTTGTGAAAGGGTGTGGTAAGGATCCTGCATCTGATAGCAATAATACAACTACAACTGCAGTGGGTGCGACCTTGAAAGACGAGGGAATTGGCGGTACAGTGTCTCCGTCACTGGGCACGAAATCCCGACATGATAAGTAAGGCAGCGCCAACTAATGCGAATAATGAACGAACCTGGGTTTCTTTTCTTTTCTTTTTGGAGTTGTTCTCAGCCTGCCCGTATCAACATATTTGATTCCCCTGTGGTGTATGTTTCTGCGACAATTAGCGACTTTTATCGCCTTTCTAACTGGAGCGATCGTTTCCATGGCTGCTCTAGCCACTATCTGCCGTCTTTTCTGGGTGGATTCGTTATTATGCCCGATGTACACATTCGCGTTTCGTCCCTGTCTCAAGGCAATTGTTGCGCTGGGAATGCATGCTTTTGTTTGTAATTTGCAATTTGCGGCGCATTGGCGACGTGTATGCGTGCGAGCTTGGGCTCAGGCTGTCGGACTTTTGTTAGGTTGGCCTTTTCATATCTGCACTAGTTTGAGTTTTAATTTTTCCCTTTCTGGGTACCTTGCCCCCAGACTTTCTTTCCTATAACTATTATATTATATCCCCTTCCAACACAATAGCTAAAAACCGTGGGTACTCAGCTCGCCTTGCACATTGTCGCTTCATAGGTTTCAACATCCGATTCTGCTTGCTGGGAGACGGGCTTTCTTAATGTATGAACTCGGCACGTCCTTAGATAAGGACATATGGTTCCACATTATACCTTGTTTGACATGTCACTAGCATTATCAAAGGCTTTTAATAGCACGGGCCTGTTTCCCAATGTATGAACTTGCATCAACTACGAGAACCCAAATACGGCACCCCTGAACATAAGACTGAAGGGCCATTCAACCTGACATGTGGCATCCGTAATTCTACGAGCCATAATTTCGTTATTTTTTTTTTCGTATCCCTAAAGCGCAGTCCGACCCGAGCAGGCCCTTTCCTCTTACCCTCATAACACCATCTGCTCTATGATGGCCATGCCTTCACTCGCACATTCTCCATAGACGCACCCCTCCACTCCTCCAAACAATCTCGTATATGCCCTGCCATCACCTGCAATTCTTTTCCCTCCAACCACACGAATATCCACAGCCGGCGTCTCCGCGACAATCCTCATCACGCCGGGCACCGGATCCCCTGGCTTAGGCGGAAACCGCAAAGGTGTACCGTCTTTGCTATATGGTCGTGCGGCCACCGCATCGTCGGCGCAGGAAGAGTATAAATGGCGACGGGAGTCTTTGTCGAAGATGTGGATGCGCTTGTACTCGGCGTGGTTGGACGCGGAGGGAGGGATGATGTCGAACCAGATGAGGACGTATTTGCCGATGGCGGCTTGGCCCCAGTACCATGAGCGGACGGATTGGGAGAAGGGAACGCTGGCCCAGTTCTTTTTTTTAGGAGAAAAGAGACTCAGGTTAAGATCTATGCAAGCTCTGGAATGACACTCAAGGGATGGTTCCTAATACCTTGTCGTGGTATGCTAGACCAGTGAAGCGGAGATCTGAACCGTCGATGTTCATGTTCACGTCTCCTGCACCGAAGGGAACCGCATTTGCCCATCCGATATTTGGCATGAGTTCCATCGACTTTGTGGCCTTTGGTGAGCCGCAGGGTAATACAGGACTCGTGCCCTTCACAATTGTCAGCTTTATCGATGCCGAAAAAAGACTTTAGCCCGTTTTCGTACAAGACTGATGTTAAAGGTTCCCTTGATTCCCAATTCCTTATTGTCAACACTGATATCGTACTTGGACATATCCCGAGATCCAGACCAATGCATTCCAGTCGGCTCATACCTACCGCTCGAGCCGTCTCCTAGCGTGGATATCCTCGCTACTTCAGCGTGCGTCTGCCTCCTGATGGTGGTGCCGTTGTCGAACGACGCCCATATCCAAACAGGAAGGACATTATCCTTGTCAATCAGGAAGGGAAAGGCATTGGCGCTGCTGGTAAAGAAAACAATCACAAAAGATGAGAACGGCCGTGCCATGGCCTGGAAGTACCACCAGTCGTAGACTGAGGCGTTGACGGAGTCCAGTTTGGGCCCATCGAACCCGGAAGAGCCCAAGAGAAGCTGGACCTTGCTAGCTCCATGGGCGATGGAGGAATTGAATATCGTTTCGTGGCGATCTCGCCCAAACAGTGTTCTTGCTGGCGTGAGGCCTGTAAGCGTGAGCAAGAGGAAAATTTGCAGACCCGACAGCAGACGAGGCATGGTTCGAGCGTACCGTTACCAGATAGAATATGCACAGCAAAAGGTCTCAGGCAAGGAGAGCTGCGTGGGTTTTATATCTCGGCCATCCCTCGTTGGCTCAACGCTGGTTTGATTTTTAGAACATGGTCGACAGCAAACATGACTAGTTATCGCATCCGAACTTGCGACAGTGTCAACACAGCCAATCGGGACATCAGTTAACTATAGCAGCGAAAAGGAGAACAAAGAAATCCTCTTGGTGAAGAGCGTGTGAAACAGTGGAAGCCTAGGGTCAACTCGCGGTGTACCAGGCTATAAAATCCAATCAACTGGTTAACGAAAGCGGCGATGCCGGAGACATTCCGCAAGACCCTGTCAAGCAGGCGTCCATAGCATTTCTGCGCGTTCCCAGCAACACGTCGTTGATTGATCAGGGTCTTGTCCTCCCCTGGCCCTGGTAAGCAGGGGATCAACCGTCGCCATCGCGAATCGGGTAGCAAGCCCTACAAGCCGAAAATGAAAAGATCTGCAGCCACCACGCCTGAGCGTCGTACAAGTCAAACGAACCGCAGATTGAATCACCAGGAGGCAATTGCGAACCAGGCTGGAGCCCCTGGTGAAGATGACAGTCTCGTTTTGAGGAGACGTCAATGTTATTGTTGACCGAGGGGGCGAAAAAACGGACAGGGAATTTCAATATAACGAATCTCCGTTTCACAACAAGCCGTCCATAGGATTGTTTGCCTTTAGTTAGGGCAGTGGTAGACGTGATTGACAGGCCTTGAAGGTTGTCATCGTCGTACCTGGTGCCAGAGATGTGTAGTGGATGTATTAACCGTCTATCTGAAAGTCCAGAAGCAAAAGTCCAAACGACCAAACGCCTGAGGAAGGATATAGGATCTATAGTTGACTAAGGACGAATGCAACCCAATATCAAGGCGTGAGTCCTTTGCCATCCATTCAACCCTTCGTCAAACATCTTGGCCACAACTGGTTACCTTCTTCTTTGTTTCTTTCTCTCTTCTGGTTTGGCGACGTGTCCCCATTGGGTTCAGTTGGCTATAGACTACTTGTCTATGCTTGAGGTACTATGATCTCCGGGGAGGTGAAGCTGTCTTGAAGGGAAGAAGTTAGGGATGCGGCGGATCAACTAATTATCGATGGTTGCTTGAATCGGATGGTTTTGACAGAGACTCCAGAGCGAGATGCATTCGAATGTCTGCTACGTCTCGTTTGCATCTCGACAGCTATTCGCTTTTCCTCTTCTTTTCCATGCCTCGCAAGTGTTACGCTAATCTCACTGGGCTTTCATTTGCTTTCATTCTAGCTTCTAGTTCGGCAAATGCAGTGATATGCATCCAAACGAAGCTATGGAGATACTGAACGTGCGAGCATATCTTCCAAGTCGGTCCTTGCTAACTCCTAGTGATATATAGCGCCGCCGAAATAAGACAGGCAACTGGGCCGACGACGTGTCCACTTCAATATACATCGGTCCGAGCGAAGAATAGAAACAGCACATGGGGAATCACAGAAACGGGCAAAGGGTTGTTTGAACCCTAGACAACATGGCTTGACGGCTTCTCTCCGTCTTTAAAGTCGTTGAAAATCATCTCGTCACCAGCTGCCATACCCAGTCTTGCAGCCTCCTCCGGAGTGAATGTCCCGAACTGGTCAACATCATCGACTTCGCCAAGTCCAGGTGGGGGAAACACCTTGTTGAGTACAATATAAACGACAAAACTGATAGCAAATCCCAGCGGATACGCTAGATAATACATCTGGACACATCCTTCAGGTACAGAAATGGAGGGATTGACGGCATTAACAAAACCCGGGAGTAGTGGTGCAAACCCAAAAACCCACGCAGTAAATGCACGAGGATTCATCCCGTACCAAAAGTAATAAATGCCATCGCGACGGGGGTGGTACAGATCAGACAATTTGATTTTGCGGGACCGAACTATCCAGTACTCGCTAATCATCATGCCGCACATGGGACCAAGGAAAACAGAGTATGCGGACAAGACGCTGATAAACGTCCCCGCAGAATAGAGAAGCTCCCATGGACACAGGGCGATGGAGATGATGAGCCCGATATACGCTCCACGGCGGATATTAATAAATTTCGGAAACAAACCACTGAGATCCATGCCGGCAGAGAAAGCGTTATCGATTGTGTTGATCGCGAGCTGACACACAACCAGCCCGGTCCCCGCGAAAAACGCACCGGCTCGTGATTTCGCGTTGTAATCGGCTTCCAGCCACTTGAGCGCGAGGTCTGGCGGATTCCACAGAGCAACGCCGTAGATCTGTTGGGTTGCGGAAGAAACAAGGCAGCCGAGTGTGGGCATAATCGAGCCGAGGACGATGATTGAAAAGTACTGTCCGAAAACTTGGTCACCGGGTTTTGTTGCGAAACGAGAATAGTCGGGCTGGTTTGTCAATCCGACAGCGATTCCGCCAACCACAGTGGTGATGCCCTTGACAATCGACCATCCCAGGTCGCTAGAGGACGAGGCGGTTGCAGGTTGTGTGAGGAGCGGGCCGCCGCCTCTTGCGGTGGCCAGTGCCCAAATGGTCATTCCAATGAGCGTCACGAAGGAAATCGAGTTCATCACGTAGAAAAGCCGTTTTGTTTTCTCAGGGGGAAGGTACAAGATCGGAATGGTCAACACATTGTAGACTACCCAGCCGGTAAACTGTTTCGTGGTCATATGCGCCGACTCAGGAAAGGAGTTTTCGAGGTTGTGGAAGCCGGAGAAGATCGACGCAAGGATGGCGGTCACACACAAGCCTCCAGTCCAGGATTGCACCGCAAACCAGACGACCGAGAGCAGGATGCGCTGCAAGAGCGCCACATATGAGCCATATATGCCCCAGACAACGCGTGAGAATACTGGGAAGCCAATATGCCATTCGGCTCCCACGAAACCGTTGAAGACAGCGACAAGAGCAATGATCAGTTTTCCGACGACCACGGCAATGACGGTCTGCCAAACGCTGAGGCCAAATGCAACAAGGGAGGATCCGGACTGCCAGTTACTCAGGGCAATCTGGTTAATGGCCCAAAAGGACAGGAAAGCGTAGACATTCCAGGTCCTTCGCTTAGGAGGCAGGGGGCGAATGTCATCGTTGATCCACACTGTCGACGATGTTTCCTTCGAGGAAGGGACGTAGAGGGATTGAACCACTCTGCGAAAAGACATGATGAAAATGATGGGATATTGCAGGACAGAGCTGCAGGCATGGAGGATGGGTTTCGGGAAAGTCGATGTCGAAACGAGTGGAGAGGGGATGCATTTATTATCTGCCGCTTGAGAGAGCAAGCGGCCGGTGGGGAAGCTTCCCCATGGAGGCGAGGGACGGAAAAGTCTTCCCCTGTGTCTGCGAAAGTGCGATATCGAGGCAGAGAGGGAAGAAAATGCTTATCTCGTGGAAACGAACAGGCTCAGCAGCTTCGGGAAACGAAAGCCCGAAGATATGAAGGCGATGGCCACGAGCGACGCTTCCCGGTGGGGTTGGCGGTTTGCCATGCTTGCATTTGTGGGGTAGCTCCTGATGTATCTCCAAAGTACGGAGTACTCTCTCTGGAGTTCGGAGGCAACGAATAAAGATTGGAGAGCTGCAAGCTACTAGTAGCGAGCTACCAAAGTCAGACCCGAGGCTAGACAGAGGTTCATTCCCAGGAAACTGGAGTGTGGAAACTGGGGATATTCCAAGGGTTCGGGACCGGTCGGTTGTCTGGGTCTTATTAGCCCTTAGAGTTTAGTTATCCAAGAAGAGAGCACCGATTGCGGAGGTCCATCGAGGTACTCGCAGCTATCTGATCCACTCCACATGGTTGCGGGGAGCTGGAGAGCTCGAGAAGTATGGCTGGTGAGAGCCCGTTCAGTTTAGCCAGTGGAAACAAGGCCAGTTTTCACTCAATTGGAGGGGACAAAATGGGAGTAAAGATCGATTCCAACTGCCGTCGTCCTCTGAATGTCCTCTGAGTCCAGCAGAAGAAGAGTCGAAAAGAGAAAAAAAGAGCAAAAGGCGGCTGATGAGTCAGCCGAGTCCGAATCCGAGGTCGGCAAAACACAGCGTTGATTGGTGGAATTAGGCGGCCGATGCGCGTGGTGACATAATCCCGAATAGCCAATCGGAATGCGGTTTCGCCGAGCGGTTCCGGGGGTTCGATGCCGGCGGGCCCGAAGCAAGCAAGCAAAAGGGATGCCGAAAAGCGCGATGAGGCTGCGTCTCCTGCCGGGGGCCATCTGCGGTCTGAATCGCCAGCCTGGCAAGGTTGAGGGGTGCGGAGCAGAGCCCTGGCAACTCCGAACGCAGCAGCAGGGCCATTGGCTGGAAATATGCGCATCGTGGAAATGGGTGCTCGGTGGTGGGGGTGTTCCGGAGGATAAGGCCATTGGCGGCGGCAAACAGATATATATCCATGCTTTCAAGCGACGTGATATTCTGCCCATTGAGCTGTTGGGCCGCCTCATTCGACATCTGCGTTAGCACTGGCCGACGCCCTTTCCCACGTCCCCCCCTCCTTCGTGGCCGGTAGCTATATAGGGGTTCCTTGTGCGATCCCACCTGCTTTCATCTGAAGATATCCCAAGCTTCACTTCTTATAGACCCATTCCTCAAGTCGTTTTTTCGTGCATCATGGCTATTGCTACCCCTTATCGCATCGGCGTGGATGTGGGCGGTACAAACACCGACTCAGTCATCCTCGACACACGCGCTACCAACACCGCGACTCGCGGCGTTGTCGCCTGGCACAAGACCCCCACCACCAGCCCCAACGTCACGGACGGCATTGAGGCCGCGGTTCGCAGCGTCCTGGAAGAGTCCAAGGCGCCTCGAGACCAGATAGCATGCTTGACCATTGGCACCACGCATTTCATCAATGCTATTGTCGAACATGACGCCCGCCGCCTCTCAAGAGTGGCTATCATCCGTCTCTCCCGGAGCTTTACGAGAGAGGTCCCACCGTTCTCAGACTTTCCAACCGTGTTAAAGTCTATTATGAATGGTTACTACTGCTACGTTGACGGTGGCCTGCATATCGATGGATCCCAAGAGGCCCCCATCAACGAAGACCAGGTTGTGAAAGAATGCAAGATCATCAAAGAAAAGGGACTCGACGCGGTCGTGATATCCGGTGTATTCTCCCCGATCGATGACCACTTCCACCAGGAGGACGAAGTGCGTCGGATCGTGCGGCGAGAGCTCCCCGACGTGGACATCGTCTGCTCGTCCGAAGTCTCTCAGATTGGATATCTCGAGAGAGAAAACGCATCGATTCTGAACGCATCGATCTTGAAATTTGCCAGGCGAACCATTCGAGGTTTCAAAGATGCCATGAAGCGCTTGGATCTGAACTGCGCGCTGTATCTTACCCAAAACGACGGCACTTTGATCGACGCGCCGTCTGCTGCACGTCTGCCAATCCGTACTTTCTCATCTGGCCCTACCAATTCCATGCGAGGTGCAGCATACCTTGGATTAAACAATTCAAACGACGATGCAGCGGAGAAAACGGCAACTATTGTCGTGGATATCGGTGGAACAACCAGTGATGTCGGTGTTCTTCTCCCGTCCGGATTCCCCCGCCAGGCTTCGGCATACGTGACTGTGGCCGGTGTCCAGATCAATTTCGGCATGCCACACCTTGAATCTATCGGGCTGGGTGGTGGATCGATTGTCCGCCAGGAGGGCGACAAGGTGACTGTCGGCCCTGATTCCGTCGGCCACTATCTAAGCACCAAGGCAAAGGTCTTTGGCGGAGACGTCCTCACCGCAACCGATATCGCGGTGGCAGCGGGCGAGAAAATAGGAAACCCAGAGCTCGTCAAGGACATCGACCAGGCCACCGTTACCAAAGCCCAGGCCCGAATGAAGACCCTGTTGGAAAACGTTGTCGACCTGATGAAGACCTCCCCTGCTCCTCTCCCTGTCCTACTGGTGGGTGGTGGCTCCGTCATCGCGCCCATGGAGCTACAGGGCGTATCCAAGGTCATCTGCCCGCCGTACCATTCCGTCGCAAACGCCGTGGGAGCAGCAATGTCCAAAGTCGGGGGCACTGTGGACATGATTCAAAGCACCGAATCGCAGACGGTCGCGGAGCTGGTGGAGAAGGCAAAGGCAACCGCCATTGAGCGGGCGGTTGCGTCTGGCGCAAAGCGTGAAACCGTCTACCTGGCTGAGGTCGATGCTCTTCCGTTGCAATACGTGGCCAACCAAGTGCGTGTCATCGCACGAGCAGTCGGCGAGCTTTCTCCAGAAGGCGTGCCACTTACCAACGGTGCCAATTGGGACGAGGAGGCGGGCGATGAGGAGATCTACAAAGAGACAGCCAAGAGGGATGCCCATTTGGACGAAGTTGACCCTGCTGCTGTCGATATTGCAACGTACCGACCAAAGGTAGTTAAGAACCCCAAGACAGGTGTTCAGGAATGGATTGTTTCCGAAGTCGATCTCCAGTGGCTCGCGGACGGGTGCTACGTCCTTGGATGCGCAGGCGGAGGTTCGCCGTTTGGTGAATATATTCGTCTCAGGGACCAAATCCGACAAGGCCACATCATCCGGGTTATTGATGTGTCATCGTTGGGGAAGGATGATTTGATTTATTGTAAGTCCCAATTGCCCATCCTGCACTCTCAAAGCACGTTGCTTGATACTGATGCTCCATAAAGGGGGTGGCCATATGGGGTCTCCGGCTGTCTCCGTGGAACGCCTGGCACACAATGAGACCGAACAAGCATTCCTAGAACTCATGGAATATCTCAAACACGACTCCATCGATGCTGTCATGGGCCTGGAAATTGGAGGTGCTAACGGGCTTCAGCCATTGGCACTGGGCTCTACCAAGAATCACAACTGTCCCGTCATCGACGCAGACTGGATGGGTACGTTCCGCATTGACCATTCCAACTCCACGCTACGATACTTTGCTAACATCAATCCGTGCAGGCCGCGCATATCCAACCTACTGGCAAACGACCATGTGCGTTTACGAATCCAAGCAACTGGTCCCCTGCGCCATCGCCTCCGGCGATGGTAAAACCATCATCATGACCAAGACCACAGACGACGAGATTGTCGACCGTGCCCTGCGCGCCTCCTGCGCGGAAATGGGCTCACGCGTCGGCATGGCGGCCAAACCGACCACGACCGACCGCGTTCGAAACTACGGCGTCATCAACACCGTCTCTCTCGCGTGGCGCATCGGCCGCTGCATCGCGCGCGCCCATGCTAACAACACACTCACCACGGTCGCAGAGCAAATGATCGACGAAATTGGCGGACCGAGCGCCGCCAAAGTTTTGTTCCGTGGTAAAATCATCGCCGTCGAGCGACGGCTGTTCAAGGGCCATTCGTATGGCGAGATCACCATCCAGCAAACCCAGCAGTCCGAAGAGGAGGAGTCCGCGGGTCCCCGGGCTCCCGCCGTCGCTGTGGGTGGGGTGATCAAGATTCCCTTCAAGAACGAGAACATCTACGTCAAGCACATTTCTGAGAGCGGAGAGGAGAAGTACATCGCGATGGTTCCGGATTTGATCTCTGTGCTTGATACGCAGTCCGGGAAAGCGCTGGGTGTGCCGGAGTTTAGGTATGGACTGATGGTTACTGTGTTGGGAATCGCGTGCTCCCCACGATGGACCGATACGCCGCGAGGGTTAGAGTATGGAGGCCCAGGGGCGTTTGGATATAAGAATATCAAATATACGCCGCTGGGAACATATGTAGAGCCGAAGAGTGTGGTGGCCGAGTTTGCGGAGGAGTGAGCTTTGGAAGAGACAGTGGCCCATGTTGCCAGCGGTCGTTTCTCTTTTGTATATGACCCTTTTAGACTGGTTTTGGCAGTATTGTGCTAAGGTGAAAATTCTCGTTCCGCTTCCATCTATAATCCATTCTCGGGGCGCATGGGCATGCTCTGGGTAATTACCTTGGATATAAAAGGATAATAATAACCCTAGCAGCGTCGTTTCCATGGTTCCAGGATCCTCTGTCAATGACGTAGCTTGGGGTGGTTGGATATATAGCCCATCCAAGCTCCATTCAAAACCGCAATGTCAATTGAAGCACCAGTTCAACTCAATTGCAACCAAACTAGCCAAGGGCGCAAAGATAACGAATCTGAGAATCTCGTTGAGATCTAGCAATCGTCATCATGCCTCTCGTGACACATGTAAGTCCTCGTCCCCAGCTCCCAATCAATAGTAATACCGTCTGTTCTACACTATACAAATCATCGAATTCGGGCTCGTCTTACTTAGGATCTCCATAGCTTAATCCAGAGGAAATCGTTGAAACACTCCGCAACGATCCTGAAGAGAGCCATCGCCAGCATATCTTCACCCTTAGCGCTGTCGCGACTAGGACTGCATACTCGACCCGCTATGCGAGCAGTGAGGAAATTCCCAAATTTCGGATACCCCAGATCGGAGCACCGGCGGAGGCGGTGTATCGTATTTTGAGGGATGAGTTGGATTTGGATGGGATTCCGAATTTGAATATGGCTAGGTAGACTGAAATCAATTCCACTTACCATCGAGCAGGACGTTGGGACTTGCTAACTGAGCCTTGACCATCAGTTTTGTTGGCACCTATATGGAACGCGAAGCCCAGGATTTACTCGTTGAGAACATGAGTAAGAACCTCGCGGACGCTGACGAGTATCCTGCCCTAATGGATATCCACGCGCGGTGCATTTCAATGATTGCAAACATGTGGCATCCACAGCCTGGTGAGCATCCCATTGGAACGGCCACAACAGGATCATCAGAGGCAATCCAGCTTGGTGGTTTGGCTATGAAGCGACGATGGCAAGAAAAGCGCAAAGCCGAAGGAAAGGATGCATCAAAGCCTAATATAATCATGGGAGCAAATGCACAGGTAGCATTATTGAAATTTGCGAGGTATTTCGATGTTGAGGCCCGGATACTCGACGTGTGTGAGGAGAGTCACTACCGGCTTGATCCAAAGGAGGTCAAGAAAAATGTGGATGAGAACACTATTGGCATATTTGTCATTTTGGGCAGTACCTATACCGGCCATTACGAGCCTGTAGAGGAGATCTCCAACATCCTAGATGAAGTGGAAAAGGAACATGGATGGGATATACCGATCCACGTTGATGGGGCCAGTGGTGGCTTTATCGCTCCATTTACGCACGCTGGGGCTGGTGGCCCTAAATGGTACATGCCCAAATAGCCGATCTCGAGATTTGTGCTGATATCCGAGCAGGGATTTCAACTTGCCGCGTGTGCACTCAATCAACGTATCAGGCCATAAATTCGGCCTCGTATATGTGGGATTAGGATGGGTTATTTGGCGCGATCGCCAGTATCTGCCTAAGGACCTCATTTTTCAACTGCACTACCTGGGGGGCACAGAAGAATCGTTCGCATTGAATTTCTCTCGTCCTGGGCTGCAGGTAATCGGCCAATATTACAATATCATTCGCCTTGGATTTGACGGGTACCGGGAAGTGATGGAAAACTGTCTCCGAAACGCACGGCTCTTGAGTAAGGCGCTTGAAAGAACGGGCTGGTATGTCTGTGTCAGCGACATCCACCGCAAGAAAGGCGAGTATGAATTCCGTGGCGTGGGCGGTGTCCAGCCGTACCACGAAGGGGAGACATCGGCAGATTACAACGAAGGTTTACCTGTCGTCGCATTTCGGTTTTCCGATCAATTCAAAAACGACTTCCCGGACGTCAAACAAGAGTCAATTAGTTTGCTGCTGAGAGCAAAGCAATATATCATCCCCAGTAAGTGAGCCAAGAGTCACGTCCGGTGCTGATGATAACCGTTATGGCTATTCGCTAGACTATCCTCTACCACCAAAGGTAGAAAATATTGAAATTTTGCGCATCGTGGTCCGCGAGAGTATGTCGGCTGACTTGATTGACAAATTAATTTCGGACATCGTCGAAGTTACGGAGCGGGTGATGGCTTCTGAGCCGATAGATCTGGCAGCGCTGCAGGGCAAGCCGACATCACTCGCACGGCGCCAGGGAAAACCAGAGGCCAAACCCCTGAAGAAAGTCACAAGAGCCAAAGCCGGAGAAGGAACGCACCATCCCATGGCAAAGGGTGGCCATCGCTCGGTCTGTTGAGAGCGGAACCAGCGAGCTATATCTAGTTGTCTATTCGCAGAATCGTTAGTCAGGGGTATGCCAGTAATGGAGAGTCAACCTGGTGACAACTCACCATGTAGTTAGGTAGCTAGTTACAGTGTCAACTGAATGCAAGCATGTCTCGTCGTCGACAAGCAGAGACGTTGGGATGACCTGAAAGTAAAAGTACCGCCAGGCCGGTGACGCGTGGAGGTTACAGTTAGCCGCGTATGGAGACGGTAAAGGAACATTCTCCGCACCCGCTTTTGGGTGCGTTCCCCACCGGAACGGGACCCGTCCCGGCTGGTAAAATGCGGAGCAAAATGACGTGTCTTGGCTCCTATCGCCGCCGCCCGTCGTCTATCGCTGATGATATCCGCCAGCGTTCCCTATCTCGACGTCTGCTGGCGTTTTCGTCGACTCTTATCGTCCTTGACGATTGGATATTCTGGCGGGAGAGAGTTGATCTTGATAGCCAGGCCTATCTAGCTGCTCTTGGTAGCGAGTTATCAGCAAAGTTTCTTGTTCGCTGAGTTTGCCTTGGAAGCTTAGCCGCCATCTCGAACTAGACGACTAGTTGCGGCTTTGGCCCTACTATGTCTATCACTCCATGCAACCCCCCGCAGTTCTCTGTTTGTGCAACGCTCGATGATCCAACTGGCATCTTCACTCTTTTCGTCTCTGGTTTTGCAGCCGCTGTGCATGCTATGATTTGGACACTCCTCAAATCCACGCCCTCGCTACCTTTCGGCCCAAGCCCTCCACGCTAGGTTGCCCCAACCCAAGGGCTATTCGAACCTAGCCCAAACAGGGACAATAACACTACCCGTTGAGAGTGCTTCATTCATCTCTTTGGCATGGAAATCATCCGGCCTCCGTCGGCTGTGTCGTTGTCAGGCAGGCCAGCCCGCAATCTATCCCGCAAGTCTGGACCACAGAGTCCCAAGCGGATAGGCCCAGCGTCGTCCAAACCATCTGAACCCTCGATTCAAAAGGGGGCCGCCGGGGGATCAACTGCTACCAAGCCAAAGCAATCAAAAAGCCGTAATGGTACGCACTGCATTTTGCTGCTTTCTGCTGATGTTATGTTCCGCTGGCTGTGATGGTCACTAAGTTGCATTTGCTAATACCGAATCGCCATTAGGATGCGTCACTTGCAAATCCAAAAGACTGAAATGTGACGAAACCAAGCCCGTCTGCCGACAATGTCAGAAGCGAAATGTGACTTGCGGTGGATATAAGAAAGACTTCAAATGGAGGCCCTTTGAAGAGTCCAGCTTCGCGAATAAGGTATCAATAAAGACCAAGAAAAGTATGCTTATCTGTGCGTGTTTTGATTTATAGAATGTCACTGTAACTGAGACACATTCACAGGTCCGGTAGTGCGATCGTCGCCCTGCTCTTCAGAGCTATCGAATGCAATCGCGAGGTCGCAACATCCTCAAACCCCAACATCCCAATATGGAGACAGCGGTGGACCACGCGAAACTCAAATTACCACACATTCCACATCACAGTCGGGCTCAGAGATTGTTTTCCCTAGCCCAAACGACGTGATACTGTCCATGCACAGTCCACTTGAACCTCCGCAGGAAGGGCCGGAGACCGCTGTGCCTTCAAGCCCGCTGGGTCTTTCCGAAGCCCGGTCATCTATCTCTGGAGATGACCACCTTTCTGACACTCATACTATTCTAACACCAGAAGGCTCATTTGATGGCCAATACTTTGGATCTTTTTTCCCATCTTTTATGCATAGTGACAGCGAGGATATCGAAGAAATTGTTAGGCAAACAGACTTCTGGGATGAGGGAATGACATGGGATGAACCCTCATCTCCATCTCTATTCGATTTCACAATGCCAATGGAACCAAAACTTTCTCCTGGAAGTTCTGAGATGTTGCTGATGCGGTTCGACCGAAGAACTTGCGGCATACTCTCCGTCAAAGATGGAGTAACGGAAAACCCTTGGCGGACATTAGTGTGGCCGTTGGCTAAAGAATCCCCTGCGCTTTACCATGCTATCTGTTCGCTAGCGGCATTTCATTGCAGCAAGGAGGATCCCCATCTAAAGGTCTTTGGAATGGACCACATGCGCCAAAGTGTCCGCACCCTCGCAATGGACATTGGGACAATGAGGACGGATGCAGCGCTAGCAACCACACTTGCGTTGGCGTTTGCAGAATCGTGGGATAGGCATATATCCAACGGAATACAGCACCTTCGTGGAGCCAAGGTTCTCATGAACCAAGCTTTGGAGAACCAGCGGCATTTTTCAACTAGGCGCAGTGACTTTGCCCGATTACGGTTCCTTTATAATACTTGGTTATACACTGTGGTTATCGCCAGGCTGACGTCGCTGGAAGATAATGTCTTTGACGACTTGCCGCTGCCTCCTGAACCCTCGCCTAGTATCCGAGTCCACGAAATTGACCCTCTCCTGGGATGTGCCGCTACGTTATTCCCTCTCATCGGTCGAGTGGCTAGCCTTGTCCGGAAAGTGTGTAGCACCAAATCCAACTCCATCGCCGTCATATCACAAGCGATCGAATTGAAAACTTTGGTCGAGCAGTGGGAGCCTCCCAAGTATTTCGAACCGCCAGAGGACCCTACATCAGATGTCCAACATAGTTTTCAAACGGCACAGGCGTACCGCTGGGCGACGTTGCTCCACCTCCATCATGCGGTTCCAGAGATCCCATCAGAGTCAGCAAGTGAATTAGCAAAACGTGTCTTGGTGCTTTTGGCTACCGTTCCTCTTAGTTCGCGGACTATTGTTGTCCAAATTTTCCCTCTACTAGCTGCGAGTTGCGAAGTCGACAATGAAGAAGATCGAGCCTGGGTTCGCGAACGTTGGGCAGCAATGCAATCTCGACTGATGATTGGGAACATTGATCGTTGCGTGGAGATTATACACGCCGTTTGGTCCCGCCGTGATGACTATCACGCGAGAAAACTGAGCGGCCAGCAAGTTTCATATGTTGTGCCATTGGATCCGACTAGAAGAGCCAGCGTTCATAACACCATTGAAGACGATGATCTGGGAAGTTTAGAACTCTTCGACCAGGAAAGGCGGCAATCAATACCGGATCTAAGTTCCCTGAGTTTCGGGTCGCCAAGCCTGTCTCCTATCCCTGTTCCAGTCAGGAGAGGGTCTATGAACATGGCATTAGAGAGTTGGGAATTTGAAACGACGGTTCGAGGTAGGCTTCATTGGTTGGGAGTCATGAGAGATTGGAATTGGGAAGGTAAGTAACCTTGGTTCCGTCGGTATCCATAAAATTGCCCGAGAGTCAAAACCTAACATATGTCAATCACAGTACTCCTAGGATAAGACTGTCAGTGGTGAATAGCTGGTGACTTTCATGGCTATGCCGCCGGATTCCTCCTTTTTCTTCGTTCGATGCTATATATAGCCCGTCCCCCACGCCAGCACACTTGGTTCGATTTCGCCAGCCAGAGTGACATGATGAAACTTCTTCTGCCGTTTTGATCTTCATACCCACATTAGTTTACGTCTCGCTGCGCTTAGCCGTCTAATTTGTCAGCCTCAGACTAACAAGAATGATTTTCGTTCATCCAACATTATGAGCGTATGCCTTGCTTCTCTGGCGATAGAACATTTGAGGAACACTCCCACATACCCTCCAGTTTTTATATACATGGTCACACGTACCTAGATACCCGTTTACTGGCGTCTCAACTTTCTCCCTCTCAATCCTGCAGTGAGATTTCGGCTTTTTCAATTCTTACTTTTTCCCTTACTTTCGAAAGGCCGCGCATCATCTTGGGGCTTTTTCTCTTTCGGGCAGGATTTCTCTGGTGTCTATAGCAATAGCGAGAGGGATAGTATTGGAATGTGGTTTCTGTTTTCCGGCTCGCGGTGACGATGGGTTTGACCTATGGTATCTGACATGAGTTATGTGACATTCAGCGCGGGCATTTTGCAGGGGGTTTTATTTCGTAAGGTTTGGATATACAGGTCGCCCATGCAGCAAGAAGCGAGTTTCTTTTTCGTCTTTTATTTTTCATTTGGATTGTTTAATTGATAATTAGTGGAAAGTAACTTACTTTCCCAATCTCATTTCATTAGTAGGAACTCGTAGATGTGGGACATAACGAAACAGCTGTAATCTGTCGACTCTACCACCATACCCGATGTGAGACTGTTCGCGCCAAAAGGAATAGCATCACCCAACTGCCTTGGTAAGTTGCAGACCGAATGTGCCAGATTTCAAGCGCAGAGAGAACCGCTAAGCAGGTAATATTTCGAGCGATATCAACATTTATAGGAGTCTCCAACTTGCGTATATCCAAGGACCGGCATGAGGGTCAATGAGTGGTGACGTTCACGATGTTGTTGCCTTTGCCAGGTGAATGCATTCCGTAGCTGGATCCGAATCCTGGCTTACTAGAGTGTATATGTTCATTAACAGGCGCATCCTATCAAGGTCCACGAGCTCTTGCGCAGCCAAACGTGGGAGGAAAACCATGCAGCGACGACCGGACTTCAGATGTACTGGAGAATCATTAATCCACTCCGAGTAAAGGAAAGGCCTAACTTGTTACAGTTAGTTAGACTAGCACTTTAGGCTTGCTTAGCTAATAGTTAGTTAAGGGTCTTCTCCTGAGGGCTAGGGTTTAGCAGAGAATCAAGCATAGTTGCTATAACTTACCATACTCAATGCGAGAAAGGCCTGAATGTCAACTCTTACTGTCAACAATTCAAAATTATTAGCGATGAAATAATGGAGGAAAAGAATACCCGCCTTCTCCTTCAGAGGCAGATTACCTACTCATTTGCGAAAGATGAGGAGGTCAACATCCTCCATCGCCTGAATTATGTCCATGATCGAGACCAGTTCTTCACCTCCTTATACCAGAAGCGGGAGTGGATGAAAGCCATTGTTGCGCATCACCTAGGGTTGCGCTCTCCTGAATCTTGTAGTATACCTAGCTATGAGTATTGGATTCATGGCAGCTTCAATGTCTGCATCCCTGTCACGGTCCACTCTGACTGGAGAGGAAAGACACAACTTTCGCAACGGCTGATGCTCCGATTTCCCCTTAAATATCGTGTCGGCGATTCCTTTCGACCAGGAAATGGAGATGAGAAGCTTCGGTGTGAAGCTGGGACTTATGCGTGGTTGCAGCAAAATGCCGCAGATGTGCCCATCCCCCAGCTCTATGGTTTTGGATTATCTACGGGAGAGACGGTATGAGTATTAGTATGGTTATTGTTGCTGTTTACACTTGCTATTGCACCTAACAACTGTGAGCATGTTGATATCATTGCATGAGCTAACTTTATTTTGACCTCCCAGTTTTCTGTGTTAAGTGTCATGCCCTTCTGGAAGCGTTCCTTGTTCAAATTCCGGTGCCTAATCTTGTCATGGCTTAATCGACCCCTACCTTCACGCTATCTCCGACATCAGCCACAAAACCACATCACGAAACCCAGAATCGATGATGCCGGATACCTCCTTATTGAATACATTGAGGAATCTAGGGGTCGGATGCT